TTAATAGCTTTTATAAAGCTCGGAAATAAGCTTATTATAAAGGAGGAAATAATATTATAATTCTCAGATACCTGATATCTGAGATGCCTTACTAGATACTAGATGCCTTCTAGATATATATAATGTGGCCGCTTTACTAGAGAAATATACTTAAAATATATTAGAAATATTTAGAAGGCTAGATTCTTTCGGGACTAGTATATTATGGGATATATATATTTCCTTATAGCCTTCTATATTCTAGTTTTCTCTTTCTTAGCTTTGAATTATCTTTATAAGAAATCTTTTATTTTACTTTCTAAGCCCTAAATACTATACCTATAATATTTACTATTCTATTTAAAATTAAGAATATTTTTTCTTTTAGATATTTTTTCCGGATTTAAAAATAAGCTTTTTTACTAAAATTAATATTACTTTTATTCTGGTTTTTACTATAACTAAAAATAATATATAAATTAATAATATAACTTTATTTCTAAATACTAAAGCCTATTTCTAATTAAGGTCTAATTTATATTATTTTAGTATAATATTTCTTATTTTATTTCCTCTATTTCTTTTTCTTCTATAATTAGCTTCTATTTCTATTACTTTTATATATTATACTAATAATTATATCTTATAGCTAATCTATATTTAAATTACTAGATATATTAGAAATTAATATAAAATACTAAGATTAATACTTATATATTTTTAATATTTTAGTTTTAGGCTTAAAGTATTATAATAGCCCTTTTCTTTCCTAATTTACTAAACTAATAATCTGCTTTATAAATATTTCTTAGAACTTTATAAAAGTATTATCTTAATTATAAAGTTTCTATTCTTTCTATATTACTTATTATAAAATATATAAAAGAGAAACTATAATAAGACAAAAACCCATATAAAGTATATTAGAATATAAAACATAACTTAATAATAAAATAATAAATTAAAAATATAAATAATAAAATACAAATAATATATAATATATTAAAGCTTAATTAATTAAATACTTATAAGGAATTATTTTCTAAAACTATAGAAAAACAAGTTTTCTTATATAATTTCTATAAGTTATATATAAAAGGCTATAGCTTTTATTATATAACCTAAATCTTAAAATTTTTAAAATAATATAATTTTCAAAAAGTATAGCCTACTATATTATAATACTTTATTATAAAAATAATAAAACATATATTTAATTAATTATTACTTAGATTAAAAGAGTTTATAAGTTTTATAATATATAGAATATAGAATAATTTTTCGGGATTTATATAATTAAAGATTAAAAGACTAAAAAACTCTAACTAGTTTATAATACCTATATTAAAAAGATTACTAAGAAGTTTAGAATAATAAATAAAAAGTACTCTAGTATTTTATTACCTGAAATTAATTTTCAGAAATATAATAGTTAAGCTTATTTATATTAAATTAAAATATATTAGAAGAAAGTTAGATTACTACTTTATACTATAATTATAATTAGGCCGGATATAGCTTTTATTATATTAATATTCTCTTAGTTCTTAATAAATCCTATTCCAGAATATTTTATAGCTATAGATTAGGCTTTCTAATACCTGTTTAAAACTCGGTTTTTTATAATTTAGTATAATAGAAAATATAGAAAAATATAGCTATAAATTATATCTAATACTTTATATATAGATAATCTAAATATAAGATAATTAAACTATAGATATATAATTTCCTTATTTAGAGATTTAATATTATAAAAAGCTATTTAATAAAACTCTATAATTACTTCTTTAACTAAATTAGAAATATATAAAGTTACTTATATAATAAAAAAAACTATAGCTTTCTAGAAGCTATTTAGGGATCTATATTTAGATATTAGAAAGCTCTGAATTATATTCTATAATAATAAGTAAACTATTTAACTAATTATTAGAAAAAATAAAAGAATTACTATAAAGCTTTATTATATTAATATTTAGAATATATAGCTATATTAAAAGTATAATAAAGATATCTTTTAAGTTATATATCTTTAAATAAGTAATATATCTATAAATAAATTTATGAAAAATCTATTCTAATTTAAATTCGAGAATTTTAAAGCTTTATTAAATCTTTAAAATATTAGAATAAAGATCAAAATAATTAAATAATATAAAAAGAAGCTTTTATTTATATCTTTTATTTATAAAATCTATTAAAATAATAGAGCTTAAAAGCTAATAGTAAGAGATCTAAAGGCGTTTTATTATAATATTAATAAGTTTATATAAAAGGCCCTTTATCTAATTAGACTATTTCTTATTTTTCTTAATAGCCTCGTAAATTTTAGTAAAAGAGCTCTTATTACTATTTTCTTTATTAGATTTAGTAATCTCAAGTATAATATAAATAAAGTATCTAAAAATAAATAAATACTTTAAAATAGTTAGAATTTATAAAAGAGAATTAAGAAAAGAGAACTTATAGTATTTTTAATAATTAGAAGTTATATAAGAAAGAGCTATATAATAGAGATATAAGAAATTAGAATAACTAAATAAAAATAACTAGAAGTATATTTCTAGTAATAAGAATATCTACTAATAATATTATAGTAAGAACTATTATTCTTGCCTTTTAGAGTAAATAAGACTATATTAAGTTAAAACGAGCTTTGAAATAATATAGAGAACTTATAGTAACTTATATAAGGGATCTTTCTAAAACTAGTATAAGTAGAATAAGAAATATAAGGTTTTAATATAAACTTCTTTATTTTTAGTAAAGAAGTACTAGAAGTATTAGAAGATATTACAGGAATCTAAACCTTAATATTCTATTAAAAGTAAGCTTTATATTAATAGTTAAGAGCTATACTTATAGCAGACTTACGAGCTACTTAATACTATTTAAAATTAGTAAAAGATAAAGTAAGAATATATTTTGAATTAAAAATACCGTGAATTTGCAAGCCGGAATTAATTTAATAGTAGTATAAAAAAAGATAAAAGTTATATTTATAATAATTAGAAGCTTGAAAAGGGATTTCTGGAAGAATATTAAAGAAGAGTATTTAATTAGAGGCTCTAGAGTTAGTAAAAAGAGGGGGTTTATATAGGGATCTCCTGAAATTTAGTAATCTGGAGAAATAATATATACTAAATCTATTCGGATTAGAATATTAATACAGCTTTATAAAACTTATATATTAGACGAATTTTACTATTTTAAAGCTCTCTAATTAGGTAAAACTGGTAGAATACAGTATTATACTTTTCTGGAAGATATATTATAGTAAGAATTACTAAGTTAGGGCTAGTATAATTACTTTACTTAGTTAGAATCTATATATTTATTTCCTGAAATTTTATACTTTACTTAAGCTCTTTTCTAGCTAGTTTAATAAACTCTTTTACTATTTAATATAACTTTCTACTCTATAATCTTTATATATATTATTTAGAAATTAGAATTATAATATTATAATATTAATATATAATTCCTAAATTTATTAAAATATTTATAATATTTAAAATTATATAATTATATTTTATATTTTATATTTTATTATTTATATTTTATTACTTATATTTTATTATTTATATTTTATTACTTATATTTTATTACTTATATTTTATTATTTTTAAGTTCTATAATTAAATATATAATTCCCGAAATAATAACTATATTAATAAATATATTATTAGAAGAAAATATTATATATAATTAAAGTATAAATATATAAAAAATAATTATTAAAAATGAAATTATTAGTTCTTTTACTTTTATTAATATTAAAATAATATTATTTATTAATTAAAAGCTAAATTTTAAAAATAATTAAATTATAAAAATTAAGTTCTTTTAAATTACTAAAGAACTAATATTTATAAAAGAAACTATTATTTACTTTAATTAAAAGCTAAATTTCGAGATTAATTAAATTATTAAAAATACGAGTTTGTTTTTCTTTTAAATTAATAAAGTAAAATTAATTATTAAATTTATTATATTTAAATTTAGTAAATTATAATTAATTATTATAAGCTATTATATACTATATATTATTAGAAATATAAGAGCTTAATATACTATAATAATACTAAAATAATATAATATAAAGATTTTTATTTCTTATTTTATAAAAAAAAGTAAAATTAGCTAAAATATTACGTGGCACCAGTCACGTGGCACCACTGCACGTGACTTAGCGTGTAGCCAGTGCTTTTAGCCCGGCAGATAGCCTTTAGCTCAATTCAAGCTCTTTACTACTATTATAATATTACCTTATTATAATATAAAATAACTAAAATACTAGTTTAATAAGTAAATCAATTAAGTAATAGCTAACTTTATATAATTTCAATTAGTATTATTATAATCTCAAGCTCTTTATTAATTTTTATTTATATAAAACTCGATTCTTATTTAGACTATTCTAGTAAATAGTCTATATCCCCCCTCGTACTTTGAGAGTCAAGAATGTTACTATATCCCAAACATCTTTATAATTGTCAAGTACAATTCAAGAGAAATCTTCAGCTTTTGGAAATAAGACTAGAGGTTAAGCTTCAATTCTTGATACGAAAGGAAGTTAGGCGTTCTTTTAGGTTCGGGATCGAATTAGCGATCTCGGTTAAACCCCTAGCGTAAGTCTGAGTAAGTGCGAGCCGGTAGAAATGTGGCTCTTAATTATGGCTTTCGAAATTTCAATACTGAGATACGTCCAGAGATAACGGCTTTGCGGAGTTCGAGTGTAGGTTCGGTTGTAAGAGAGAGGTCTGGCTGGCATTGTGGGGAGGGATTGAATAGCTCCGCGTTACATATTATTGGGCGAAGATGGGGTGGCTGGCAAGTCACGCCTTTTTTTACTTTGCGCCATTCCAATTGAAACATCTTCGAATCGCAAATGGTATTTAAAAAAAAGCACCTAACGATTCAATTCATAACTATATACTATGCCCGTTTCCCGGAGACACAGCTTGTTTAGCTAGCTGGAGACTTTGATACGTATAAATTGTCTGCAACGTCGTCAAAATTGTTGTTATCACGCCGAAGAAAATGGTAAGAATCAAGATTACCACTGCAAACCAGAAAGTGTACCACTGCAGCCGATTCCTCCTATCCGACCAGATGTGTCGAACACCAGGACCAGGGGCCTGGAACTCGAGCTGTAGACGAGAGAGGCGACCCCGCCAGTGGTGAAATTGGTCAAGATGAGCATGGCCAGGGTATTCGAAGAGGTTATCGTGAAGATGGAGTTTCTGAGATTTGCGGAGAAACTTCTCGGTGGCGAAATTCCAATTTGGAAATAGGATACTCAAGGAGAGCAAGGTCTCTTCTACCAGAGGTCGAGGAAGGATCGAAACGCTTATTTCCATATCAGTAATGTTCAAAATCATGAGTTCTGCCCGAATTATACCTTTCTAAATGATCGAGAAGGCATTGGCTTAGAGAGTAGACACAGACGATCCGATTCTCAATGTCATATTTCAGATGGTCTTCGAGCTGATAGGTCCAGGAGACTCGAATCCCACACATGCGATAAAGATTGACTGCAGTAAAGTTGCTCTCTAGCGGCAAGCCAGGATCAGAACTGTGGCTTCGTGGCGAAGGGAAATGTTGTGTAAGAAAGTCTTGAACTGTTGAAGTGTCGTCCCATTGGAGAGTCTTGGCTGCGGGCGAAAAGTCCGAATTCTGTACTCGAATTGTGAGCCACAAGCGTAGCAAGACATCGATCGAGTTGTTGATCTTATCTTGAGGCTCATTCCTATGCTTTGGGCACTTTTTGAGTGCGGATCGTGCCTGTGGGCGGTCGAAGTTTGGTGTGTCCTTGCATAATTCCCAGAATACGTCAACCATGTGAAGTAGGTCTTCGTGCGAGTTGATGGAAAGGGTATTAATCTCTTTTGAAGAGAATCCAACGAACAAGGCGTGGCACGTCGTATTGTAATATTCAAAGTAAGTATCGTAGTGCTCGAGAATTACAGCCTCCCCTGGCTTTCGCCAGAAACGCGAAACGATCTTTTTCTTGAGTAACTCTGGCGGGTCTTCGGAAAGGCTTGTTGTTGAGTCCATTTTTTATGACAGAGATATCTGGTGAATTTGCGGGGTTTTAATTCGAGCCAGTTGAGATGGGGCCTCCTGGGTAATTATTTTCTGCCCGAACCAATTTTGGTGTTGGGTGTTCTGGTAAGGCTGATTCGCGAGGCAGCTTCACGTCAAAGTGGCGGTCAGCTGAACAATTGGTTATTGCTTTTGTTGCAATCCGCCACTCAAGCCGGGCGTCACTGTATCAGTGATTCAGCCCAGGGTTCAGCCTAAATAATTTCTGTATTCATAATTCTATATCTTTTGACATCAATCTAAAGTGATAGTGATCAAGCACAAAGGAATCTCCGTGGAAGTGGCAAGGGCTCTCAGAGATCATCAATGATGTTCGCCTTGAGAGAGAGCCTACGGGCGTCCTCAACAGATCTCGACGCCATTGGATGTCACTCAAAACGCGTTCAATGGACTGCCGCATGTACCAAGTCATATCCAAAAGCCGGATCCTCGCGTCAAAGTCCACGACTTAGGTGGTGGTCGAGCTCGATTTGGGGGACGACTATTCAAGCGCGGTCAAATATCTGCAGCCCCGAGGCCCCGTAGCCACACTTCTTGGCCTTTCTCAAATACATTGCACATCAACGATAGAGTCCGAACAAGCTCCTTACCAGCAGCCGTGCAGAGTGAAAACACACGAAGCAAAGCAGATTTGGACCCGAGTCCAGGTTCATTGCCTTCTGGGGACGGTTTGATCGATTCTCAAGACCAAGGTCCGTCAGATGAGCAGCCAGACACCACGGACCCGCTGCATCCCAGCCCAACCGTTAGACCAGAGCTTGAAGCTGGCCTTCCGTCTCTTCCAACAGTCGGCACGCAAGATCTTTGTGCCAGCTCTCAACGCCCCTTGCATTGCTTGGCCGACAACTGCTACATAGCCATCGACGTACCAGTTCCAAAGCGGTTCGAGCTAGGATCTAACTCAGATCTCAAGATACGACTTCAAAACTTCCTACAATCCTTGAAATGGACTACCACAACAGGTGTTATTATTGACTGTGTTTATGCAAGCACCAGGCCTGACCCCATGGAACTGAAACCCACGATCCTATTCTTATGTCTCACTAGAGAGCAACATCGGGTCATCTCATCGGCTCTTAGGCAGATGGCCGGGGGGGGTATTGAAGTGGTGCCTTCAGTGGACTACCGACATGTTGTCTTGGTACAAGAGACTCAACTTTGCGCTTCTGGTGTCAGCGAGCCCATGGATCCTGGAGCCTTTCCTGGTCAGGTAGTCCGGGGTTATCTCAACAATGGCTCATCAATATGTGGCGTGTTATGCAGTGGATCTAATATGTGGAGTGGCGCTAAATGCACATTGGGTGGACTAATTGTCGTGGATGGGTGCGTGTTTGGATTGACCACGTCGCATTCACTTTTAGGGCCGGACTACATACCCGACAGAGACATAGATGTTCAGGATGCACAGAGTAAGTCTTCTTCCTTGCCGATCTTTATGCTGGGCATGCCTACCATCCAATGTTCAGATATATCCTGATTATATTTAGTCCCCACGCCCGTTGGAAACATCCACTCATACAGGTTTCTTTCGATCGCCAGTTCCCAGGTTTCTTTTGATGGCCAATCCGCATCCACAGATGTCCCATATGGTCAAGACTGGGCACTGGTTAGCATTCAAGCTCCGATGTACAGCCCGAACACGGTGCAACTCCCGGGAAGGTCCGAGCAGACATCGATTAACGACTACCTCCTCCACGAAGAGCTTGTGCACGGTCCTGTGCATGTTATCTCAGGGACCAGCGGAGTCTTGGAAGGCTACCTAAGTCCAGGTTCTGCATATTGGATGTTTGAAGACTTTGAGTTTGAAGTCAGGACGGTATTTTTGGACAAGCAACTGAGTAAGTGTATTAAGGTTGCTTAAATCCGATGCGGCTGATGATTCCTCTTAGATAACGGAGACTCGGGATCTTGGGTAATTCGAGACAACAGGCTCTGTGGCTACATCCTGTCTAGAGCTGTGGAGCAGCCGTGGGGATATATGCTTCCAATTGAGCCCGTACTTCGTGACATCCTCAAAACCTTGGACGGCCGTGCATCGTTTGAGATTCCGTCCGAAGCAACGGTGCAACAACTACGACAAAGAATAACCCTGTTTATTGGGGGATACAGTTCAAAAGAGGCCTAAGATTGGCTCTGAAAATGACCTTCAAATCCGGTCTAGCAGTGACACTGCATGCGAAGAGTATCCCCACGGTGTAAAGCTTACTGCTCTTACCTTCGCCTGCTATCTCTGTACATATTTGACAGCCAGTGTAAGCCAAGACCCACAATTTTGCGCTTGCAACCACTACTAACTCCGAAAATTCAGGACGTAAATATGATTTCGACAGCAGTTCCTAAAATCACGACGGCTTTCAAATCTCTCGATGACATAGGATGGTACACGAGTGCCTACTTGCTCACACTTGGCATTTCCCAATTGCTCTGGGATGCACTGTACCCCATATGCTCCCTAAAGTGGACTTTCATCAGCTGTTTAGCCGTGTTCACGGCCGGAAGTGCCATCTGCAGTTCCGCAACCTCGAGCATCATGTTGATCGTTGGACGTGGCGTTACAGGTTTTGGATCTGGAGGCATATTATCTGGAGCTCTGAGAATTATTGAATACTCGGTCCCTTTAAAAAGGCGCCTTACATACACTGGATTAACCGTTGCGTATGGTATGACATGTGTTGTTGCACCTATCATTGCTGGAGCCTTGACAGACAGTGTGTCTTGGAGATGGTGCTTCTACCTTCAAATCCCTGTTGCTGTAGTTGTCATTCTTATTGTCGTCCTCAATTTTCCATCCCCCCAGCTTGATGATATTGGGGGTTCGCTGGCGCGCGTGAAGAAAATTGATCTAGAAGGAAAAATCTTGTTGATTTCCTCTGTCACTTGTCTTATCCTAGCTTTGAATTGGGGCGGGAGCAAACACCCTTGGGGTGGAGTGACCATGGTTTGGCTGTTCGACGGTTTCGTCACTCTGTTCATGATCTTCTATTGTGTCCAGGTATTCCGGCCAGAAGACGCGACAATTCCTCTGAGCCTAATCGGCAAACGCTGTCTTATTGCTGCCTTTTTGTTCTCCTTCGCCATGGGATCAGCCGTTCATGTTATCCACAGCTATCTCCCTATCTGGTTTCAGGCGGTGAAAGGTGCCTCCGCTTTAGAGTCAGGCTTAATGATTTTGCCTCTAGACTTGGGAATATTCGTCGGTTCATTGATAGGTATATTCTTTGCATGTTGCTTAAATTTCAAGGCTAACCTTGTCGCAGGTGGTGTGGCTGTGATAAGTATTGGATACTGTCCGCCATTTATGATTATATCCTCTGTACTTAGTGCTGTTGGTTTTGGTATGGTTTCTACCTTTCATCCAGACACCAATTACCCAGCTTGGATCGGATATGAAGCAATGGCAGGCATCGGGCTTGGCTTAGGAGTACAGATGCCACTCATCGCAGTACAGCTAGCCCTCGCCGTGAATGAAGTGCCAAAGGGAACGTCAATTGTTTTATTCGCATACAATATCGGAGGTGCACTCTTTGTTTCTGCCGGCCAGAATCTTTTTATCAATAAGCTTGTGTCTGGTCTGAAGAACACCGTTCCAGAGCTGGATCCCCAGACCGTCCTGGCCAATGGCGCCACTTCCCTCGATAAATGGATGTCTACGCAGTTCCTACAAGGCGTCAAACGCGTTTATAACGACGCTCTTATTCGGCCATATAGAGCAGCAGCTATCATTGCTGCTATAGCAATTTTTGGAAGTCTAGTAATGGAATGGAAATACACGAAAATAAAGAAGAACTCAGAGTTAGCACAGTATATTCCTTTACTTAGTTTGAGGCCAGAACTAAACTTTAATCTCGATAATAAACTACAAGTTAAGGATAAAAACAAATTTGTATCTAAAGTATAATTAAGGAATTAAGCAAGATTTTAAACTTTTATTAATTATTATATATTTTTATTATATTTATTTAAAAGTAATAAACAAGTATTATTTAAATTAATAACTTTTATATTATTTATATATATTATAATATTTTAAAGTTTTTTTTAATTTTATATTTCTATTACTAATTAGTCTTTATTTTTTTAAATAATAAAAGCTATTTTATATAAAGTTATTACTTTAATTAATTCTTTCAAAGTTTATTTATAGCTTATTATTATTAGGGTTTATATTTTAGTAATAATAATATCTTTTTAATATATAGCTTTATTTTTATAAAAGCTATTTTTTAATATTATATTTAATTATTAATTAAAAAAGAATTAAGGATTTATATTTATTATTAATATTATATATAATACTTTACTTTTTCTTTTAAGTAATAATAGTTATTTTATATAAAAAAAATCTTTTATTAATACTGATTAAAGCTTATTTATAAGTTATTTTTATTTAAATATTATATTAAAGTTAAAGTTTTTAATTAATAAGCTTAAAAAGGCTATTATAATTTAAGCAAGTTTATTTAATTAAAATTTCTTGCTTTTTAATTTTACGTTTTCTTTATTATTATTATTTCTTTAATTACTTTTTATTATTAGAAAATAATTAAAATTCTAATTAAATATAATAAATTTATTTAAAGTTATTATTTATTTCTTTTTCTTTTTAACTATTATATAATAATTCACTAATTATAAACTTTTGAAACTTTATTTTTATTAAAACTTAAAATTAAAGATTTATATTTATTATTTATATTATTAATAATTAGTTATAATATTAAAAGTTATTATATTTATATTACTAATATTATTACTAGAACTTTATTTTTTTCTTGAATTTAATATATTATATTTAATAAGAAGATTTCGCTTTTTAGTTAAGTTTATTTATTTAGTAATTAATATTTCTTATTTCTTATAATAATATATATCTCTTATTTAAAATCAATATTATTTGCTTTAAATTAATAGCAAATACCTTATCTTATTTAATTTTATACTAGTTATATATATAAGAAACGCATTAAAAATCCGGATATAATTATTATATATTATTATATATAAATATACTAGATTATATTAGGCTATATTATTTCATATACTTATATATATTTCTCTCTTTAGTAATCTCGAAATAAAAGTTACTTTAATTTGCTTTTTAAACTTAGAACTAAGCCTTATAATACTTATAATATATAATAAATTTATAAGTTTTTACTTTTATTTAATAATTATAATTAATTATAGTTCTAATTAAATTAAATCAAATTTAAAATCAAGCTAATTAAGTTATTATTAATTTTATTTAATTTTAATTAAAGCTATTTTTTAATATATTAAATAAATAGTAATTAGATTTAGTATATTAAATAAATAAAATAGAATAATAGCTATTACTTTTATTTTATTTATATATTATTCAAGTTATTTATAAATAACTTGAATAACGCACGTGATCTGTACACGTGATTGAGCTAGCCTAATCGGGTAAGGCTTTGGGGGGGGGGCCGCACCTAGTATTATCTCGCTATTTAATTAGGTAATAATAGTACTTAATAAGCGAATTAAACCTTAGTAATAGTTAGTTTATTTATTATAGAAAATCTGTATTTAAATAGATTTATATAAGTATTAGCTTATCTTATATAAGGCTGCTTAATAAATATATTAGTTCTTTTTTTTTAAATTTAAATATATATCTATTTACTATAATTAATTAACTTCTATATAACTTTCATATAATTATTTATAGTTATTTATATTATTTATAAATAATTATTCTATTTTACTCAAGTTATTTAAGATATATATTACTTATATTCTATTTAAGTTAATTATGAATTATTTATAAATAACTTAAATAACTTGAATAATTCTATAATATACTAATTAGATTAGATCTTAGCAAATTTCATTTAAATACCCTAAGATTTCCCCGGTCTCGTTTATCTCGGATTTTTAAGTCCAAGTACCATATAGAATTAATACTATATAAATTGAATTAAAGGCATGAGTAGCGTAAGGCATTAAAAGAGAAAAACCACTACACAACCTGCAATTCCCCCGAACCACCGAGAATCTGTTATTGCAAATCTTTCTTCTCAAAATACCGCTTTTTATTTGTACGTATGCCCTGGCTAGTACTCTCTCTCAAACATCTATTAAATGCTTCTAAGGAACAGGGCGTGGGACAGTCTGTAAGCTTCGCTTGATTAAATCCAGCTCGTATAATATTCTGGCCAGATGGTGGCTAGTAGGTCTATAGCCCTTCATTTTTGACATATTGAGGCTAATTTCCCCGAAGGCCGTCTCTTTCTGTTCTTCTCGCTGGGAAGTCTGGCCCTGGCACAAACGGGATGCAACATTTGGTTTCTCTTGAGCCAAAACACGTTCCATGAGTACAGCCCAACTTGCATTTGCGGTCCCGCCGGCAGAATTATTACGGCAACAGGTTATTGCTGTGAGGTCTCTGTAACGGAGGGCTGGGGCGTCCAAGCACCATGCTATTACGGCGACAAAGTCGGCACCGGCAAATGCGATCATAGCGCGCCAATTAGTCTATATGACTTCGAGATATATCAGATCTCGACGGAGGGCGAGGCGTGTTCAGACTCCGAAGGAGATATTTGCTGGAACTCCTGAGGGATTAGTTAATTATGTCAATTATATTAGTGTTCAAGCACTTCGAACCTCGTATTAGCCTTCCACAGGCTAGAAAAATTACCATTGCACTAGAACGAGTTAGTTAGCTATAGGTTAGACAACGAGTATTTTGATAGTTCTTTTTACAATACCTTTATTCAAAGTTAGCATCTCGTCCTAAACGCTGTGCATTATTCTCTGCTAGATATTCGTTGTATTATTAAACACCCTATACAGAGTGCATCCTATATTTGTGTCCAAAATATATATAAGGTTGCGAGAATATTTTAGGACCAAAGTTACTAATTTACCAAGAATTACTCGTTCGGCCCATAGTAAAGGCAATTTACCATGTTTTTACTCTAGCCCATAGTCGATTAATTAGAAGATAAGTCCCCGAAAGGCTTCTAAGCCTTACTCGGTATTATTCTGCCGGCCCGCGCTATTTTCTATAAAAGCAAGGGTCTCGGATTAGGAACCAGGTTATATTTTTATAGGCCCAGTTATTATTTAAAGAAATTCTAAGGCTAATTAATATAATAGGCCACTCTTCTAATATAAATATATAACTTATTATTTATTTCTTGGCTTTAGTTATATAATAAAGTATAAAAATCAAATTCTTTTTACTTATTATAATTCTTATATAATTACTATATTAATATTATAATACTAAAGCTATTATATTAAAGAACTATTCTATATTTAATTTGTTCTTTTTTTCTTTTTTTCTTAATTTAATATTTATTAAATAATTATTCTTAGTTATATAACTAGTAATAGTAATATTACTTAAGTAAATATTTATTAGAAATATTATTAGTTATAAATAAAGAAGCTTATTCTTATTAATTATTATTAGTTATATAAGTTATAATAAGTTTTATATGAATTAGAGATTTAAATAACAAGAAAAATTATAGAAGTTTTTTTTATATATTATATTAAACTATTTAAGATTTTAATTTGAGTTCTAACTTTTATTCTTACTCTCCGGTCTTATTTTTTAAACTTACTTTCCAGAAGAAGTACTAATTTTTACTAGTATATATATACCGAGCCTCTATATAACCTCGAAATAGAAGTTATATTATTAGAAATACTTCACGAATTACGAAACTTATCTCCTTTTCCCGTTACTTAGAGTTTATATACTACTTGCAAGCATTTTTGTACCCGGTTTTAGCCAGCTTACTATACTTATTAGTAATACTAATTCCGATATCCCAGTAACTCTAATATCGATTTTTTAGTCTATATATTATATTAAAAAATAACTATATATCTAATAAAAATAACTTTTATATATAATTATAAATTATAATAGATTCTATAATTATATAAGATAGTATAATAGTACCTATTATAATAGCTAGTATAAGGATATAATCTACTAAGGATAGAATATTAGAAATAGATATAAAATAAAGCTAAGCCGGAATTATTTAGACGGAATAATACTAAAGATTAAAGTATTCTCTCTATTTTATTCTATAGCTTAGTATTTTCTAATATATAAGATTCTTTAAACTTTAAGTCTTTAATTATTATATTAATTCCGCTATTATATAATACTAAGCTTATTTGACTCGGCCTATAGAGGCAATATAATACTACTAGTAAAAGACTTGTATTTATTTTTGGGAAATAAAAACAGAATACTGCTTTTAATATTTAATAATCTCCTTGAACTATAAAGAACTAGAGAGCTTAACTAGAAGTATAATATTCTCTATAATCTAGTTAACCTCGAAGTCTAACTCTTAACTAAAGCAGATAATATTCCCTTAATACTAATAAAAGTAAAAGAACTAGCTTCTTTCCCTAGTATAGAAAGAATTAGTAATAGTCTACTAATTTAAAATAAGAAAAAATTATAGTCGGTTTTAGTCTACTAACTTAAAACTAAATAAAATAATAATTAGTTATAGTTTACTAATATTAAATAAGAAGAACTTATTTAGTATTTATCTCTATAGCTAATACCTCTTCTAAAGCTATTATAAATAGCCCGGGGCCAAGTACTACTATTATAGATATATTAGATAAGAGGCCCTAGTATAATGAAATAGAGAAGCCGGATTTTAATATTATAAATCTATACTATTAGGAAAGCTATTATAATATTATTTCGGAAGAAGATATTAAGAAATAGCTAGCCGACTTGAAATTTAAAATTAGTATAAATACTCTGAAAATAGATAAGGCCTAGTAAAGATTATTTATATAAGATAACTTTATTAATAAATCTTGCCTTATAGCTAATAAATAAGCGAAATATTATTAGAAATTCTATTTATATATTAATTAACTTACTAAGAAAGTTAATAAGCTAGAGGTAATTACTAGTTAACTTTATATAAAAGAAAGACTAATATAAGAAGAAGTAATAAAGTAGAGATCTAAATAGGTAAATATTTAGGAATACTATAGATTCCTATTAGGAGAACTATTTGGGGGCTAATATTAAGGCTTCCTCTTGCTTTTAATCTATAGTAATTAATTATAGCTTATTAGAATTAAGGATTCCGCTCTATTTATAAATAAGAATAATTACTAGATTAATAATTAGATATTTAATATAAGAAATAAACTAATATAGAACTCTTCTGAATTTAATAGCAAATTACTAAAAAAAAATTTATATAATATAACTAGTTACCAGAAATGCCTGTAACTTTATCTATAATTAACTAGAACCTGAATTAGTTAGATAGATCTTAACTATTAAATAAATTTTTAAGATCCTCTAGTAAGCTTATAATAAAAGTAAAGAAATAGAGTACTAGGAAATAAAAGAGATATACTAGTACCTAAAATAAAGAGATAAGCTATTTCCGGTATTCTAAGTAAAGTTTATTTACTTAATAATAAAATTAGAAAAGTTACTAGATAACTAATATAATAATTTAATAGATAAAATAAATCTCGAGCTACTTAAAAGCTTAAGTAATAAGAAGTTTAATACTTCTAGGAACCTTACTAAATAATATATAAAATAAAAGAATAGGCTTCTCTTAATTAAAAATTAGTAATTCTAGAAGAAATAACTAGTAGAAACCACTTACTATTAAATATTACCTCGGGCTAGAAAGCCTATCGGAATTCAAGGAACTATAGTAATTCTATATTTAATAGATTAATCTTAGTAGCTAGTATTTTTATAGCTAAAGAAGGCAGTCTGCCGAGAATTTAAAAAGAGACTAGACTAGCTAGAGAGTCTTTATTATTATAGCTATAAAAAGCCTGGATATATAAAAAGTATCTATTCTAACTTTAATAAGATTATATCTATTAAAGAGAACTATTTAGAAAAAGCCGATAATTTAGAAATAAATAACGAGAATACTAACTCTTATTTACTATTTAATAAAAAGTATAATATTAATAAGTCGAGAAAAGTCTAGTTCTAGATATAAAGGTAGCTTTTCTAAAATAAGAACTTTACTAAGAACCTATAGATCTTACTTAGCTAATTAGCGGGAACTAGTTTCTTATTAATTATTAAGTATATTAGAAAAGCAAAACTATAATCTTCTAGTACTTAATAAATACTAGAATAAATATATATATTCTAATTAACTAAAAGTATATTTGCCCTCTAATAAAAGTATTATAAATGCCTTTATATAAATTCAAAACCCTTATTTCCTTATAAGGTTTTAATAAATAACCTAGTAAAGCTATTTAATATCTAGCTACTATAAATCTAACTATTAATTAATACTCTCAAACTCGATAATACCTACTTATTACTAATTTTAGCTCTTATAATATAATTCTGGAAAGAAAATAACTAGTAAAGTATAATATCTTATTAGACTATTAACGGAATTAATTTTATTAGCTAGATCTTATTTAGAAAATCCAATATTTTAATAAGAAATTTTAAAAAAAAATTTATTTTAAAGATATTCTAACTAGAATTCTAAAAAGAACTAGTAAAACCAGATCCGAGAAATAAAAAGATATACTTCTTATCTTTTTATAAGAAAAGCCAAATATTAGGTAAGAAAGAAAGAGCTAGATCTTAATACTCTTAAAATAATTAAGCTACTAGATTATTTCTACTATTTTATTAGAGTAGCTACTTTCTAATTAAATACTAAAGATTCCGGTAACTTAATTAGATTAGTTACTATTAATAAAATTAACTATATATTTAAGAAACAGAATTATAAATTAAAGAAATATTTACTATTACCTATAGTAATTAGATAACTAATACTATAGCCTACCGGATATTATACTCAAACTAGTAACCTAATATATTTCCTGAATATAGATAAACCTAATACCCTTAGTAATATATTATCTTTTAATCCCAAAGAACTTTAAGAGCTTCGGGTATTTCTCTCTATATAGCTATATAATATAGCTAGAGCATTCTCTAAGAAAGTAGTAGATAAGCTTCTCTAATCTCGACTTTTTAATTATAAGCTCTGTTTTAATAAACCAGATCCCTTAATAAAAACGGCCTATTTCTATAAAATAAGCTTTAATAAACTCGAAAAAATAAAAAAGTATCTTATTAAGAACCTAAAAAAGGGTTTTATTAAGCTATCCGAATTCCTCTTCTTATTACTAGTCTTATTTATTAAAAAGAAAGATAGTAGCCTATAATTTTATATTAATTATTAATAGCTAAATACTATAATAAAAAAGAACTACTATTTCCTGCTGCTTATTACTAAGATTCTTAACTAATTAGTCGAATTATTAATATTTATTAAATTAGATATTTAATATATTTTTAATCGAATTTATATAGAACTAGCTTCTATAGTATAAGCAGCTTTTAGAACGAGATATAGATTCTTTAAACTAGTAGTTCTACTATTTGAATTCTATAATAATCTAATAACTTTCTAGTAATATATTAATACTATTCTAATAGACTATTTAAATAACTTTTACTTGGCCTATATTAATAATATACTAATTTTTTCCAAGAATAAAAAGAAGTATTAATAGTATATTAAAATAGTTCTATAAAAGCTCCAGAATACTAGATTATAAATTAATATTTATAAATATAAATTTGAAATTTCTAAGATAATATTCTTAGAATTTATTATTTCGAATTAAGGTATATAAATAGATTCTGCCAAAACTTCTATTATCTAAAACTAGTACTAACCTATAATAAAAAGAGAAATATAGTTATTTTTAGGCTTCTATAACTTCTATTATAGGTTTATTTAAGCCTATAAATATATTTCCTATTCCCTAAACTATCTAACTAAAAAGAATACTTTACTAAAGTTTATACTCAATAAAATCTAGCTAGATGCCTTTAATTAGCTTAAAGATCTATTTCTCTTTATTTCTATACTTTTCTATTTTAAATATAATAGAGAAACCCGCCTGGAAACTAACTATTTAAATCTAGCTACTATAGATATACTCTTTTAAAAAAGCCCAGAAAACAAATAATAATACCCGGTTTTATTCTACTTTAAAGCTCTTTAAGAAGCTAAAAGCTATTATAAAGTTTATAATAAGGAACTTCTTATTATTATTAAAGGATTTCGGTAATAGTAGGTAGAACTAATTAGCTTATCTAATTTTCTAATTATTACTAACTATAAAGTACTCGAATATTTCGGTACTAAAAAACTTTTAAATAAATAATAAATCTAATAGATAAGTTTCCTATTATAATTCTATTACTAGATTACTTATTAGCCGGGCAAAAATAATACTATTACTAATATCTTATCCTAAAAAGACAAGCTTATACTAATCTAAAAGTAGGCTAAGGAAATAAAAAGAACTAGATAAATTATTCTATTAGATCTAATTCTCGCTTCTATTAAAATAATAGATATAGCTTATATTTCTACTAAAATAGAAGAAATAGATAAGCTATTTATTATAATTAAAGTTCTATAAGCTAATTAGATAGACCTAGCCTTAGAGAATAAATATAAGAAAGCCCGGGAAAATACAGATTTATAGGAAATATTAAATAGCTATATACTTTATAATAAAAGACTTATTATATTAGATAAATATAATAATCTATAAACTAGGCTCCTATAATAAATCCATAATATAATAACTATTATATATTCCGGTTAAAATAAGACAAAAATTCTAGTTTAGAAACTTTACTAATAGCCTACTTTCTCTATAGATATTAATTGCTTTATAGTAAACTATTATAAATATTAAAGGTTTTATAAACTAAGAAATAAAACGCCAGGCCTATTATATCTATTACTAGTTCCTCTAAGGATATAAAACAATTTATCTATAAACTTTTATATTTCTAGCTTTATAAATAAGAAATATAATAATATATTTATTATAGTTAATTAATTATTTAAATAATATATAAGCCTACTAATAATTAAAAATACTATAGCTAGAACTATTACTAGCCTATTCTATTACTATATCTAGTAATTTCGAGGATTTCTCCCTATTATTATAAGTAATTAAAGACCCTAATTTATTTCAGACTTTATAAATAAACTATTAAGATTAACTAGAACTAAATTAAAGCTCTTAACTATAGAATATACCCAAACTAATAAATAAATAGAAATTATTAACTAGATTATTAATACCCGACTTTATTTCTTTATTAATTACTTCTAGAATAATTAGATAAATTTATTTCCGATATTTAATACTATAGGTACTACTTGCCTATATAAATTAACTAGCTTATTTCTTTTAATAATTAATTATAGATATAAACCTAGGCTAAACTTTAACTAGATACTACTAATAATAGAGTTTAAAATACTAAAAAAGAAACTCAATTAGAAAGAAATATAATAGTAAACTAAGAGAATTAATATTACTATTAATTATATCCAAGAATATATAATAATAGCTTAGGAATATTAGGCTAAGTAAGCTAATAAGAAATAGTAAGAACCGGATTTCGGTTTAGGAAATATAATTTATATAATTAAAAAAATATAGAAAACAAATTATTTATTTAATAAATTAAATTATTTCCTTATTAGATTATTTAAGATTAATAAAATAGTCGGCTATTTATATTAATTAGATCTTTTTCTATTATATAGAATTTGGCTAATTTTCTATATAAATAGATTTTATAAGAATTCTACTAATCTATTATCTGGCCAGACTAATAAAGAGTCTAGTTCTACTAAAGTTAATAGTAAACTCGAATAAGAAGTTAAAAAGATTCTTTCTTTTAAAGTACTTTATAGTAAGCTTTATTATAAGATTAAATAGAAGAAATAGAATATAAATAATAAATAGTACCTTATATTAAACTTTAAGAACTTAGTACTTAAATTATATAAATTTTATAAGTAGAATTCTAGTAAAGCAGGATTTCTTATCCGACTAAATAAATAGATTTAGTATATGAAAAAAGAATAAGTTTAATAAAAACTACTCAGATAATAATAAGGCCTTTATAACTAGAGAAGAAGAAGAAAAACCTAAACATTTCCCGGGTTTTATCTAAATTCTAGTATATTTTCTTTATTTTATTATATTAATACTTATTTTCTTTTATTATACTAGATTATACTTTATTATCTAGGCAAATTACAAAAAAAAAGTAAATTTTTAAAGCTAAGCCAAAAATAAATACTTATTTATATTAGTTTAAAATATTATTAAAAATTAAGGAAAACCTTTCTAATTACTTTAACCTTTATAACCTTAATTATTTATACTACTATTATTACCTTAATAGAACTATTAATAAAGACGAAATAGACAAGAAATTCCGGTAATATATTATTTATAGCCGGATTAAATAAGGCTACTTACTAGATTCTAGATAATTTAAGTAATAGTAATAGTATCTTAAGTTTAGTAGCTATTATTATTATTAATATAACTACTAGCCAAATTACTTTTATAAACGAAAATAGTAATTCCCTTACCTAAAAATAGATTAATATATAGAATATAGCCTATATTACTCTTAAAAATATATCTGAAATTATTATAAAGAATATCTTAATAAAATATTCTAAAAATAATAAAATAAAGGTTTTAGTTACTAGTAATAATAAGTCTAATAGTCTAATAGGCGGAATAGATAGTATTAATAAGGGCTATTTTATTAATTTTATAAAGTCAAATACTAAGAAAATTAAAAAGAGTAAGGCTAGTTTATTTAAGAAATATAAGATATTAAATAATAGTAAGAATTCCGATAATAAAAAGACTAAGAATAGAAAAACTTCTAGTAATAAAGAAAACTCTAACTATAATAAAAATAGCTAAACTAATATTAAGATATCTATTATAATTAGAAGATATATAATATTAAGTAGTAATTATTATATAAAGTACTAGTCTAAAACTAAGAGCTAGCAAATAATTCTAAAAGCCAAATTAAAGAAGTAATACCCTATAAATATTAATGAATTAGTATATAATACTATTTAGGAAGTCGGAAAACCCCTTAGAAACTTCTATAAAACCAAAATTATATAGCTTAAGGCCCGGGGATTTAATAATAAAGTAGTTCAAATAGCCGCTCTTAATATATAAGTCTCTACTATAAAGGAATAACTTAAGAATATATATATTAAGCTCGAAAAGACCCAGAAGTTAATTAAGTAGCTCAGAAACGGTATAATCAAGTCAAATATTACTACCCTAACTAAGAAAAAAGGCAAGCAAGCTATTATATTAAAGCCTATATTAACGGATAGACTTGATCTACTACCCCTATTTAAAGACCGCCCGATAATAATAGTCCTAATATCGGCCATAGCCTATATAGCACTCCCAGACTATATTATTAATATAGGTATAGGCATAATGCGAGCAATGAATACTAAGGACTGGCCGGAATATACTAGGGACTAGGTTATTCTAGTAAAGTTAAGACTATACTTTAATTATAAGTAAACTATAGGAATTAGACGGAATGGGGTTAATAGCTATTATTTCCTCTTTTTTTCTTTTCTATACTACGGCTAAATAATCCCCTAAATAAGGGCATTTAGACTTCTCTTTGAGAGGAGGGTAATATAACGGCTGGCGTAAGGGCATAATCTGCCAAGGACAGGATATCGGAAACAGGCACAAAACGAAGCTAAGCCGGAATTGCTTAGACGGAATAATACTAAAGGTCGAGGCATCCTCCCTACTTTGTTCCATAGCTTAGTATTTTCCAATACATGAGATTCTTTGAACTTTGAGCTTTCGACCATTGCATTGATCCCGCCGTTACACCTGTAATATACATATCCATTTGATCAATTTATGTTTGAACCTGTATGCCTGAGCTTTTAGGATATATAAGAGGGATGATTTCCTCCCTCTCCGACCATAATGCTTTATCACTCAAGCCTACACATCTTCTTTATAGACTCACCTGGTCACCTAGAGCACTACTCAAATTCTTAGAATCTGTCAATCACCATGCACGTTTCAGCCATTTTTACCACTCTTGCCATTGGCAGCGCCTTTGCCATACCAACAGTCGAAGATCTAAGCGGACCCAGAGATATTGGCAGTCCGATATTAACTCCGCGCGAGGCAGCCAGTAACATGGGCGGCGTTTTTGTCCGGTAAATAAGGTCGATGCACTCAAAAATTCTGGAATAGATGTACTCACACAGAATAGTGAGGTTGCCCCCGGAGAAGCAAGGGTACCTCGAAAATTAACCCGCAACCTTCACGAGGGGCACGTCGTCCACTTTTCTCCCTCTCCATAAGCGAGGCTTACTGGTTACAAGTGACGCCGACGTCGCCGCTCCCGAAGCGAGATCGTTATCGGTCATCCAGGAACGCGGACCCTGGCGACTAACTGGCCGGATTCTCAGAATTATCGCTTCTATATCTGTGGGTCCCGGCCTAGTCCTCAACGAAGTCCTCAGCGTTATATTTGGGGGCCCGGGTGATGTGGGTCCTGTCGCAGACAGCCCCATTGACATTGGAGCAACTGAGATTGACGAGGGAGGAGACGATGGAGAGAATAAATTTGAGTTTCTATTCACGGGAACCCGGGACAGATATCGGTGGCACGGGCAGATTCAGGTTACAGAGGCTGGGGAGTTCAACTTTATAAAGCGGGCAACAGACCATCCTCTTGAACAGCAGAACAACGGGAACTGGGTACCTTCAGCCGTAGATTTTAGCCTCGCTTGTGGATGGGCTAATTAGGAGCTGGACGTGTCTTTACGCAAGAGCTCTGTGACTGAATCCGTCTACCGGTCAACCGAGTACTACATCGGCCAGACTCTGAATTCAGGCTTTTTACTCAGAGGAAGACTTACTGTTATTACCGCGTAATTATCTAGCCCTACACGAGAATTATCCTTCTTTTATAGCTGAGATAATTCATGGACTTCCGTTTTATAGCACTATATACTACTTTATATAATAAAGTAATTTTTAATAAATTATATTATTTCCTTATTAAAAAACTAGTAATATTACTTTCTTTATTTTTAATAATACTCGATTTAATATATATATATATATATATTTCTTTATTTTATAATTCGTTAATTCTCTTATAATTCGTTTTATTTTATTTATAATATATATAAAATTACACGTAACTAAAGGATATATAACGAATCTCGAATATTACGGGTATTAATTAGAGAAATCGACGGCTATTTAATATTATAATTAATTATTATTAATATTATAAGCTTTAGAGTTATAAATTACTAATTATATATATATTATTAGGGCTATTTACTTTGAGAATACTTTCCTGAATTTTATAAAAGAAATAGAAATTAGTTTTATATTAAATTTAATATTATAATTTCATAACTTATTAATAAATACCTTATAAAAATAAAATATATAATTATAATATATTAAAGTTTTCTTAATAATTATTAACTAATATATTTATTAGTAACTATAATTAAAATAAACTAAAATATATAATATTAACTAAATATTACTTTTTTATAATAATCTTTTTCTTAGAATTCTATACTTTAATTTACTTATTAAACTATTTTATTACTTAATTAAATAGCGAGATAATACTAGTATAAAAGTAGCTAGAGTTTTATTTAATTAGGCTAGCTAATTATATATATAAGTTATATATATATTATTTAGGGTATTTATAAATATTTATAAATGCCTTAATTAAAATATAAATAATATATAAATAAGGGCTATTATTTTATTTTGCTTTATTTATTTTATATATTGCTTTTATATAAAGCAAGTATAAATATAAATAATAATTATATTTAAATTATACTCTAGACTATACTTCAGGGTTTTATTTACTAGAGAAAGGCTATATAGAAATACGCGATTTACTTTATTAAAAAAGCCTTTATTATAGCAAGTTATAATTAATTCACTTACTCTCCTCTTATTAAAAGCATTTAACGCAAAGTATAACTGCCCTGGGTAATAGAAATAAGGAGAACTCCCAAATTAGCCCTCTTGCTAGTTAACTCTATACGAAACTCAAGAAAGAGACAATTGATTCATGATACTCAGAAGTTTCTCTAGTGCTATTTCAAGCTTATTTGCGACCCAGAATTAGATACGAGGCCACACTCAGGACCAGTTTAAGTATAATAAGCAGTAATCTAAAGGAACCGGCCAGTGTGTCAAATAATTTAATTAATTATAATTATTGGCCGGTAATTAAATTAAATTAAGTCAGAATAGTAGTAATCAAATTATAATTAATTATTTACTTAATTTAATTAAATATAATTAATTATTTGGTTACGTGGTATTACACGTGACTATAGAGATAGCACAAGCGTTATCGGGCAAAAATAAAGTTTATTCTAGCCTAATTTAGATATTGCCTAACTATAATAGGCTTAATAGCTAGTATGCCGCCTTTACTTTCTTTACTTATCTTTGTAACTGTTGTATGGCAACTGCAGGCTGACCACGTGACTTGTCTTCACGTGACCATGGTTATTCTATTTAAGCTCTGGCCACCCACACCACACCTCTCTTCCTTGGATATCCAATATATACTATATATACCCGTATTTATTGCAATAGTAAATAAGTGTTATGGTAGTGGTTTCGGCTTCCCTAGTTACGTAGTGCGGTCATGTGACATCCGGAGCAAATAATTCACATATATATTACTTTGCTCTCCTTCTCTCTTCTTAGGAAATTAACTTACCTTTGCTCTCTCTACGCTTTAATCGTATATTATTTAAAGAAAAAGAAGAGAACTTATTATTTATATTACTTTTATATAACTGTTACGTAATAATTAAAAATAATTAAATATATTTAATTATAATTAGTCTAATAATTAATTATTTTTTTGGAAGTCGATAATCAAATTATAATTAATTAGAAATTTAATTTAATTAAATATAATTAATTACCTTAATTATTTTTTTGACACTGGAACCGGCGGAGGTAAGCATTTCTACCATTTGAACGGCAGCAAAGCTTCATGCGCTCCTCGCTCTCCTCCACCATTTATTCGTCTTTGCCTAGCCACCTGCCATTTCCCCCAGGAAGTTCGCCGGTACAGAATCACCACTTATTACCAAATGGCCGGCTGGGATCTCCGGGAAATAGCTTCCATCGAGTTAGGTCTAATTTAACCTCATTGAACGACTCCGAGCAGAACTTGTGTTTGCATGCCCCAGCCTGATAGAAATTTGAACACAAGGCCAGCGCTGTCCCGAGGTCGACTCGCCAGCTTTTTGGAAACGTTAAGAGAAGCCAATCATCGTTTTTCATCATTAATGCACGCTTAATAACCTGGATGGACTCGACATTGCTCCTGCAAAGGGAGTAGTGTGATCCCTTCTCCGGTTGCACTGCAGAAGGCTGGAAGCTTAGCAACACTGTTTTGTGGGTTTAGAAGGAAAAGCCGCTGTTAAAGCGGGAAAGCAATTATTAACTGAGCTCCTTATTCGCGGGCCAGTCCATAAAAATGCTTGCGCAGCACCGACGAGGATTTATTGATGTATTATTGGCGAATCTCGTTATCTCATCTGGAATACTTGCTGAAGCCAGGGTTGTGGTGATAGGTGGGATACTGCCGGACTCCGCGGAGCTCACCCCTGACACCACACTATGTGTGGCTGCATTATGCTGATTATCAACATCACCACACACAAAACCATCACCACACATGAAGCAGTGCATCAATCTCTAAGCAAAATCGTGAATTTGCACCGAGAAGCATATTTAATCATTTGCGTCATCATTATGTCCTGCACTGCAGTTTGTCATCCTCAGACCCGATGCAATGGGGATAAATATATGCCCATCCTCTTCCCTTCAAGACATCATTCTCAAGCAACACAGCAATCAACTGTACAGCACAGTCCACCAAACAAAATTCACACTCAAAATTCTTCGCAGACTCACTTACTCATCTTAATATTCAACACTTCGCTACAATGTCCAAGCCAGTCGCAGTTATCATCGGAGCAACAGGAGGCCAGGGTGGTAGTGTCGTCGATTCCTTTCTCCAAGACGGAACGTATCAAGTGAGAGGCGTCACCCGAAACGTTAACAACGCAAATGCCCAGGCCCTTCACAAACGTGGTGTTGAAGTGGTGACTGCTAATCTCAATGATCAAGCATCGCTCATTGAAGCATTTAAGGTATGTACACTGAAGTACTCACAGGCCCTCCCTAACAAGCCAAAGGGCGCTACCCTCATCTTCGCCGTCACAGACTTCTTCGAGCCATTCGCCGCCAAGGGACCTGAGGAAGCCATGAAAGTAGAATCTGTCCAAGGAATCAATCTTGCCAAAGCCGCTTCGGCAACCCCTACACTCAAGCACTACATATGGAGCACGCTTCCCAACGGAAAGAAGATATCGGGAGGAAAATATGTTGTCCCTCACTTTGAAGCCAAAAATCAAATCGATGCATATATCAAGAGTGACCCCACTCTCCTCACAAAGACTACTTTTGTCTGGGTCACTTTTTTTGCAAGCAACTTGTTCTTTCCAATGTTCACCCCAAACCTGATCGTAAGGTAGACCCACCAGGAAGTCAAGAGCCAGCTAAAAAATAGAAACAGAAATCCTCAGGCAAATACGTCTGGTTGCAGCCAGCTCCAGCAGATACGCCAATTCTTTCAGTCGCAGATCAGAAAAAGAATATTGGTCCGATCATCGTGGGAATTGCCAAGAAACCTGAGTTGACTCTGAATGGAAAATTTGTTCTCGCTACAGTGGATGAGTCCACAGTGGAAGAATTTATCTCCACTTGGGGGCGTGTCACTGGCAAGCAGACGGAGTACGTTCAGATCCCACTTGCTGAGTATAATCGCCTCTGGCCAATGTGGGGGCAGGAAATGGGCGTCATGATGGAGTTCTGGGGTGAGTACAAGGAAAAGAGCTGGAGTGGAGAGGATTACATCACGAAAGAAGATTTGGGAGTGGTTGAAAAGCTTATCTCGACGGAAGAGGCACTAGCTTCTTTCGATTACTCTTTGGTGCTGTGAATGCCACAAGATGACAAGCAGGGGGATGATAGTGGTGCGAAGGTGTTCAATGATTAGGGCGGTGGCGGGGTAGCCGAATAGGGATCCTTCATTTTGTGATTTATCAGCGTAATACTTTAGCGAAAAGTCACATTCGACCACATTTGTGTGGTGTTTCCCAACTCCCAGTAAGATTCAGTCATGTGGGGCCAGGAGATGAATTGCTTGGTCAACGTGAAATGTGTTCTCCTCGGAACGCGTTTTGACGTGATGGTTTGTTGTCAGTACTTAACACCTTACGGAGTATCGTACCACTTCCGCAGATTACTGCAACCACACTCACAATGACATCGCCAGGACGGACCCATATCCCTTGGCAAGACCAAGCTGGTCAGATAACCGAGCTAATTAGCTACATCGGCTACCTGGAGGCCAAGGTTTCCTATCTCCAGCAGCACCATGAGTGTTGCACTCCCTGGGCCGTCCCGGATCCTATGATCCTGGTTCCGGACGTGCCATACCTCCCCCCCGAGATGGTAGTGGACTTCGAGTCCAGTGATCTCGTAGAATACCAAGTTAATCAACCTCCAGCTCTTCAGATCGCAGCCACATCACCAACGTCAGCCAAGCCACCTCAAAAGTCCCCGCCGGGAAATAACCCTAGATGGAAACGGATCGTCGACCAGATCACTGCAGGGTGGGACGATCCACGAGGCTGGACCCTCAAACGAGTCACTTGTGGTCTAGACTCCGTAGACCAGAACAACCGCGCCCTCACGCTCATCCTTGGGCTGCAAAACTGCATCCCTTCTGAATGGGCCCAGACTCCTGGCTCCTCTCTTCTCCTAACCGAGGAGAGGCGCCCCGGTATGAATACCAAGGACGCATTGATCTTATCTGCACGTCAGTATGCATTGGATACCAAGGCTTCGGGCACAAACACGATGTTTGTCTCGCAGATTCATAATTTCAGAGAGCTGGTGTTTGCTAGCTTATGTGTAGTTATGGAGCATCAAGGGCTACCGATAAATACCATCAATGATTTGATGAGGATATGTATGTCAAGCTCTGGGGCAGCGAACCTGTACCGTCTGAGGAGAGGTGCGCTGTGGGTGAACCGAGTGATCAGAGGTCTGATTATACGAGGATGGGGCCATGGGGCCACTGAGCTATTCTTCCTGTGTAAGATGTTCCCTCCAAATCGATCAGGTTTTCCAAATGTGGCATGAACCAGGCTGATTCATGACAATAGCCGGACGGCCAGTATCCCAATATGGCCTACTTTGGGAAGCGTGCATGCACTCCTTTCCGTATCTAAGCCAGGGGCTTGAGGATATCCGTTGTGGGCTCGACAAGCCTCTTGATAAGGAGGGGTGGATTCCGTTCTTCATCCCAGTCATCATCAAAGGGCTGGTGGGGGACGCTCTGACGTACGTGGGATTTCCTGGCACCGTAGTATGGCTACTGACTTTGTCAGACTTGGACAAATTACCCTGGCTCTGGATTATTCAGACGAGTCCCTGGCTAAACTCAACATAGACATGACATGATCGACGAATGGTAAACTGTATTTTGGCACCATGGATATAAAGGTTCAGCATTAAATGTATGGTGCTCGTTGGGACGCGGAACTTGGAGCTTTTCATTTACCTATTACCATGTGATAATCAATTCGTAAATTAATCAGCAGCAATAGGGGATGCGATCTATGCCTGATTTAAATAATCTTTCGGAGGCATGCTTAAAAATGGCCAAAACAAGACACTGCCGAGCGATTCAAGAGACAGAGAAAGGATCTCGACATTAATTAGCTTGCAGCGAGTCTGTGTTCGGCTTGAATTCTAAAACGTTCTTCGCTTTTACTGGAACACCCTCTGCGAACGTGCGATATGAACAGACAAGTTCCGATGCTCTTCGAAGGAATGTGGAAGTTACACATTTCACGCTCGGGAGTGAAAAATTGAGAAGTGATATAACTAATTAAGTACAATTTCAAGCACTAGAACCCTAATTCACAAGTAAACGGGGCTAAGAGACTCCGTCAATCTTCCCAGATCAAGCGTTCGACTCCATTATAAGTATCACGGAAAACTGCCTATATCGAGTTATTCAGCGGGAAGGAAAATTTAAGAAGTAGTTCATTTGGGATGCAGAAACAATGCATTTTACCAGCCGTGGTGTGAAAGTCTTCCCAGATACTGGTATATTGCAGCAAGTTCGAGATAAACGGTTCACTGAAAACATAATTAGCCATACGCAATTTCCTGATGTACTCTTAGCTGCGGCGTTTCCGAATACTGCCAAAGTATCTAGATGTGTGTATCGCACCCTAAGATCTTGCAATACGTGAGAAGTGCTATTCTCAGTAAGCTTGAGTGTGCTGAGCATTAAATCGTCGCGGAAATAATCACAAACTAATGGAGGTGATCTCTGCGGAAGCTGTTCCTGACGTTGACAATGCGTTAATCGCCAGTACAGGGCTTGTAATTCACAGATACACTAGTGCCCAACGAGAGAGAGAAAATTCTGATTGCGAGCGGTGGTTTTGGAATGACAGAGAGATATAGAGGCAACGCTAGAAGTTGGCGGTGTGTTAAATCTAAGTGAGGACGAGGACAATGTGGCCCTTGTGATTGGAGGAAGTTCGTAGCTTGTCAAGTCGGGACTTATTCTTCGAGTAAAAGGGTCTGAGAATAGAGATCCATTAGCAGGTGAGAACTTTTGGGAGAAAAGATATAAAAGGAACAGAGCGAGGATTCCACATCAAGGTGGAGAAGGATTCCTTGTTAATGTTTTGAAAGTACTTTGGCACCTTTTGCTAGGCGTTAGCCTTGAAATTCGGTACCATAGGTGCAAGCGGATGGAGCTGAGGAAGGAAGGCTCGAATGAAACGCAGATTACAAGTTAGGAAACTGAGGAATATCTTCACTGTCCCTCCTGTATTTCCTTTTCCTAACTGTACCGTCATTTTTTAGCTTGACAGCAAAACGCTTACTCTCTTATTTCTCGCCCAACTAATCTTTCTTTTCAGGTCGAAGTCAACTTAACTTCCCCCTTTCCTCTCCGCAACTTCAACACTCGCGAAGCCCAACGCGTCGAGGGAAATTCGTAACGCGATTGCGGTATCAACAGACTACTCGTCATCGTCGAAATATGTAAGTCATCCAATGTCCTCGAATTCTCGACGATTGGCCCCTGACTCGAGCTTCCCGCGACAACAAGTGCGTCCCCCTATACGTTTGAAGGTGAATCACAGCAGTCAGAGTTGACTAGCAGGACTAGCAACCTACTATGGAAGCCGTTATGGAAGGCAGCAACTCGATGTCGGACGTTGCCAACGCTCAGTGTGAGAAAGAAATACTCAAGGTATTCATACTACTCATGAATATTCATAATTAGTGTTGAATAGAGTGTAAAATTCAAAAAAAATTGACTAGAGTATAACATATAATTACGAGATCAGGGAGAAATTAAAGCCTGGCGGCCCTATACAAGCTCCGGGGCCAGTCTTTAATTTTGCCCTGATCTCGATTCGAGATTAAGAGGGTCACGTAACTTTAGCTCTAATATAAAGCTCTCTCTTCCCTTTTATAAACCCTTTTAAGCCTTACTTTTACTTATTAAGCTCTCTTTCTTACTTAATTTCCCTCTCCCTCTTTTTTTATTATATATAGCCATATTACGCTTGCAAGCTCATACTAATATAATATATAAGTATACGGGAAATTAGTCTTTTTAAAAGCTTTTATTTAAATAATTATTGATTTCTAAAGCCTGTTTTCTATTATCTTTTATAAAATACCTATAGTATTTTATAGCCCTTACTTTTCTAAGTATTTGCTTGCCCGATTCCCTAGTATATACTTATATATATCTTTAAAGCTCGTCTCTTATAGGCTTATTTTCAAGTCGCAATACTCTTATTTACTTCTTTTTTTAAATACTATATTAATAATTTAACTTTTGCTTCCGTTTTTAATATATAGAATATATAAAGAATTATTTAAAATCAGAAAGGAAGTATTTTTAATTATAACTAGAATAATATTCTAAGAGAAAGAATTAATAAATATTTACGAATAGGGTTTTCTATTTACGGGTTAGCTCGTCTGTAAATTAATTTACTAGTACCTCTTTATTTATAAATCCCTCCTTTTTATTTATAAATCTCTTTTCTTTATTTATAGGTCCCTCTTTATCTGCAAGTTCTTCTCCTTTATTTATAGGTATATTCTCTTTAGCTATAAGCCTCTCCTCTCTTTATATTTCCAAATATTAGCTAGCTATAAGCTAGTACTATACTTTCTTCTATTTCTGCTCTTACTTCTATTTCTATTTATATTCCTGCTTTTCCCTCCTATACTCGTCTATAAACTGCTATATATTAGTACTACTATTTACTATTTGCAAGCTCTTACCGGATTATTCTCTTCCTATTTCTTTTTTTATTCTATTTCCTACTACTTCTCTTTTTTATACTACTACTATTTATTATTTTATAATTGAGCCTAGAACTCTCTTTACTTATTTCAAGCCTGCCTTTAGGCTTCTTCTTCTAATTATATCTTCTCTAAGTCTATAGAATTCTATATCTCATACTTTTATACTTATAGTTTTGCTTTCTTTATTTATAAGACCCTTCTATTATACCTTTCTTATATAAACTCACTTATAGCTTTATAGTATTTATTATACTTTTATATAAGGCAGGTTTTATAAATATAAAATTAATATTTATTCTTATAAAAAGAGAAGCTTATAATTAAGTAAAAGAACTTATATTCGGAATAATATAGCCGGTTTAAAAAAAGAGTATATATTAGAAGCCTATAAAGCCTATAAAGCCTATAAAGCCTATTTCTTTATTTATTAAAATATTATTATATTAGTAGTTATATATAAATATCTCTAATTTAGCTAAAATATAATCCAAATTAGAGATATTTATATATAGCTACTAATATAATAAAATATAATTAGTTTATAAATCTTATAAAAGATAGCCTATAGAGCCTATAAATCCTATAAAATAAAGCCTGAACTATAAAATAGGCCTAAAGTTTTAATATTTCTATATAAATTCATTTATATAATAGTATTTGTTTTTTTCGGAAAATAGTAAAAATATAAAATAGATAAGTTTAGAGCTACTTTACTAAAATTATTACTAGTAGCCCTATATAAGCTCTGGGGCTAGTAATAATTTTACCCTAAACTCGTTCCAAATAGGTTTGAAATATAATAAAGGCTTTTAGCTAAGTATATAAATTAGATATAAACTTTTTATAAATAATATAGAAGAAAAATAGCCTATAAATAAGTTAAAAACTAAATAAGAACTTATAATATTTCTGGATATACTATATTACTTATATAATTTATATTAGAAAATAAAAAAATATAAAGCTCAATTTATAAGATTACTTATAAGGCCGCTATATAGAACTAGCTATAAGAAAAGACTAGTAATTATAAATTTACTTTTATTATCTTAAATAACTAGCTTTATAACTTATTAATAATTATTATAAAAAATAAATTAAATAGAAACTATTTATAGGAAAATATAAAAGATAATTACTAATTTATAAACTAGAGCTTAATTTATAGAATTATTTATAATTAGTTATTAAAGTTATTATCTAATAGCTATATTTGAATTAAGAATCTTTTAAAGTTATAAATTAATATTTGTAATCTATTATAAAGCCTTTTCTATAAATAGAGATTTTATAAAAGTATTATAAGTATACTAATCTTAAATTATAGCTTGAAAAGAAATAAATCTAGTAAATAAATACTTTATAAAACCTCTAAAAATAATTTTATAATTATAGAATTTGCTTTATTTATATTAGTTAAATTTATTATAAAATATATTTATTTCTAGCCAGGAAATATATCTAGAATTTTTTAATTAAGTTTATATACTATACTATTTAGAGTTAATAGAATTACTTATTTATTAAAGACCTAATAATTATATAAGGCCCGTAAAAGTTACTTTTATAAATAAATATAATTAATTAGATTTATAACTAATTAGATATATAAAATAAAAGGCAAGAATATAATTTATTTATTTAAAAACAGGTTATATAGAAAACTACTAATTTAGTCTATAAAATCCTATTTAGACAAGTTATTATAGACTTATATATTAATTCGTAATAATAACTAATAAAACTATAACTAGATCTATATTTATTATAAATAGGCCCGTATTATATTAGTTTATAAATTATATAAAATTACTAGTAAAATCTAAATAAAGTTTTTCTCGAGAATTATAAGTATTTCTCTTAAAAAAAATTATTTATTACTAATTATAAATTAATTATTAACTAGTATATTACTTTATAATAATACTTATATTATATAAATATCTTATTTTAGATAATTAGATTTATAGATTATAAAATAGTTTCGAGCTAACTTATTTTAATAATTATATTTATAAATAATTTATTAAACTCGAGTAAAATCCGGAATTAGAAATAAAATATATATTTATCTATTAATATTATATATAAAACGACCTTATCTTAGCTATAATAATAGTAATAGAAAGTCTTATAAAAGAATATTTTATTAGTTTTATTTGAGTTCTATAAATAGAAATAAACTATTTATAAATTATTTATAATTATTACTAGAATTATTTAGAAATAAAAATACTAGTTTATATTTAGCTAAACTTATATTATAATTACTAGTAATATCTTATAGATATAATTAATTTATAGATTAGCTATATAATAGCTTATAATCTAATTAAAGGTATTCTTAAATAAAATAATATTTATAAGTATTTACTAAAGATTTATAAAGCTAAAATTAAATAAAAAGAAACTATAATTATAATAAAAATTAACTAAAAATAACAGGAAATTAATTAATAGGTTATAGGCTAGCTTATAGACTAGGTTATTATAGAAATACTTTTTATACTAGTTCTAGATTATTTATATATCTGAAATTAGCTATTAATAAATACTTATAAAAAAGAATATTTATAAATTATAGCTAATTATTAATAAAATAATCTTATTAAAATACTAGAATTATTTCTAATTATTTTCTATTAAGCTATAAGTAATATAAATAATATAGAATATAGAATAATAAATGCCCTTAATTAAATATAGCTTATTAAAGAATTATAAATTATATATAACTATTAGTAAAAGCTATAAATAGAACTATTTATTTAAAACTAGACTATAGTAATAAATATAGCTAATACTATATTCTTATTTATAATACTTCTATATTCGGGTTTTAGTAACTTATATAAAGTATTATAAGAACTTATAATATAAGTATTAGCGGTTATTTTTATATATTATATTATATTTAAAAAAGGCTATTAAAATTAAATAAATATTTGCGGTTTTATTTATAACTTATTTAAATAAGAAATTAGTTATAAAGCAAATTATATATTATTTAGAAAAATAGAATATAAAAAAATAAATTAAAGAAAACCTTTAATATATTAGATATTTAAATAAATACTAGAAAGCCTTTATAAAGCCTATATATTAAGTCTAGAAATACTAGATAATCTTATTATTTATTCCTAAAATAATAATAATTATATAATTTATTTTCTTATATATATATATTTATAAATATATTTAATTACTTATATAAATATATAAATCTCAATATTAATATATAAATAGAATTTCTAAAAAATATATAAATTATATAAAATAATCTAATAATTATATTATAAATAGTAAGAAATAGTAATTTATATAAGTAGTTATCTAATTAAAAGAAGCTCTAAAAAAAGCTTCTAGATCTAATTAAATAAAAGGAGGCTACTAAGTAAATAAAACTAAAGCTCTCTAATACTTATATATATAATATATTTCCTAAAGGCTTTTAATTCTATATATAAAGGAAATAGCTAGTAAAGTACTTCTATAGAATATCCCTAGTAAAAATAAGTATATATATAGTTTATTTCCCCTAATTAAGAACTAAGAAATTATTATTTCCTAATGCCTTATATTAAGCTAATAGAACTAAAAGAGATAGGAAATAAAGTATTTCTAGATATTTCTGGTAGTATATTTAGTTTCAAAAAAGCCTAGCTCTAGTTCCGAACGGTTCTATAAGCCTAAAGCCAGGAAATTATATTATATATACTATTAGTATTTAAAATACCCTAGTAGCTTTATTCTCTTTTTTATCTAATTCTTTTTCTTAAGCTATCTATATAGCTTCTTATATCCCTTTACTATAAGACGTTCTTATATATTCTTTAATTTCTTATCTATAGGCTATAAATTAAATTTCCTAATATAAGAACTAGTAGTTATAAGCTCTAGAATAAAGTAATTAATAGGCTTTTATAAGTACTTTTCTATTTTTATTCTCTTATAAAAATATAAATAGCTTTATAAATTAGATTATCTAGTAAGAGAAATAAAGATCCCAAGTAAAGAATATTTATTTTACTAAATTAGGGCCTTAAAGATTCTTCTATATTACTCGAATATATAAACGGGTTCTCTAAATATATTAGCCTTAATTACTAAAGCGAGTTATTATATTCCTTAAATAGATATAAACTTGGCTATTACTATTTAAAGAAAGTTCTTAATTACCAGAAATCTTTTAATTTCTATAACTTAATAGGTTTGAGCTTATATAAAAGCTTAATATTAATTATTAATTCAGGCTTTAAAAGATTTTAAACCTATTTTATTATAATCCAGAATTCTATTATAATTCTCTCTTATTTATTTCCGTATATTATTTTCTAATAACTAGAATTTATTATAAAAAGCTTATATAATATTCTAAAAAGAAAGCCTTTATTATAAAACAAGTAACTTAAGGTATAGTATAAGTAAAATAGGTTCTATTATATAGTATATCTAATTCCAGATATTCTAATACTAAGAGCTTTATATTAACTAATTCAATTACTTGGTAGTATATTCCTTAAGCCTAAATAAGTATTTTTCCTTAATATTATTAAAATAAGCTAAATATAGAGCTCTTAGTTATACTTTCTTCTCTGCTTCTAGTTTTCTATCTATATCTTATATTACTAATAAAATATTTTACTCGATATTTAATTATTTAATTATTTAATTAATTATAAGAAATAGAAAGGGCTTTATAAAAAGCAGATAAAGAGCTTTAAAAATATTAGAATTAATAAAGTACTATATATTTCAAAAGATAGAATTAATTTTAAGCTCTATATATTATATAGAAAAGCTTTTATAATTAGTAAGGCATATATTAGAAACTAGTAAAGCTACTATTCTAAAGAGAGAAATAAAAAATAAGAAAAATAAGTAAAACGTATTCTTTTAATAATTATAATTATAGTAAGAATAACTATAATTACTAGAATACTTATTAATTACTAATAGAGGTATATAGCTAGTATACCGGACTTATAACTATTATAAATAGTAAGAAATAGTAATTTATATAAATAGTTATCTAATTAAAAGAAACTCTAAAAAGAGCTTCTAGATCTAGCTAAATAAAAGAGAGCTACTAAATAAGTAAAGCTAAAGCTCTCTAGTACTTATATATATAATAAATTATTATAAATAATTTTCTAATCTAGAAAGCCTAATTTATAAACTATAAATATATAGCTATTATTCTAGTACTAGTACTCGGGATATTTATTCTTATAAATAATTATTATAGTTATAAATACTTTAAGAAACTTCTTCTAATATATAAACGGAATTATAAGTATTTTATAAATTATATATAAGGCTTTTAAATTATTATTAAAACTATATAGCCTGTAAAATATCTAACTAATAATTATAGCTATAAATTTATTTATAAAATTCTATAATAGATCTAGAAACTTAATATAAATAATATTATTAACTAAATTAGAAATTAAAAAAATAATATTTCTTCTAAAAAATAAAAATAAATATATATATAAAAGGCTATATTTCTAGTACTTAATTATATAAATATAGCTTATATATTATTCGAAAAAATAGTTTTTAAAATCTATAAAAAACTGTCATATATACGGGTACTAGAAAGCTTAGCTTTACTTACTTAGCGGCCCCTTTTATTTCTAGAGGCTTCCTTTAGAGCTTCTTTTAATTAGATAACTACTTATGCAAATTACTATTCCTTGCTATTTTGTAATAGTTATAAGCCCGGTACACTAGCTACACACCTCTATTAGTAATTAGTAAGCGTTCTAGTAATTGCGATTATTCTTACTACAGTCGTAATTACTAAAAGAATACGTTTCACCTGGTTTTCTCATCCTTTATTTCTCTCTTTAGAATAGCAGCTTTACTAGTCTCCGATATACGCCTTACTAATTACAGAAGCTTCCCTATATAGTATATAGAGCTTAAAATCAATTCCACTTTTCGAAACGTATAGTACCTCATTAATCCCGATACTCCAGAAGCTCCTTACCTGCTCTCTGCAGAGCCCCCCCTACCTCTTATGATTAATTAAATAATTAAGTAATCGAATATCGAGCGAAACACTCTATTAGTAATATGGGATGCGGATGGAAGGCCAGAAGCAGAGAAGGAAGTACGACCAAGAGCTCCACGTCTAGCTTGTTTTAATAATATTAAGGAGGAATACTCGTTTAGGCTTAAGGAGTACTCTATTAAGCAATCGAATTGGTTAATGCAAAGCTCTCGGTATTAGAATATCTGGGATTAGATATGCCGTATAGTAGAACCTGCTCTGCTCGCACTATACCTTGAGTTACTCGTTTCCTAGCAGAGGCTCTCTCTTTAGAACGTTATACGAGCTCTTTGCAAGAAATTCCAGTCATCGGAGAATAATACACGGGAATAAGTAAGGGAGAATTATAACAGAATTCTGGACCGTAGCAGAATAGGTAGAGAATCTCCTATAGCCTGGATTAATAATTAGTACCAAGCTCTTATACGAGCTCAAACCTACCGAGTTACAGAAGTCGAAGGATTCCTGATAATCAAGAACTTTCTTTAAATAGTAGTAGCCAAGTTTATACCTATTTGGGGAGCATAGCAACTCGCTTTAGTAATTGAGGCTAATATGCTTAGAGAGCCCGTTCGTATACTCGAGTAATACGGAAGGATCTTTAAGGCCCTGATTTAGCAAAATAAATACTCTTTACTTGTAATCTTTGCTTCTCTTACTAGATAATCTGATTTGCAAGGCCACTCGTATTCTTATAAGGAAACAAGAGCGGAAAAGCACCCGTAGAAGCCCGTTAATTGCTCTATTCTAGAGCTTGTAACTACTAGTTCCTGTACCAGGAAACTTGATCCATAGCCTACGGACGAGTAATTAAAGGCCGTACGAGAACGCTTGGTAAAGGGATACGAGAAGCTATATGGGCAGCTTGAGAAGAAGGGTTAGATAAAGAATAGAGGGAAGTTACTAGGGGACTTTGAGTATTAATAGTATATATAATATAGTTTCCTGGCTTTGGGCTTGCGGAGCCGTCCGGGGCTAGAGCTAGGCTTTTTTGGAACTAAGTATACTACCGGAGACGTCTAGGGATACTTTACTTCCTACCCCTTTTGGTTCTATTAGCTTAATATAAGGCGTTAGGGAATAACGGTTTCTTAGCTCTTAATTAGGGGAGATAGACTATATATATACACTCCTTTTTGCTTTGCTAGGGGTGCTCTATAGGAGTACTTTACTAGCTATTTCCTTTATATATAGAATTAGAAGCCTCTAGGGAGTGTGTCGTATATACGGGTACTAGGGAGCTTAGCTTCGCTTACTTAGCGGCCCCTTTTATTTCCAGAGGCTTCCTTTAGAGCTTCTTTTAATCAGACAACCACTTATATAAATCACTATTCCTTACTATTTTGTAATAAAAACTTTTTTACTTTTAGAATAAAAATCTAATAAAGGAAATCCGAATAATTAATTACTTATTATTTATTTAAGAAATAATCTATAATCTCAGGCTAATATAAGTTAGTTATAAAGATAATAAAGAAGCTTAGCTTATTAAAGTATTATATAATAGCTATTAAGTTTTAAAAAATCTATTATATAAAATAATTATTATTTATAAAGTTTAATAAAAGAATAAAAGAATAATTAATATTATTTATATAAATATTCTTATAAATTAAAGTATTTATAAAACTCGTATATATATTTATATAAATATTTTACTAATATAAATAAAGCTAGTTAAATAAGATAATTTTATAAATAAAATATATATATTAATAATATATTATTAAAAGAAGTAATTAATATAAATAAATAGAAAAAAAGCTAGATAAATATAGAAATAATACTAGTAAAAAACCTATTATTCTAGCTATATTTACTAATAAGTTCTATTATAGTCTTATAATTATAAACTATAATACTAGTTCGGGTTATTATATAAGAAAAATAAAATATATATTATATATATAATATTAATTATATATATTTATAAATATTTATAACTTGTTTTATAAACTATAAATATTAGATTATAATAGCTTATATTTATATATTTATTTGAAATAAAGGCTATAACCTTATTATTTATTAGGAAATTCTTATAATAATAATTAATATCTAATTCGAGAATTAAATATATTTATAAATTAAATAAGATTCGAAAATTAGTTTACTAATTTATAAAATACTTATAGGCTATTTTATAAATTATAATAAACGAATTATAATTCGTAAATATATTTATAAGTTATAAAAGAATTATATAATCTAAATAAAAGAAATTAATAACTTATATATTAGTTATAAAAAGCAAATTATAAAAGAAAAGCTATATAAAGAAATATTTAGTATATAAAGCAGGCTATAATAGGCCTTAAAAATAAAAGAACTTATTATAAATCTAAAAGTACTAAATCTTATAAAAGAAATTAATTTATATATTCTTTTTATATTTAATTAATATAAAAGTAAAAATAGAATTATATATTTAAATATTTATTTAAATAATTTAGTAAAATAGATTATTATTTATAAAAAAATAAAAGAAATATAAAAGAGGCTTATAGATTAAAGAAAGTATTATATTATATTTTTTATAATAGGCTTTAAAGTAATTATTTATATAACTAAAATAAAGGGCTTTATAAGCTATATAATAATTTATAAGTAAACTAGTTATATATATAGAAGCTAGCTAGAAATATAAAAAAAAGCCAGGAAGTTATATAATAAATAAATCTATAAAAGAATTCTTTAAAATATTAACTAGAGCTATAATAGATAATTAATAAATCTATTACTAGTATTATAAAACTAATTTATTTATAGAAATATCTATAATTAATTATTATTATTATTAGAAAATAAAGAGAATATTTAAATTAAGTTCTTATAAGGCAAAATATAACTAGTATAATATAATAGGCTATATTTATTAAAAATTATATTATTTTAGTAGTTTTAAGGTTTTAATTATATAATAAAGACTGCGGCTTTTTATATATAACTTATAGGAATTATATAAAAAAACTAGTTTTTCTATACTTCTAGAAAATAATTTCTTTTTAGTATTTAATTAATTAAGCTTTTATATACTATATACTATTTATACTTTACTATTTATATTTTTAATCTTATTATTTTATTATTAAATTACGTTTTATATTCTGGTATACTTTATATAGGTTTTTGTTTTATTATAGTTTTTCTTTTATATTAGATATAATTAGTAGTATTTCGGGCTTATTAACTAGTTAGATAAAATTAAAAAAAAGGAAAATATAAACTTAATAGTAAAAGCAAGTCTTATATAGCTTAGTCTGTTTTATAATCAAGTTAGAAATAGGCTAGTTCTATTTATAAGAAATATAAAAGTAAAGAGAATTTATAGTAATAAAGAAAAGAAAAAAAAAAGAATAATATAAAACTAGGGGTTTTTTTTATACTTTCTATAGAACTACTATCTTTAGATTTTCTCTCGAGTTTTAAAAAATTATAATAAAAGCCTCTTATATTTCAGAATTACTAAAATATAAAGAAAGATACTTGAGCTCTTTTTCTTTTATTCTAAGCTAAATACTAAGAATTTAGATATAATTATATTCCGATATATAATTCCCTAAAATAGAATAATTCTAATATTTCTTATATAACTAGTTTTTTTTCAGGAGTTCTAAGAGCTAACTATTTAGGGTAATCCGAATATAGGATAATATAAAAGAGAATAAATATTAAAATTAGAAACCTAAAGCCTCTAATAAGTAAAATAAGCTCCAAAATAAAGCTTTAGGAACTATATACTAATAGGGCTTAAGCTATAGGCTTATTATTAAATAGATTATATTTTATAAGATTAATTTAGGATATAATATATCTTATAAAGCTAAATCGGTTTAGCTAAGGTTAAATAGTTTAATATAAGGCTTTCTAGTTTAGGGATTTAGTATATATAATTTAGGGAATTTAGGGCTATATAAATAGGCTATTTACTATTATAGAATAGTAGTTAATTTAGTATATTTTACTTAATTTATATTATATATATATAACTCTAGCTTTATTATTAAACTAGTTTAATAATAAATACTAGTAATTACTTATTATATAACTATAATATATTAAGGTTTCCTTAATAATTAATAAATAACTAAAGTATTTATTAGTAGTTCTAGTTAAACTAAGCTAAAATATATAATATTAGCTAAGTACTAATTTTTTGTAATAATTAGCTAATTATTCTCTTCGGAATCCTGTACTTTAATTCGCTTATTAAGCCTCGCCGCCGCCTAATTGGGTGGCGAGGTTATACTAGAGCGGGAGTAGCTGGAGCTTTACTCAATAAGGCCATCCGGTCACGTGCGTAAGTCACGTGCATATAACGCAAAGTATGTTAAGAGGGTAATTTTGGGGTCCTGCAAAAGAGCATATAATTGGTATAAAAGCTAAGGTTTACAAGTGCCCAAAAATCAAGGTTTTATTCTTAGCGCCATCACGTGCCAAACCAGCCATTTCAACAAAGTATTCATGAATATTCAATTCATTACATTATTACCTTGATTGGAATATAAGTAGAATATAAGTAGTATAACGGCTGGTGTTATATGGGTACTACGGGTTAGTTTCAGCTAAGGTTTTAGCTAAGGTATCAAGCTTGGTTCCAAGCTAAGGTTCAAACTAAGCTCGGCGTTTTAGTGATCTTGGCCGTACCTACTTATCCACTGCCACACCTCACACCTTTCCCCCTTAGCTTTAGATCCTTAAGACATTGGAATTATAGATCTTTGAGCCTCGTTCCATTGCTTTATTCCTGCCGTCACAAGTAGAATATAAGTGAAATATAAGTAAAATACAAGCAAAATATAAGTAGAAGGATATTTAATGAATAGAATATAAGTAGGGGCCATTAATCAACTCTATTCATTTCTCACACTGCCAACGCCATCAAATAGACATTGTTCCAAGTATGCTCGACGAAAGCAGAACAAGAAGTAGAGGGAAGCAGACCGGAAGGAGCGTGAGCGCATGGGGGCAGAAAGGATCGACGCGGCAATTACTTTGAATCAAGAACAGACGGCCGCGGGGGTAGATGGCAATGGAAAAGTCACGAATAAGGATGGAGTTGAGTCCGCCGTCAGTTCTGTTCGATGGAACACTGGCTCACTTTTCAAAAGATCGAGATACTTCCACCGTCTCGCGTAATTCCACCAATGCCGATGGTCCTGGCGTCAAAGGTCCCGTTGTTGCAACAACCTGGGTCAAAGGTCCATAGGTCGAAAGCGTCTATGACTCTCCCGAGTATTACTCTTTCGCACCCCACCATGTCACGGATGTCTTCGCCTCAGCCGTTGCACGTCGTCCGGTAAAGCTCCTGCCGTTCACACTCTTCTCGCAGATGCCAGTGGAACTCCGCCGCAAGATCCGGCACGCTACTTTTCGTCCGCGACGCCATGTCTGGTCGTGCGAGGATAGAACAGGCCCCTGCTGTAAATTAGTTGGGTTCGCCCACCCACCCGTTGGCTTATCCGTCAACAAGGGCCTTGACACTCTTCGCGTAGAGACGAATATACTGAAGGCTGTAGATCTTGAGAGTTTTGCAAGAATCACTTCTAGAAATCAACTATTGACATCCTCGGCCAACTTCAACATTTACAGATTGAGGAGTGGGGTTTCAAACCTTTCAGAGGTCAATATTATTTTACCGATCTTCCAAAGGGTGATTCGAAGTACTTCCAGGGACTAAAGACACTGACATTTGTTCCTCTTTGTTTCATCTTGTGGAACGAAGAGGATCTCGAGGGGCAGAATGGAAAATTTTTCGTTGAAGGATACGAGGAGGTTTTTTTTGGTTTTTTTTTTTTGCGAAGCTGGTAGTTGAGGATACCATTGAGACAATCCCCAACATTATCATGACCAAGCCCACCCCTGGAGGAGAGCCGATATGCAAATGGTACTACTGGAAGTAGGCATAGACTCGTTCGAAGTGGTGGACTAAGCGCTGGGTGATCTTCTAAGCTCTGGGTGTCAAGGTTGATGAACTTGAGGAATAGTTGGTACATATATGTTTGCGAAAACAAAATTTGCCGACTGCTTTTTGAGGAGATCGCACTGGTGAGAAAATGTTAGCAAGATTCGTTTGGTGCTTGCTTCGGTGAGGCAGGAGAAGAACAGAACCGATGTGGGAGCATCTAGCAAGAAATAGAGCCAAAATTTGCAACATACGCTCGTAAACCCATGTCCTCTTCTCTCCAGGAACAGAGATCATCACAATATCGCCAGTCACGCGACGGGTGAACTCACAGGACAATCAACAGGCATATGAGAAAGATCTGCAGTTCCTCGCAGCTTCATGATCTACCCGCCGGCCCAAAATGAGATCATGCTCCAAGAATGCCAGAGTTGAAACATGCAAAACCGCGGATCCTCCACAGCGGTGTACGCCATCTGGCTCGGCCCCGGATTTACTTCCCTCTCATATCAAACTTCTCCCCCACCAACTCCTCACTCAAGCTCCAAAGTCTCTCCGCAATCTTCGGATCCGTAGCGTGTTCCGCCGCAGGCGCAAACTGGCAATCAGCCAAATAGCCACCCGGCATATCTCCAAGAAATCGGTATCAGCACAAGTTTCTTTTCCAAAGGCACTCCAGTAAGAGAAAGGCGGATCGCGTAAACAAGCACAGGTTGAACGACTTACCATTCATTTTTGGATCAAAAGCAGCAACCATCGCGGTCGCCGCCCCCTGATCCCCAGATTTCCACACCTTGCCCGTAGTTTTGATCAGCGCTTGTCCCTGCGCGTCAAGATTCCTCGCTAGACCTGTCCAGATTGCTTTTCGCTATCAGCCCGACCCTTTCTCCTCAATTCTCGATGGGGTACTCACAACCAGGATGCACACTAAATGACAGAACGCCTCTGTCTTTCAAACGTTCTGTCAAAGACACAGAAAACAAAATATTCCCCGTCTTACTCTGCCCGTATGCCACGAATGGACTATATGTGACTTCCGGATCCATCAGTGCTTTGGGCAGCCCTGTCGGTGGCTTTTCCTCCTCTGGTAACTCCTCATATTTCTTCAGAAAATTGAAGTCCGAGAAGCGTATCGGGGAGAGTCGATGGCCAGCGGAGGTCAAGTTGATGATCCTTGTGCTGCCAGGTATGGCTGATTGCGAGGCTGCGAGGAGTACGTTGGGAAGCAAGAGGTTGGTGAGCAGGAACATTCCGATGTGGTTTGTGCCGAAATGCATCTCTATGCCCTCCGTTGTGGTTTCGCAGTCGGGGACGTTGAGGGCGGCGTTGTTGATTATGATGTCTAACTTTGAGGTGAGAGTCTCCATTTCCTTTGCTGCTTTGCGAATGGAGGATTGCGAGGAGAGGTCGAGGGTTAGGGACTTGACAGGGCTATTGGGGGTGATGGCATGGATTGAGGAGATCAAGGTGTTGATCTTGGAGGCGGTACGGGAGGCGAGGATGAGTAGACTTGGTGAGTGCCGCGAGATGGACAGGGCAATGTGCTCGCCGAGGGAGTTGGGACTGGCGCCCACGAGGAGGACTTTGGAATGGTGTCAGTTGGGTTTATTTTTGAGGTTGAAGAAGGTGGAAAGGAGGGGCGTGTTTGTACTATTTTTGCCTTTGATTTGCTCTGAGAATGTATTAGTTACTTCGGTGGCTGTGGTTGCCTCGCCGAATTTGGAGCAAGAAGTCATTGTCCCAACAGAGAAAACATGCAACCCTTTGAAGTTCAAGGACACAGAAGCTAGATAAACACAAGACTACAGCCTCGTAGAGCCTTGCAGGGTATTCGGTGATGGCTGTTCGAGCCCCACATGAGCTACCCCGCACCTGGATGCGGGGGTGAAGCGCTGCGTTTCACGGTGCGATGCTTCCGAAGCCCCTGTAATATATCCACTGTAGCGGCGAGTGGTTGACAAAGCGCAACCAACACCTGAAGGCTAATCTGGAGGATTCCCGAGGTTTTGATGACGACTTCGGAGGAATGTTTGCCTAGGGCAGTTGAAATAACCTCGCTGGATTCAACACTCGTTGTAGGCTGTTCATAAGATCAAGAGGGAACGACAAGAGAGGCTAAATTTTTGTGTCTCTTGTGAGAAAGATGGCGAACGGATTGCTTGGGCAGTTGCAGCAACTAGTTGGCTGGCTGACGGTCGGTCAGGTGATCCTGATCCTGTTGGCAGCGGGGTTTGGCATGCTGGTGGTGGACTATACCAGAGTGTTGTTGTTGCGGAGGAAAATGGCAAGCACACTTTCTCCGGTGGGAGCCATCACTGACATCTCCCAAGCCACCCGGCCCATTCCCTTTGCCAATCATTGGAAACATTCATCTCCTACCAGACCGCAAGCCATGGATCTACTTCGAGCAACTAGCCAAAGAGTACAACTCACCCGTCATCACCTTCTGGATGGGGTGTCGCCCCAACGTCTGGCTCAACGACGCACAATCGGCATCTGATCTCTTCGACAAGCGGGCTGCGACTTTTTCGTCCCGTCCTCTCATGGTTGTCTTCGGGGAACTGGCATTCGGGCAGTCTAGTCTCGTGACGATGTATTATGGTGACCGATTTAGAGTGCATCGAAAATTGACTCACATGGGAGTTGGGATGCAGCAAGTGAGGGGGTACCAGCACTTGCAGAGCGATGAGAACAAAGTTGTTCTCTATGACTTGCTCAATGACTCGGAGAATTATGTGGCTCACCTTGAGCGCTATGCAGCTAGTGTTGTGTCGATTATTGGGTTTGGGAGGAGGATTTCGACCGTGACGGATCCGATTATCACAGAGGTGATTTTCCTCATGCAAAGGGCGGCCGAGCATAATGTGCCGGGGAATTCATTCCCGATGATCATGGAGTCGTTTCCAAGTCAGTGATGTCCCACCTCATCTGGTGTATTACTAACACTGGTTAGTTCTTGCGAAGTTTCCGAGATGGATGGCACCGTGGATGGAGAATATGGGCAAGCCGCGCGCGAAGAACTTTTTCTATGCACTGGCAGAAGAAGCAGCACACAGCGAAGAGGGGAAAGATAACTATGCGAAGAAATTGTTCGAGCTGGCGCCCAAATACAATCTGAGTGAGATGGAACTCTCGACCCTATCCGGCTCTTTGTTTGGAGCGGGCAGCGATACTTCAAGCTCAACCCTCATAACCTTTCTTCTAGCCTGTTGCGCATTCCCGGAGGTGCTGCCTAAAGCGTGGGAGGAACTTGACAGAATAGTCGGGCCTCACCGAAGTCCAACTTTCGAGGACGAGGCAAATCTTCCATATGTAAAAGCATTTGCGAAGGAGGTTCTGAGATGGAGGTCAGTGGCAATCATTGGCGGACAACCTCACGCTCCAATTCAGGATGAAATATATAAAGTGAGTTTCATGCGGTACCGTAGAAATGTATCTACTGACAATTGGTGAACAGGGATGGTTGATACCGAAAAATACCTGGACACAGGGCAATGTTTGGGCAATCCATAGGAACGAGGAAGACTTTCCGGACCCCGATAGATTCCAACCAGAGAGGTTTCTGAAAGACAGCCCGCATCATAGACCCTTTCCAAATGAGCGTGGGTATATGACTTTCGGATGGGGGAGGCGTGTCTGTGCAGGCCAAGCACTTGCGGAACAGGGGACGTTCATCAGCGTTGCCCGGCTGCTGTGGGCTTTCAACATTCAGAAAGGTCTTGACGAGTCTGGGAATGAGATACCTGTGGATATATTCAGCTACACGTGAGTGTCGCTTCTCATTTCCAGGAATGCTGAGACCCTAACCAGAAAGAAGTGATGGGTTGAACATCAGACCGAACCCCTTCAAATGCAGGATAACAGCAAGAAACGACGAGATCAAGTCAACGATTGAACGAGAAGGAAAAGGGGCACTTGACAATCTTTCTGTCTACAATGGGGAGACGAAATTCAGAATAAGTACGTATCATTTGGAGAATCAGTAGATTAAGGGCAGCAAACTTGCGGAGAAATCAACGCGAAGTGATGGGCATGGCTAGAACAGCAAGTAAAGAATAATACAATGATGTTAGACAAGGAGGTCTTGTACAGTGTTGGAACTCCAACGTTGCCAATGCCGGTTCGAAGCAGAGTAGGGCATGGATTTCCAGTGGCACATCTTCCAACCAGTGTATTACGAGACCTAGGCAGGTCGCCCAGTATACGATCCAAGGATAACCTGGATTGGCGAGAATGTCAAGAGATCAAAGGACATACGGGAGATCTGATAGTGCTGCCTTCCTGGTGTGTTGTTGAGATCCATAATATCCCACATAAATTCCTCGTCAACAAGACAGGAGAACTCGATGGGAGCAAATCATCCGCATCGTCTTTCGTAAAGGTGCGTACCTTCTCCCTTGCATCCGTGCAGATCTTTTCCAAGACACAATCCCCGAATGCCCACATGTGGCCACCCTCAAACTCTCACAATTGTATTCGTCAAGACCTTGAACACATTAAGCTTTGTCTCGAAGTGACTTCGACGATTGAGCTTCCAAGAAATTTCTTTCGTGATGATTCTTTCGCCGCCGTTTCGTGGTACGGTATCTCTCCGTTCTGGTTCGCCCGTGGTACTACAACGAGGAGGCCGGAGTTTGTCCTCTGCGAGAGATTTTATGGCAATGCTTCGTCCACGTCAACGAGGAACCGTTAGAATTCTAGGACTGCCGCGATATCGATGAACATTGCTTGGAACTATGCGATATCTTTGAAGCTTTGTTCTCCAGACCGCTTGATTTCAGATTTTGTCGCGGACTCCAGTGCTTTAAGAAGCTGTGTTTCCTCCCTAGCTCGATCAATCTCCGCATCAGACAATCATTTCCCGACCTTTACCAGCGCAGAAACAAGGGCTTCGGGAAGAGAACCTGACTGGAAGCAGTCATGCCATCCGCCATCTTGCGGTAGGGACACGACGCTCTTCACGATGCCCATAAGCGCAGAGAGTACATCAAATTTGGCGTTGTAGTCGGGATTCGAACGGCAGTCCATGACTCTCAACACAATCTGTTCCTCTACCTGCTCGATGATAGCGTCCCGCACTTCTCGTCCTCTGCTGATTTCTCTCTGGAATAGTCAAGCAGTTTATGATTTTCGGAGTTTAACTGGCATGCGGTGTATTTAATTACCGTGTCGGGATCGAGGGTTATTGTATTATGGGCGGCTTTCGTGATGGTGGCTTGGAAATCGAAAATCTGCTTTGCGAGACCTGGCTGTTCTCCAATCTGCCGAGGAGAATATCGTGAGTATTAGATCGTTGAAGCTTCATTGAGATATCAGAAAGAGCAAGCTCGAGTCGGCCACGTTCCTTAAGATTGTGCGCGTTCTGGAACTTGGCTTGGGAGTTTCGAGTTCGTCATCGAGGTCATGGCTGCTGCATCGGAACGCTTTCCTGGCGCTTGCGTTGGCATCGCGGTGCACTCGTGGGCCAGCGATATCGATTGTCAAGGACAATTTGTGTTGCTGAAGAAGGGGTGGTCAGAGACTCGTGAGACATCGGATGGAAATCGAATGCGATTGTCGACGCGTTTCTCTGTATTAAATCGCTGGCCTTGATGGCCGAAAGGGGTTAGACCACGGCACCGCCAACACAACAATCACTCATCAAACCTCACCTGCAGCTGCAGGCAGCTGCAGCTTGAACAACGAGAGATTCTCGTCCCTGTACCGCATAACCACCCTCGGCGACCCTGGGACGAGAGTGTTACTTGGGGTGGTTGGAAGGCCTTGATTCTCCATTCTAATCGGGGCTGGCACGCCCTTTCAACTTTATATATATAAGGCCGGAATCGCACTAGTCTCCCAGCGCCCAAGCTGCCCTGGGCACCAGAATCTTGGCACCTTTTTCAACAAAGAGAAGCATTCGCAGTCGAGGTTGCCAATGCCAATGTCAGTGCCAATGCCAATGCCAATGCCGCCAAAGCGACTCCCAACCTCGGCTTGATCTGAATCGCGCTTGCGTGCTCACCCCACGCAGGACACAGGCCGGATCACCACTTCTCACTGTTTGGTGGCCACTACTGGCCACGCAGTTAGCTGAGCCTGGTGGGCGGAAATCTTCGTTTCCCACCGCCCGGATCGCGCGGCTTGTGGTGTGTGCTGTGTGCTGTGTGCTGTGTGGTGCGACCTTGTGGTGCAACCTCCCACCAGCTCCAGATCTACGATTCGTCCCTGTGCGAGCCGCACTGCTCGACATGGCCGGCAGACCTGCGATGACCTTAGCCTCGCAAGTCTGCTGGAATTGCAAGAACGGGAAGAGGAAGTGCAGCAAAGAATTGCCCTCTTGTGCACGCTGCGCCAAGTGCGTCCTCGCTGGGTAACCTTATGAGATGGACATCGGCTGACGCGTTTCAGACTTCTGCTGAGATGCGACTACGACTGGACTGCAGGCAATGCCCCAGAGTCGTCAGGGGCTCAAAGCAAGGCCTCACCAGCGTCCTCGATCGAGGTCCACACTCCTCCATCACTGCAGTCTGCTTCCAGACTCCTGCATTCATTGTCACATGGCTCTCCCAAGTCTTCCGGCGGAGAAGCAAACATCCCTTCCCAGGTGCTTTCCATTCTCATTGCCAATGGAGAAAATGTGCAGTCGGTCACGGCTCTTTACTTCCGAACGATTGATGTCTGGCTCCCGATCATATCGCCCCGGAGATGCGTCGAGAAACTGGAAAACATCGCCTCCGACAACAACCCCGAGCTTTCCAATCTCTTGCTCTGCATGTATTTAGTTACCCGCCAGCCCGGAAAGCCAAGTGGAATCAAAGAGATGCAAACACCTATCTACTTCGAAGCCAAGACTCTTCTCACCACCCTCACATCCTCCGGGAATTTGTCCATTGAAGTTATTCAAGCTGGAGTCCTTCTCTCGCTCTACGAGCAAGGGCATGGCATGATCGATGTGGCTCAGTTGACCATGTCTGTGTGTACCAGGATGGCCATGAAGATGAAAGTCGCCCTACGAGCTGCACCTGAACTTCAGAACACCGATTTTGGACGATTATGGTGGGGTCTTGTTATTCTGGATAGGTATGTTCTCGTCAACTCGTAACGATTCGTCTAACATCACTCGCAGACACTTGAATCAAATTCTATCGCCCGAAGAAATACAGCTTACAGTTGGGAGCTCGAGTGACGGAGTCCCGTCGATGGAGTTGCCCGTTGATGACGAAGCTCACGCTGGACTAATCAGACCCATTACCATGAGAACGATCTCCGGGATATCCGCCGCCTCTCGACCAACAACCAGACTAGGCCCCTTCTGCCGTGCTTCTGAGGCGGCTCATCTTCTAGGGAAAGTCTTGGATCTAGTGGCACGGTCGTCATACACTAATGAGATGGACGAAGCAAAGTCTAGAGAACTGGATGCATCCCTTCAAACACTTGCAATGAGCCTGATGCAATTGGCCGTCAACGGCTGGGAAGAATGCTGCGCGGCAATCGGACTCGCACTCAGGTATGCCTCCATCTAGGTGATGGCAGCAACGAGCTAATAGTAACAGTGCTCTTCTACTCCTCCACGTCAGAACATGGGAACTGATTAGGGGGTCGCCCGGACACGATGATAGAAGAGAGATTGCATGCATGGCATTGAGCTCGACGACGAGGATGGTCATCGACATCAGTCGGAGATTTCACATGGATCTAGCCTTCATTGACCTTCCTGCACTGCCTCTTCCAGCAACGTATGCGGTATACCGGGCCGCAATGTTATATATTGACTTCGCGGGGGATGAATTCCTGGGTCCCGAATGGAGTGAAAATATGAAGAGCTTGAGAGGCACGCTTGAGTATTTCGGGAAGAGGTGGAATGTTGGCAGTAAGTCACCAAGGCGGGCTCCATAATTTAGCTAACATTTCCAGAACACTACCTAGATCTGGTTGATATCGCCTTGGCTGAGAAAAAGAAAGCTTGCTCTGCTACTGAAAGAGATGCGGGAGAGTTTCATGGAGCACATGAGCTCCTCCGGGACATGAATATCAGCCGGGGTTGATGCTCCCGCGTTTCGCGGTCATTCGAAGGTCGAACCCCACGGTTGATAACCATCCGCCACCATCAATTTCTCCAGTCCGCGTCTTCTCATCCCAACATTTCCCCCATCGAAGCGTGGCAGACACATCGCATCGTTCAACAACGATGGAAAGACCGTGTCCTTGTCATTTGAGGACCTAGAATTTGTCGGCAATATCCTTCGAGGATTATGTCATATTGTACATCCCCACGGCTGACATTGCATCGACAACCGACTTTACGGCAAGATCTGAGCAGAAGATCTTGGCATCCAAGCAAAGTTCAAGCCCATGCCCATTATCATACGCATTAGCGGTTTTCCACGTCAAGAATCTAGCCGCATCGGTCCTCATCTTAATATCCATCAAGAGGTCAGGACACTTTGTCTGCTCAGAAGTGCCAGTGCCTCTGCTCTCAGGTCTGGTTTTGCCAAACTGAAGAGCCGCCTCGAACGCTGCAGGCATTACGCCAACAGACATGGCACCTACCAAACAAGCCGGAGAGGTGAAAGACGCTGCCACGCTCGCAGCGCCCTTTCCAGGTGCTACGAGGATATTGCGCACTGGCGCGCAGAATCCAGCGAAGCGAGTGGGTGGGCCAGCTGTTGATGAATGGCCTGAACTTTTATACGCTTGAAACCTGAAATGCGCTGGCCTCGTTCCTGGCGGCGATCTCGCGCGTTACTAGCAGAATCATGGTCGAATCCGCAGGTACTGCATCCGGATCCCGATCCCTCCCGTCATGCGAATAGTCGCAGACAAGACATTGAAAATCAGCTCCACGGTCATCCCAACCTCAGCAATTCGTTGCCCGCGTCTTCACCTACGCCAGCGTCGGGTTCAACCAAGTGCTTAATGGAAATACAAACTTATCTCCATTCACAATCCTATCCTCGCCCTCCTTCCTTGCGGTTGTCTGCAGGCCCTTCCCTCTCTTCTCCAGATAATTCGCAGGATCTCCTGGTTCCGAATGTATATGAGACGTCAATGGCTCCTCTTCACCACTCAGAAACGGTTTCAAGAATTCCTCATGCTGAACAGGTGTTCCTCCGATGAATAATGGTGTCAGGCCCAAACCCGTGCCCCTCAACAGCTTTGCGATAGAATGGGCGGAGCGATTGGAAGCGTTCTTTTTGCGTTGTGTATCTTTCATATGTAGCTGCTGCGATTGAGAGAACGTTGTACGCGAACGATTTGGTCATGCCACGGATGGTGTTGTGCTCGCTCTGGGGAGAGGGTGAAGTCAACCATGGTGACTTGTGAAAGGCGTTCTTGGGTGGCAAATCGAGGAAGGGACAACAGCTGATGCCCTTTGACTTCGAGTCGCCGAGCTGAGTAATATCGCGCTTCATGCCAGTTCGAAATTATGAATTTCCGTGGGCCTTTACTGGGTCCTAGAAATCATGTACAACAGCATGGTGGAGGAGTGGGACATGCCCGGTGGCGATCGCCACTGCGGCTGCGGCCGCACGAAGGCTACTCGTAACTTTCACACAAACGGAACCCCTCAGACCTTTGCGGCGAAGGCTAAACAGTGAGCTGGTCTTCTTCTCTTTGTCTACTTCGCACCTTCGGCTTCTTTTTGCCTGGATGTCCTCGCAATGCTTACACAATGCAAGTTTTCTCGGCGAGGATAGCCGCGTGAACTTCAACACGTGACTTCAAAGCAAGCCTATATATTTCGACTGTTCTTCTTGGTGACTATGTTGAAGATAAAATCAGCTCAGCATCTCCTGAACACTTTCATTGCCCTAGACAAACTTCATCATGTCTTCAAACGGTCTCCTCATCATCGGCAGCGGCCCCGGCATCGGCGTCACAGCCGCCTCCCTCTTCGCCCAAAGGAAGTACACCAAAATTGCCCTCGTATCACGAGACAAGACTCGTCTCTCCAAGGACCGAGAAACCATTCTGCAAGCCGCCAACTCGGTTGGCAAAATAGTTGAAGTTCAAACATGGAGCGTGGACATCACCAACAGCGCAGCATTCACGGCCGTCCTGAAAGAAACGGAGAAATTCGCGACTTTCACTTGCGTGCTGTTTAATGCTGCGAGAGTGGAGCCCAGCCATCTGCTCACCTTCCCTGAGGAAGAGATCTTGAAGGATTTCAAGGCAAGATCTTCCATCCCCCCTCCACCCACACACACGCAATCCTAATTAACCCTTTTCAGACAACGACAATAGCACTCTACACCGCCGCGCAATGGGGACTCCCTCTCCTCTCAGCACTCAAACCTGAAGACAAGCCATCGTTGCTAGTGACAAGTAGTCTACTGCCTCAACAGCCCGCCCCACAGGTCTTCTCGCTGAGCTTGGCGAAAGCTAGCCAAAGGAACTTGGTTCAAAGTCTCGCGATGACCCACCCGGATGTGCATGTTGCACTGTTGAATATTGGGGGGCCGGTGAGCAGGGAAGATAGGTGGTTTAATCAGCCCGCAGTATGTTTCTCCTCCCATCCTCCATCTCGCAATGTTAGGGTATGCCAATGCTGATAATGGACGGAACAGATTGCGAAGAAATTCTGGGAAGTGCATTCTCAGGAGAAGGATAAGTGGACGCTGGACTTAGACCTTTTGGCTGAGGAGTAAAGAAGAGAGAGAATAGTAAGGTGAACCATAAACTTCAGATCTGACGAATCGAATCTTGCTTCCTTTTTCTATCGGGTATAAATATTAAACTGCAGTTGAAATTGTGAGTGATCAGAATCCATCCCCGTTATAAGCAATCAACGTTGTCGTCGCAGCATTTGCTCCCCTGGCACTCGCCCCCGACGCTCCAGCGAGCTGTTTCATCCTGCTTGTTACCGCTGCTGGAGTAGCGAGCCCCTCGAGACTCATGAGATATGCTGCAAGACCTGCTACGTGAGGAGACGCTACATACTTCATATCAGCCTACCATCCTTCCACCTCCCAAGCGGGAAATTTCAATGAGAATGGGATATATACGTACCCATACTCGTTCCACTCAACACCGCACTGGCGTTATTACTCGTTATGCCGACAGACTGCACCTTCACACCCGGCGCAAAGATATCGACTGCAGCGCCGAAATTCGAGAATGAGGCTTTGGTGTCTGTGGACGCGTCAATGGCGCCGACTGTTATGGCGGAAGGTGCGGAGGCTGGGGAGGTGGAGCTTGCGTCGATCTGTTTTTGTATCGTCAAGACCGGGAAGCAGGGAGGGAAGAAAGGGAAGTACATTATCATTCCCAGCCGCGACAACAACCACGACACCCGCTCTCGTCAGCGCAGCAATTGCACTATTCAGCGCGGTACTCTTACTCCCTCCAATACTCATATTCAGCACTGCTTTCCCTGCCAATCCTCTAGCTGTCGAGTTTGTGGCTACAAAATTCAGGCCCTGGATTACGCCTGAGTTTGTGCCTGCTCCGTCGGCATCGAGGACTTTTACAGCGACGAGGGAGACGGCCTTAGCGACGCCGTATGTTGCCCCTCCTATTGTCCCTGCGACGTGGGAGCCGTGGCCATTTTCGTCTGTGTTCTGGTTCGGTTAGTTTCAGGCAAGGCACGGCCAAGGGAGGGGGCGTACAATGGTATTGACGAAGTTCGCACCCCAAATTGCACGGCCGCCATATTCCTGTACTCGTTAGCCATTCCCCTTTCACCACGACGGACAGAGGGCTTACGGCGTGCGTGAGTTTGATCCCCGTATCAACAACATACGCCACGATCCCACCCCCAGAACTGTTATCATAAACATACCCTGCACCCCCCGCAGCAGCATGACTTATCCTCCTCAATCCCGCCGGGGCACTTGCCTGGCTCACCAACGCACCCGTCTTAACCACCGTATCAGCCTCTACATAGGCGACCTCCGTCGCGCTTGCAATCTCCAGAATCATACTATCCTCTGCCTCCAAGCTCATGCCCCTCCACCCTGACATCGAGAACGCATCCATCTTGCTGCTCAACATCCTCCCTTCTTTGCCTCTCGCTATGAGATTCCGTTTCCGGAGGGCGGTCATGACGGATGCCTGGTGGGTTTCAACGGCAGAGTCGGAGGCGTTGTTATTGTAGACTACGATGTAGCGATTGGAAATGATGTTTTTGGCCTTTTCGTTTGAGACGGGGACGCCGATTCCACTGACTTTTGCACCATGGCGACCTGGTGTTGGAGTTGCTTGAACGAGTGTGTAGAATGCCGCTGAAATGCACACAAGAATGTTGAATGAAAAGGAAACCATTTTGGACGAAAAAAACGAGATTGAAAGGAAAATGAACGCAATCAAAAAGGACTGGGAAAAGAGAGAGAGAGAGAGAGAGAGAGAGTAAAAGAGGTGAGGATATAATGTTAAAGGAGAAGGGAGATCGCCAAGGCTCGGGGCGGAAACTGCCAAGTGACACTCCGCCAAGTCAGACAGCGAACGCGAGGCCTGTGAGAGGACAGAAAATCGTTTATTTCTGGTGTTTGCCAAGCTGCCAAGTGGTATGCACACCACAGGATACTCCCGCCGCGGAATTTTGCAGCACCGATGCGACGATGAAGAATGGGTCGAAGAGTCGTCCGCGTCTTTTGCTGTTTCAGGAATGGAGAAGTATTGATTGAGTTCTGGCGCCCACTCGTTACTAGGCGCCTCTAGATTTGCAGACTAGAAGCGGCTAGGTTTGTTTGAGTGTGCTTGCGCATAACCTTGGAAGTTGCTTCTGGGAAGCGTGAAACGAGGGCTCATCACCTCCCGTCAGCAGCAGTTTTCTACGCAGTGTACTCCAACATCGTACTCATCAACTCCTGTCAGCAGCAGACGTAGTTTGATCTTTCTGTTGAATTGTCTGTTTTTTCTACGTACAAGACATATATTCGCGGCAGTGACTGTGTCCCCTGTTCGCCTGCGAGTATAGACACATTCACCCCTTGAAGGAACTCGCTTACAACCTCCCCGGATACCTTACTGAGGCCCACAGCTAGCTAGTCGACAAAACAGAGAAGCGAGATTTGATTTTCTGATTTTCGATTTCTGATTTTCTGATTTCTGACAACCGTACATACCTACCCCTCTATTTTTAGGATACGCCTCACTGTTACTCCAGTAATTTAGTGCTTATATTACTAAAAGTGCTTTGCAATAGTAATATATGGCCTGAACTTATAATATATTAATACTATTAATACCTTATTTAATTATATTAAAATACTATAATACTTTATAAATCTTTTATTATATTATAATACTATTATTAAATAGGCTTATATAAATGTTTCCTATAAAATAATTATAATAAGATTAAAAGATTTATAGAAAATTAATATTAATACCTATATAATAAAATACTAACTATAAGAATGAAATATTTAAATATATATTTAAATAGCAAATATATCTTTTCTTTATATATAGATTATAATCCTATATTATCTGGAAGATATAGATAAGAAAATACTTAAGAATCTTAAGAATTATAGCTATATAGCTTTAATTACTAGAGTTATTTATATATATAAAAAGCTTGGTTTTATTTACTATATAACTATAATAGATAGGCAAGCGGCAAATAAATAACTATTTATAATATTATAGAATAAACTAAATAATAAACGGATTATAAGTTATAAATAGTAGTATTTATATATATATTTCTATTAATAAGGTTTACTAGTAATCTAGTTAGCCTTTTTATACTTTACTATTTTACCCTAGTTTAGAAAATTAGGGCCTTATTTACTAATATATTTTATTATCTATAGAAAGAGCTTATATATAATATTATAACTTCTGGATCCCGAGATAATTATATTATAAATATAATAGATATAATCCAAAAAAAAAGAATATATTATATCTAGATTAGACTAGATTTAGTTAATTAATAGATATAATAAGCTATTACTATTTGGGATTAAGATATATACTTATATTAATATTTATTTATATAATATTATCTAAATATATACCGGAATCTCTAATTAAACTATCTATTCGGTTATATAGTAGTATTTTCAGATTTGTATTTAAATAAACTACTATTCTTATTTTTTTAGAACTAATTAAAGCTCTAAACTCTTCTTTATTACTAAAGTATACTTTATATTCTTATAAATAGCCAATTCATTAGTTATATATATAGAGAACTATTTTATTTCTAGAAAAAATACCGAGAATTAGTAGATTGAATTCTAATAATAGAAGCTTTAGAAGAGCTAGCTATACTAGTAGTATATAAGTAATTCCGTTTCCTTATATCTATTTCTTATTCTTTCTATTATTAGAAGAAAATATCAGATACTAATAATTATACTACTTTTTATTAAAACTATTAAATCTAGTATTATAATATTAGATTATATAATTAATTCCAATTAGTATATATAGAACTACTTTTAGGAACTGGCTTATACCGAGAATTATAATTACTAATATTTATAGAACCGGATTACTTTACTAGTACTTTATATATAATAGATCCAAAATAAGATATATAAATTTATAGACTTATAAAATATTTATAGAATTAGAAAAAACAAATCTAGGTCTAATATAGTAGCTAGCAAGCCATTTAGACTATATATAAAGCCCCCAGATAAGATATAATACTAGAATTGCCCTATAGATATAGAGCTTTATAATATAATTCTTAATAATTATTTAGTTTAAAATAAGTAATATAATCTTATATAGTTCTATATAAATAGTTTATTTATATACTAATATAGATATTAATAAGTTTCTATTAAAAGAAATACTAGAATAATATTATTAGAAGCTTATATTTTATAATATAAATATAACTAATATTTATATAGGAAATATTAATAGAAATAGTAACTAATTATATATTTAAGCTTATAATTAGCTCTAATATATAGTCCGGATATATATAGCTTTAGGGTAGCTACTAATATTAGAAGAGTCTAAAAAGCTAACTAGTAAATATAATACTACTATTATATAAAATAAAATCCTTAAATAAGTTATTCTAATAAATATAAAATATATAAGTAATATATAGGCCAGAATAATATTTATATAGTTTCTAATAGTCCAGAATTTTACTTAGAAATAGCCCTTTATTAGTAATACTTCTAATAATATAGGATAGTTAAATAAGCCAGTTATAAAATAACTAGATATATTAAAATAAATATTATTTATTATTAAATATATTATTTTCGAAATCCCCTTTTTATTTTTAAAAGTAGTACTAATAAAATTATTAAGTTTATTTATTATATAAATATTCTATATTCTTAAATTCTTACTTTTTAAAATAGTACTATTATTTTTTAAAACCTGCCCTAATACTATATATTCTATAGCTAAATATTAGTATAGTAATATCTAATATTACAAGTTCTATTAATCTACTAATAATAAATATAATATAAAAGCTACTGCTTTACTTATTTAGAATAGTAATATTAGTAAACTTGAACTTTATAGCTCTGAAATTCCGCTTGTATCTATCTCTTCTTTTATACCTGAAATATTTCAGATCCCTAGCTCTTTTTAGTATTCTTACCTCGTATTTTTTCTTTTAGAAATATCTATTATATCTGTTTTTCTAGTTACTATTACTATATAGCCGCCAGATACTATTTCTATTCTATTTTAAGCTCTTCTTATTCTAATAGCCCTATAATTACTCTCTTCTATATTTTCTTTTACTATAAGCTATATTACTTAATTTAACTACTTTTCTAGTAATATTTATACTATTATATAAGCTTAACGGGCTATAAATATAAGAGTTATTTAGGCCGCTATTTAGGCTATAGCTTCTTATACTAGTAATAGACTATCTAAAGTCTTTTAAGGTCTTATAAATCAAAATATAGCCGGATCTAGTTTTATAGAATTATAAACTATAGTTTTATAGCTAGTTTTCTATAAATAGATATTTAATAATATAAAGAATTAAAAAGCTAAATAAAGAACTATTTAACTTTCTAAAGAAGTTAATAGTAAGTTTTCTTTTATTTCTTTTACTAGATTCTTTATATAAATTCTAATAGATATTTTTTAATAGATAGCTTTTAATTTAAAATAAATAATCGAGTCTTTTCTATTCTTTCTAATATAGTTTCTTAGTAGCTATTCCCTTATTTCTCTCTTTATATTAGTAGATCTATCTATTATTATTAATTTATTAATAATATAAATAAACTAGTATTCTATACTAGTCTTAATAATAAAAGAGTCTAGGAACTTATAGTTTTACTAGGTTCTATTTAAACTGTTTTTAACCTTTCCTACTATAGTATATATCTAGGCTTTAAAAATATCTAAATAATTTTCCTTATTTTATACTAGAATAAGACTTTATATAAAGATCTCTATTTTAAAGTTATTTATAAAGAACTAGAAAATACTTAGAAAATATAGTAATTTAAGAAAATTAAATAATAGACTAAGAAGGCCCAAAGAGCCTAAAAGAGTATTATTTACTAGTATAAATATAAAACTTTAAAAATAAAAAGAGATCTAATAAACTAATAAGTAAATAAAAGTATATATATAATTCTTTTATTTAATTCTAGCTTCTATTCTTTATTTCTTTTATAGATTCTTGTTTTTAGGTTTAATTAACTTATATATATTAGAATTCTTTTCTATTTACTAACTTTTAGAAGCTATAAAATAATATAGAAAGTACTATAGAAAATACTATTAAAGCTAATTCTAATAATAATAATAATAATAATATTAAAGCTATTAATAATAATAATAGTAATAGGTTATTAGATTCTCTTTTAATTTTATTATTCTTTTCTCTAGTAAAAGAGACTATAGTTAATCTTATAGACTATATAAGTATTATTCTATAATAATAGATATATTATTCTTTTTCCTTATTAGATATAGAGAATTAATAGATATAATATTTTTAGTTTTATAAATAAAACCTAAAATACCCGAGCTATTACTAGTACTTTATTTATTATACTAAACGGAAGTTTAATTATTATTATTAAACTCTTTAGACTAATTAACCTTACTTCTTTTAAATAAATCTATTATATAAGGTCTAATAAATTATATATAAATATTTATTAAGGTTAAGATAATTAAGAAAAAATAGATCTAATATCTAATATACTTTTTCCTATATCTTATAATTAGCTTAATACTATTTTAGATCTTATTTCCTTATAAATATATATATATATTTGGAATTTATAATTAATACTTTAAAATAATATTCTTTAATTAGTTCTTATATAATTTAAAAGTCAGGTTACTAAATTTAATACTTTTATAATATTCAAATCTATTTAAGTTTATAAAGTCTTATAATTATTAGAGCCTTTATAATTCTTTATTTTTTGAGTTTAATATCTAAACTATATTATATATTCTATCTTTAATATAAAAAAGGCTTCTAAAAGTCTAAAATTATAAAGGGATTTTTATATTAAGAATATATTATATTATAATAATAAAATTACAGGTATTTATATATAAATATATAATATATTAGACTAGCTATACTAAAAACTATATTATATCTATATATAAAATTATTAATTACTTTATATTAATATTAGACCCGTATAGTTATATAATTTTATATAATTAGCTAGCTATAGAAAAGTCCTAAAGCCCGAAACTTATAAAGAGTCTTAAGGGCTTTAGGGCTTCTGAACTATTACTAGTACCCGGTACTTTTTAGAAAAAGAATATAATATATTCTATAATAAGTAATTTATTATAGACTATTTAACCTTTAAGTTAAGTAGGAAATCTAAAAGCCGGGCTTATAATTCAAGTCTTATTAAAGTTATTAAAGTCTTTACTAGCTAGTATTATAGATTTAATATAAATATTATAGGAATTCTATAGGTTTTATTCTAATCTATCTAGAAAGTATATATAATATATCTCTATATTTGTTCTATTAATATTTATATATAATTCCTAAAAGCCGAACTATTATCTAAAAGAGAAATAAAAAGGCTGAATTAATACCTTTAAAAACCAAGGCCTTAATAAGTCTATCTAGAAAAGCTTATTAATTCTTCTAAAGATAATTCAAGCTCTAATAAATTAGAAAATTTTAAGTTTATTATATATTATAACTTATATAACTAGAAACAGAAACTATTTTAATAGAAGTTTCTTATATAGCTTACTTATATAACTAGAAATAGAAACTTGAGTTTATTATATAGAATTATCCAGATATAGAAACTTCTATTATAAACTCCTTATTTGAATTAATTAGTTGAATTTATTTTTAATATTAAGTCTTTATTAAGATAATTTCCTATTTTTAGAGGCTTTAGATAAAGTAGCTAATAAGTTTCTTAGCTATTAGCTAAAACTTATTAGCTAGAAAATCTATAAATAGTAGATAAGATTATAAAACAGAACTTTTCTAATTATAATACTAAGATATTTTACTATAATATAAAGTAATTAAATATAGAAGCTCTATTAAATATAATATATCTTAAATTACAAGTTTATAAAATAGATATAAAGAGTTTTAGTATTTAACTAGTATTATAATCTAGCCTAAAGGCACCTATTATCTTTTATATCTAATTTAATAGAAATAAGAAATACCTATATTTTAATTTAAGAGATAATTAGAACTTTTATATAGATTTAGAATAGTAGTTTACTCTATAGAAAGAGAATAGACTAGAAATATCTATATTATATTAATCTTTAGAAAAAGTTATAATAAATATTATAACTTCTAAAATACTTTTAAAAAAGCTTTTCTAAACTAAAATAGGCTGGTTTATAATCCCGAAAGATCTATAGAAGTCTTATATACCCGAAAGTATAAGTATTTAAAATAAATACTATTTAAATTCTAATCTATAATAAAAGAAAAATAAAATATATAAAATAAAATATATAAAATAAAATATATAAAATAAAATATATAAAATAAAAGTAAAATAAAATACCCGAATATTTAATAAATAGAAAGCCTAACTATAAGTTATAAGAACTAGTACTAACTAGATATATATATAATAATATTAAAAGAAAAATAAGGTAAAAGAAACTAAAAAATAAATTAATATATATTTTATAAAAGCAAATAGAAAGATATCTAAATAGCCTAAAGGCAAGAAGTATATATTAAAGAAATCGAGATTAGAAAGAAAAAAACAATTTCCTATAAGAATAAATTAGTATATATTCCAAAACAAAGAATAGAAATATTTAATAATAGCCTAAAGGCTTTTATAAATATTAAAAGAGGAGAGGAGATATTAAAGTTTAGAGGAATCTAAATAGAAGTTAGCCTCTTTTTTGAAAGTTTAAAAGAGAATACTTCTAAAGGGCCTAAAGATATAAAAGATATTAGAAAAGGAAAAGAAATATTAAAATTCAAAAGAAGCTAAATAGAAATTAGTTTCTTTTTTGGAAGTTCGAAAAAGGGTATTTTTAAAGAACCCGAAAGTATAAGAGATATTAGAAAAAAGAAGAAAGAGATATCGGAAAAAGGAAAAAGAAATCTAAAATTTAGCTTTCTAAGAAATAAGTAGATTAAAGACTTATAATATAAGAGTTCTAAATAAAAGTAACCCGGAAGTAATAGTTAGATACTAGCTTTAGTATTATTAATAGAAGTATTAAAGGAGAAGGGGTTCAAAAAAGGGGTTTAAAAGAGAAAAAGAAAATTATAAAATAGTTAGATACTAGCTTTTAATATTAATAGTAGAAGTATTAAAGGAGGAGGGATTTAGAAGAGGGGTTTAAAGAAGAAGTTCGAAAGAGGAATTTAGAAGAGGGATTTAGAAGAGGAATTTAGAAGAAGGGTTTAGAAAAGGGGTTTAGAAGAGGGGTTTGAAAAAGAAGAGAAAAGTTATAAGGTAATTAAATATTAGCTTTTAGTATTAATAGAGGTATTAATAAAGAAAGTATTAGTAAAAGATAAAAGCTTTTAGTATTAATAATAAAGTCGAAAAAATATAGAAGAAAAATAAAAGTTTTAGAATAAAGATAAAATAGAATTATAGTTTTATAAAAAATAAAATTACTAATATAAAATAGTTATATTATTATATAATTCTATATTTACTTTTATTATTTATTAAAAATATATATCTTTTAAGAGAAAGTATTATTTAGAATTCTTAAGCCTTTCTAATTTAATAACTATATATTTGAAAAATAAGAAATAAATATAATTATATATATTAGAATAAGAGAATTTTTCTTATTTAAAAATTATAATTATAATATTACTAAATATAGAAATATAGAAGTTTATATAATAAGCTATATATAGAGATTTAAGAAGATTTAAATTACCTCGAATTATTTATAATTAGTAAAGTAAATTAGCTAATTATATAAATTAAATATAGTTTAATTATTATTAGTATACTTTAGCTTTTATAAATTAGTAAAAGAAAGAATATTTATATCTTTATTTTTATAACTATAATATCTAAAATTATAATTTTTTTAATATTTAAATATACTTAACCTAAAGCTATTAAATACTAATATTTCTATTTTCAGGTATTATTTATTATAAATTTATTCGGATTTAAATAATTATATTAAATATATATCTTTATATTCTAAAAGTAAATAATAAAAATATAGTTATACTAGTTTTAATCTTAGTCTTAACCTTAATTTTAATTTTCTTCTAAAAACAATTTTAATTCTAATATATAATACTATTATTAAAGCTTTCTTCTATTAAAAATATATTAAATATAACTTTAGATAGTAGCTCTAGTAAAGATAAAAGTAGTAGAAAAGATAATAAAGCTATAAATAAATAGAAAGATAATATTTATAATATATTTTCTAATAATTTAGACTCAGTCTATAATATCCTCTCTTATTAATATATTTAACTAATAAATCCCTCTATTCTTTAACTTCCTTTTTATATATAACCTTCTTTTCCTCTTTTATAATAATACTTTAATTTCCTTATACTATCTAATAATACTACTAAAGTAGTAAAGCAAATTAATAATAAGACTAAAGTTATAGAGATAGAACTATACTAGAATAAGAAACTAAAAGAATTAGAGAAAGATAAGGCAAATCTGGAAGCAAGCTTAATATATACTTATAGAACCGAATTCTCTTAAACTTATACTATTTATAGTAATAAGAAGAGACCGAGGGGCCCTTTTAAATACTATATAGTTATAAAAGGCAAATTTAATAGTACTTATATAAATTGCAGATATAATAATAATAGTAAAGTCTATACTTTCTATTAATTTAATACTAATCCTACTAAGTCTAGAAAGCCTCGCTCTATATCTGCAAAACCCTTTATACTAAAGCCTTAACTGCCTATAAGATATAGAAAGCGAGTATAAAGATAGATATAAGGTCAGAAGGTAATAGGGAAGGAGGTTGTAGCAGAGGAGGGTAAGGATACTGGAGGAGAAGGGGACGAAGGAGATATAGATAATTCGAGTGATCTAGGCAGTACGGAGGATACAGAGAGTAAGGGAGATGGAGATGTGCCTTATAATCCATGGGATTTGCCTTACGGACTACGCAAGCTAAGGGGGGGCTAGGAGTAGTCGAGAATAAGGTGTGTATGCTGTACTTCTTTTTTTAGTAAGGTATGGGGGGGGGTGCGGGCGCGAAAATCAAAAAATCAGAAAATCACTTTTCGCTTCTCGGTTTTGTCGACTAGCCCGCTAATGGCCTCAGTATACCTGCCAGATAAGCAGCCGCTTCCTGAATCTCCTCATTTCATTCCTCTTAACAACTTGGTTTGTGCAGCCGGGTGTACCAAAAAAGAGCAAATACGTATTGTAGTTTCGCAGCGAGACCAGCTTCACTTTACAACACAATCTCTGAGCAGAGCAGCCACGCCACCTGTGCTTTCATCTATATCACAAGGGAGGACCACCGCCCCGCCTTCCACAAGCGCCAGCTCATCTACTCGCTCTCCAGCATATTCAACCCGCTTCCAGGTCTTTAAGCCTCCAGTGCTCGTATCAACTTCCCAGACCCGCGTTCGCCGATGATATCGCTTCCACCCGTACGAACAATGCCCTCCGAATCCACTGCCACCTCCATAGCATAGCCACGGGCCAAGCTGAGGGGTCTCGTGGCTATTTCGCTGAGACTTTTCTTGCTTTTGTGGCAGCAGAGCACAGAAGTCATTCACGTGATCGTGACCGCAGCCTAATGCTGATATGCCCTCTTTGGCGAGAGCATCGTAGAAGTGTGAGTTGAAGCTCGGACCCTCGGTGGGCTCTCTGCGATGGCCGGCCCGTATTATAAGTGTGCGGTCTCCGTACTCGGGAATAGGGATGTGTGAGAAAGCCAGAGACAGATGAAAGCGGCTGTCATTATCGTCCTTGTCACGCGCCTTTCGTAGCGACTGCGATGTGGTTGTGAACCAGTCGATTTGATTTTGCTTGATCGGGTCATAGTCTGGATTGTGTACCTTACTTGGTATCTGCCCGTGGGAGTCTAGGAAATATAAAGTCGATAGTGGGCGTTGTGACGGCGCAGGAGCCAAGATCTCAAGGTAGTAGTTGCCAACGCCGTCGACCTGCTCTGGGCCCGACTGACAGAGGCTAAAGGGCAGGTCCTGAAAGATTGACATCTGTGCCGTGCCTGCCATGCTATGTAGTCAGCAAGAGTCAGGAAATGTCGTGTCATGACACAAATGTAAGCCCAAGGACGCGGCCCAAGAAATGGGCAGCTAGCATTGCTGGGACCTAGCTGATCAAGAGGGCATAAGAGTCTTGGAGAGCAACCGCGTGGAGCAAAGCATTCTCCAATGCTCGCGAAATCGTGACAGCGTTTGGTATCCATGGCTAGATCTGGGTTTTGCCATCTTATGGAACAAGCAACTTACGTGATAATGCGTAAGTACCCTCACTGTCATGATTGCCAAAGACAGCTGCCCATGGAATCGAACGGTCAATCGGAGGAGCAACCACCTTAAAAAGGGCAGATTCGCTGTCGGGGATATTGTGATGTAGTTGATCCCCAGTGAGAATAACAAGGTCTGGTTTCTCGATATCCAAGATCTTTCCAACGAAGTCTACGGTGAGTGGGTCGGCCTCGCTTTCAGGTAGAGCCCGCCCATGGCCATCAATGGCATCTTTGCATATACCAACACCAGTAACCATGTGAGTGTCGGAGATCTGGAAAACCTTGAATTTGCCGTCCGTCCTAACTCTCAAAGCGGTCCGAGGCCCATTCTGTTTCGGCTTCGCCCTGCCGTATAGTACGCTTAGCCTTGCAACCGGTACCTCTGGCTGAGCGTTGAGCTGGAGCGGTTGTTGCATAAGAGCCCATTGTGGTCGTGGATCAACGGCATCTACACCAAAAAGAACGCCCAGCTCTGTCACAGCCTGACGAATGTCGCCGGTATAGCTACGTCTTAGCACCCAAATACCGCCAGGTCGACTCGCCCATGAGTTATCAAAGGCAGCGTTGGGATGCGGCTCGCCAACTCTGATATCCATAACTAGCAGGTCGTCAGCTGTGAGCTCTGTCTCCTTCGCCCTCGCTATATGCAGCCATGCGCTCTGCTGAGCTGTATGTAAGTAGAGGTCCTTCTCTATGCGGTGCCATATCCGTGAGTCTAGTTCGCAGCCAGAAGGAGTTTCTGTTGGAGAGCAAAAGCACACAGTTAGATCCGTAATGACTGTGTGAGTGTTATCGAGGTCAATAGCAGAAGTGTCGGATGACATCGCCTTCTTGGAGGGGAACAGCCTCGGGAATTTGAATAAAAGGACTCCAAGCGTGTAAAAAGTCGAGAGTACACAAAATTATCCCTTCGTCCGGCGAGACATATGCAGGGGGTCTCAACTAGAAGGGTTCACCAGCCAACCGCCCAAATCACTCACCGCCCAAGCAAAATTTTGGAAAATTTTCAAAGGGCTCAGAAAATCCAGAAAATCATTGGAATGACTAAAGCGAGGTCGTAGATCACGAATATTAACTTATTTTCTTCATTTTGGGATGTGGTTATGGTGTGGTTATAGTAAACCTATTTTTTGGGCGGTGAGTGATTTGGGCGGTTGGCTGGTGAACCCTTCTAGTTGAGACCCCCTGCATAGCGCGTGGACATGTCTCGCCGGACGAAGGGATAAAATAAAATAAGAGATGAAAATAAAATTTTCATTATTATATTAATTTTATAAACTCAAAGTCATTAATATAATATTTATTAATTAAATCGTAAACCCTTCTTATTATACTACCGTCTCTCTTTGCCTCTTATTTATTCCCATCTTTGCTAGCTTCTCTTTAGAGCATATAGCGTAATGCAACGTCTTCAACGAATGAGCAGTTAATCTGTATGCATCCACCGGCTCCTTAAACCCATATTGCGCCAAGGCCTGTAACTCGATCATATACGACTTCTTCACGTTGACATAACAGAAATCACGTTTCATCGCCTTTCCATTGCGAAGCTTCAATGTGTCTTTTGCAAAAGGCTTGCTCTCGGTCGCAACGCGCAAATACCCGAGACGATGCGCAGCCAAATTTCCAGTATTGTATTTCATACCCTTCGATGCCACATGCTTCTTGATAGCAGTACCATGGAAGGAAGTCATCTGCCAACGTTAGCTCGGTTGTTAAATTGTTTATTCTGACTTACGATGGCAATTTCAACGTGAGAGTTGTACTGGACATCCACGGGAATTGAGAGAACGACCACAGGATGATTAAAGGCTCCATCGAGTAGCTCAGAATCTGTAAAAGCCCCTTTTGGGATGATTTTCGGAGGTGGGAGGAACATAACAACTCCAGGGAGAATTTTGGAGGCATCTTCAGGCTTTAGAAGCTTGAAGATACTCATTGTTGGCGTTGGCTTTTGAATCTGAGACTTCATGATAGTTGTGAGCGTCGAAACTAATTTTTGGTTCAAAAAGAAAAGGCGCATATTGGGAGCAGTCTACTTTATTTGTTCAATAATTAGAAGGTGGACGCCGAATATGGAAGAAGATATGTCATTTATATCACAGAGACAAAGGAAGAACAAAGAGCCAAAGTCAGGGTTCTGAGTAAACAAAGACAATGTACCGAAGCCGCATTGTTGTGCAATCTTGTAGCAAAGACGAAAGCGTCTAATAATTCCACGGCCTATGGTAACCGATTATTCCTCGCAGGTTCTGCATGAGTCCGGGCGAAATATTGCAAAATTGCGGCCCTTTATCTAGCCACTGGAAGCGGAGGATCGGAGGGAAACTTGCGTTTTGGGAAATCACAACACCATCGAGAATGTTCCGACAATTCTATCACACTTCAAAGCGCCATGCTAAATCTATCACCGGATAACCATTTTAATCTTGTAATTCCTATTCATCCTTAATCTTTTATCTGCGATTTCCACACCATGGCGTGGTTTCGCTTGGCACCAAAGTCACTGGGAACACTTCAAAGTTTCTGGATTTAACCACAATCCTGTATCTTCTGCATAGATTCCAGACTTCTCTGATACTCCCACTTTCATCCATTTGTGGTAGTTAGGGTGCTAGGTTCTTCATCGAACTTGCAGCGAGATTGAAGCATGTGTGACAGAGACATAATTTTCTTGCCGGATTTCCTTCAAACTTGTGGGCCTGTTACGACCTCACAATATTTATGTTGGATTGTACTCAATCTGCGCTGTACGTCGTGATTCAACAATGATTTCTTTGGGAGCGAGCGGGTGGCTTGCTCCTTTACCGCATCGGAAAAATTTGCCGATAAATGGGGGAGAACCCAGCTACACCAAAACACTTGCAAGGTACGCACATAAATTTCAATGCCTTTCATTAAAAGTAGACTTCATACAACCCAGAGGCTTCTTCCTTATTGTTCTACAAATCCACTCAAGGAAAGATAACTCGGTGCCCTTAACGCAAGTTGCCAAGATGCAGCTCCCCACCCTCGACTCGCCATCAGTCGAAGCTTTCACCGCTAAAATTTCCTTCTCACTAAACACCACCACCCCACCACCATCCCAAGTCCTTTCTTTCGGTTCCACGCTCCCCGAGCTAATCCCAAGAATGAACTCCCCCGTCCTCTCTAGCGTCAAGCGCGGCATGGCCGGCTTTCCAACATCTGTCAACCTCGTAACTCGTAACTGGCGACCTAATAATCGCAATCGATACCGCCTACAAACTCGAAATCCTCGTCCGCGTGCTCTCACGCACCGCGGTGCCTTTCCATAAGGCGACATCGGAGATTGTTTTTGAGGAAGGACATCCCAAGCTGACGATTGGGTTTTGGAAGGAGTTTCTGGGAGAAGAGCGCGGATGGTGATTTCACTGTGTTTGTGAGCGGGAAGGGAAGGAAGGTGTTGAATGTAATTTTTCAAGTCGTATAGCCGGTGCCGAAACTGTCTACGACAGATAGTCATTCGGTGAAAGCATAGTTGGAGTTGGTGGGGAGAGTAAGGGGGTTGAAGATTGGGGTTGGGCTGGCCAAGGAGGTGTTTGTATTTGAGGGCGGAAATGGGGAGGAAAATAAGAGGGGCAATTCGTTGGCTGCGGCGGGAAGGAAGACCGCGAGGTTGAGTTTCCCGGTGCCGAAAGAACGGAGGAAAGTAGGGGATTATTCTGTAGATGCTGTTTCCGTCGAAAATCATACAGATTGGAGTCCCTTGCTAACGAGTTAACCAACTTGAAGTGTTTTAAGTGGGATTGGACCTCTTAGGTGAACCACATCTCCTGATCCGGACGACTTGGGTTGATGAAAGAAAATTTGATTTAGTTGAGGAAGACTTTATCCTAGCGGAGGGTTAGCGTTGCTATACGGAGTGGACAACCAGCCGCGTAGAATCTTGGAAAGACAAGAAAGAGCAGGATGGGGTCGTTTTGGCAGCGGGTCGCCAAGGCTGTGCTCTGCGAAAGGTTCGAGACCATTTGGCTGACGATGGAGATATAGTTTCCTTGAGAATAACATCCGAGGTATTTGGTAATAGATAGGAGAATTATTTTGGATATTTGGAATCCTGGCACTCGCTTCCCCACGTGCTATTGGGATCCCGGCGCTTTGAAGTTTGAGGGTGGTAACCTTATATGAAGCCGACTCGCCTCTCGTAATAATATAGCAACTATCACCAAATCTTCTTTACTATCGCCTAACCTTCCCACCAGGCGATTCGCAAAGCTTCTAGGAGACGAGGCGGAAAAGGTCTGTTGCACATCTGCTATTCTGCACGTATATTGCAAAGCTGTGTGTGCAAGGAAACAACCCGGACTGGCTTTTCAATAACAGGTGATAGTATGCTTCCGGTCTTGCCCGGGAGGTTAGGCGCTCTGCCCATGCTGTCTCCACGATTGCCATTGGACATCAAGAGCTCAAGGAGGAGAAATCGATCGTTTGTTGCACATCTGCAAATGCAACGCGTTATTAAAGACACGCCCTTACCGGGTTTGAACATGATTCAGGAAACCAGTCAGCTCCAAATAGGCAAATAGGGGAGTTAGTTTCGTCTGACTGGTCGGATGGCTCCCCCTTCCTAAATCGTGCAGACAGAGTATTGGCTAGGCTTCCAAAATGTCTAGACTGTGACTAAAAAGGGCTAGGAAACGAGACCGCAGTTAATCTAATTTGTCGCAGCCGTTCCAGGGAAGTCGTTGCGTGGTTGGGGGAGTGGGCTGCAGCGGGAAAATCGTGGAGGTTGGTGCGTGGCTGACGAATTTTCACAAATACGCTGGAAGGCCTCCATACAATCATACGTGCTTGTGTTAAGATCGGGAACGTACGGTGAGGGGGGTTGCACGGCTTCTGAGCTGTGTCGTCGTGATTTGACGGCATGCCTATGCGGAACAACCTTGGAGACGAAGTTAGGAAGATGCGGGTGATCCCGCCCAAAGATGGAGCCCGGAACTTTGTTTTTGCGTTATGGTACCAGGGGCTGGGCTATATAGGGGAGCGCATGAGCGAGATGAGGGTTGGTGCGTCACGAGAGAACCCGACACCCGAGGACAATACTTCAAAATTTTAGGCTACATTTAACTATACGCTCAAAAAATGCATTACAGACGAGAGAGTTAAGTCAGCATATTCAAAGAACGGACAGGGACTGGTACAAACCCTTTGTGAATTTGTGTTCGTTGCAGGCTCGGCAACGATTGGCGTTTTGCACTATCAATAACAATCAATGCCATAATCGTAAGGTATCGATTGTATCGATAGTGCAATCGATTATTTAGCGAGCTAATCCCTATATACGTACGATTTTACCCCTTTTCTAATTCCAGAAGGTTCAGAAGTTTAGTAAAGTACTATACTATATATAATAAAGGAAAGGCTCTCTGTTATTTACCTATTTAAAGAAAGTATCTAGAATTCCAGTCCTTTTCCAGTGCTTAAGGCACTCCCGCATCTCAATTGTCTCGGCTTCTAGCTGCCCCCTATCCCAGCTTACCGTACGACGAGCCCCTGAAAAGACTCTCTCTGGTTTATCGCTCATTGGTACTATTGAGAGGATATTAATAGCCATACGAGAGAGCTTAGGCCAGCGTTGCCTTTACGTATCTTGGCACCACTATACAAGGGCCCCCTTTTTACCAGGATCATACGATTCCTCTATATTAAAGTCCACATACTCGTCCCCACTTGCTGGCCTAGTAGCTGATTGAAGGGCTAAGGCAAGCCGATCGTAAGTATCGAGTGCTTCTGGCTCCTGAGAAGAGCTAGTAGTTGGAATAATTAGAGCTTGTGGCCCCTCGTCCCAATACCTTTCCCAGAGCTTTTTTACTCTTAGTAGAACTGGCTTTACCTACTTCTTTGGCCAGTGCATTTTAATATATCTTATACGGCGTGCAGGGTTCAGAATTAAAGCGGTAGCGTAAATAGGAGACATATCTGTCTTTATATAGTACTTATTAAGTACTGCATATGCAATATTTAGGCATTAAAGGAAATCTTGGCTCTCTTTATCCTTTTTCTTTTTGTACTTAGCCTATAAAAGTTAATTAAGTAAAGACAAGGAAGAAAGGAAAGAGAGAAAGGAAAAGGGGTAAGCTTATAGTTATTTCTTGCAAGTATTTAATTAAAATATCTATTATAAAGAGCGTAGTATTAATGGATGTGGAATCTCCCTCTATAGCAAAAGTAGCTCGTAAAAAGGGACTAAGGAATTCCTTAATTATATGAAGCTTTTTCCAGTCTTGGTGGCTCAAAAGATCTAGTTCTAGCTCTTCCTCGTAGTCCTGGCAATACTTTTCTACTACAGGCCTCAAATTGAGAAGTACAAAAAGCATATCATACTAGCTATTCCACCTCGTTTGATTATCCATTGGAATTAGCCTTTTCGCAAGAGCTTTAAAGGCTGCCGTATGGCCTGGTAATCCACGAATATAAATAACAATATTATACGCTTGGCCAAGTGGTCCCAAGAGCCTAAACTTGGCCCTAATTGCTTCCTTATCCGCAAGCTCTCTAGTCTCCTCCTGGCTATCATATAATTTAAGCTCTTCTGCTCTAATTACGTCCGTAAATAGGAAGGCTTAGATAACAAGATTAATAATATAGCCAATATAGCGAACTCGCTATTCCTCTGTATTCTACTCCCTATCATACGACTCTACTAAGAAGGCTTAAATATATTGACAAAGAACATTATTTGAGGAAGTATTATCGGTAATAATAGCCCCAAGCTTTCGTATAATGCCGTAATCCTCAAGAACAGGGCAAAGAATAGAGAACTGGTCCTCTCTACTATGGCCAGGTACTCTCTGGAGAGCAAGAAGAGCTTTTTGCCTCTTATAATCGTATATAGTAAAATGTACATAAATTGCCAGAAGAAGTAATCGATTTGGGGAGGTCCAAATATCGAGCGAAATATGGATAAGTGAGACTGCCGATTAAAGGGTCTTTCGTACGATAATCTTATGCTTTCCCCAAGCTTCTTTGACTTTATTATAAACTCCAGAGTAAGAGGTTATAATCTTGCCCTCGCAAGCTCGATTCAGGACTTGGCAAAAGGTATGAAATTCCGGCCATTTAACGAGAGTAAAAGACAGATTCCGTACGATAATCAGGGAGATTAGAGCTTTAGTAATAACTGCTGTATTAAGGCAAGCTCCAAGGACCTTATTATCAAATTCCTCAATCCCATTTCCCTCCTTAGCTTGAGCTTCGTACCAGAGTTATTTAAGTTGCTGGTTTGTAGTGATTTGGCTCTTACTTTTAGCCTTTGATATCGTAATTTGGTGGTGGCGGCTCAAATGATCCCCCATATTTCTTGATATTCGTGTACCATATGGCTCAGTTTTACAAAGGGTATAATAAAGAACGTCTTGCTTAAGATTATCTGGAGTAGGAATACGACAAAATTCCCAATAAGGTGCTCTCAACTTTGACATATCTAGAGTACTTGGAGTGGAATCTACTGAAACTGATCGCGCAAACGATGAATCTGGTTCAAGTGAAGAAGACATTTTGACGATATCTTTGGAAAAAATCAGTATGCGAGGCAGGGAAAATAGAGAGAAGAAGAGAGAGAGAGAGAAGAGAAAAATGGGGGGATGCGGGGTAAAAGCGGTGGAACAATCGTTTAGTAATCGATTACCAATCGATTACAATCGATAGCTAATCAATAGTGCACACAATCGATTGCTAATCGATTACTCAGCAATCGTTGCCGAGCCTGGTTCGTTGCAAACGAAATGATGGCTGGCCTAGAAACCCTCCTCGAAAGCATGTTGCCAGCTTTCCAAAGACCTTCACCGCATTACTGGGTTTTCTCTGTAACATTGTCTAAGATAAGCTTAAGGAAGACCCAAAGAAGCGTTACAAGCGTCCCCATACAACCGCATCACCCCATACCGCGCTTATGAACCAAGTCTCCCACTCCACCGACCTCGAGCGACCTCCAGCATTGACTCTACCACTCCCACCCCCAAAAAACCCAAGCACATCGAAAAGCAGGGGGAAGACCTCGCGGATTACCTATCCTCAATCAGAGAGCCTCCCTCTCATGCGTTTATCACTTGAGATCTACCTCGAAGTATATAATGCTGTACTCGGTGATCGCAGGGTCCATATTTCGTTTGGGTTTGGGAACTTTGGGCCAGAGCGGCGTGAGCTGGAGCCCGTTCCCTGGGTGATGACTCTAGGGGAAAGAAGAGGGAGTTGGTGGAACACAAACTGCACCTGGGATCACAGCGAAGACAACTCGTACAGGAACATATTGATGGATAATCTCTGTGGAGCCACCAAGTATTGGAACCGGTCAGAGAAACATTGGCCGCCTTATTCGATGGGAGGAATGCAGAAGCTGGATTTTGCGATCTTGTTGACCTGTCGGAAGATATGAACACCTTGCCCTTTTGTTTGCCAGAAACCTGAGGGAGAGCTAACATGGGATGGGCAGTTATTCAGAGGCAATCGACGTACTTTACAGAAGGACTTTCGTCTTCAATGCTTCCGAATCTTTCCAAATTCGTCCTCCCCAAACGGCTGGCGGAAATCACCTTTATAGAGGCAGTGTGGAGAATGCCGTCTCTCACTTATTATGGGCGGCCGGGTCTACTTAACAGAAATTACACTTACTCTGGACTCAAAAGATTCTGGACTGAGCTGTGTACGATTCTCGCAAACATGGAAAGCTTGAGTCACCTCAAGATCGTTCTTCCAGATTATCATGGTCAGGATATGCCACTGGAGAACAGGCGAGAAATGTGGCTGGTACCACTGGACAAGCTCAAGGGAAAGAGCATAAAGATGTTCGAGATTTGGGTCCCAGAGAGTTATGCGGTACATTTCACGGTTGATGAACCGCCTCAGTTCAAGCTGTACGCTATGATATCAACCCTGATGTAATAGACAATTCTAATGCGCGCTTCCCATAACATGGGGGGAAGTGATGGTTGTGGCCCGGTGGGGTATTGGCCAGGAAGTCTTTCAATAATAGTCAGCAAGCGAACGTGGGAGGCCGACTACTACCATTTCCTGAATCATAACTAGAACCGGAGTTCTCTGTGGGTCCTCGTCGTAATCTCTCTTAGCAACTAGATAGAAGAACCATGTCAGCCGCGAAGCTGGTAGGGGATAGGGGACACGAATAACAGTGCTAGCCGGCGGGTATAAAATCAGATGTATGTACCCTGTTGTTTTGAGAAATGGGATGCAGGATATGGCCGGACCGCCGGCTCTCGAGACAAAGAAAAGTTGAAGGTAGGTAGTGATACTGCTGAGTAGGGTGAAAGCAGACCGAACTTCTTTGCTGCGAAGCCCGGGTCGTTTTTTGAGCTCTGCCCGAGTCTGAATGCGTATACTATGGTTATTAATGGGAGGGATTGAAATTATTTGTCAATGGCCGCTCGCCTGGGAAGTTACTGAGATCGGATCTTTTTGCTGGCACTTGCCAACTAGCTGCAATCAGCCCAGACGAGGATGGCGGGGTGACCGGGAATGAGGGAGACACCCACGGCCAGCTAGGGCCCGAGTGATGAAGTAGACATAGAATAACATAAAACTTAGGGCAGTTCTAGAAAATAGATACGGAGATGACGATCAATTGACGGTGTGCGAGCGAGGAGGGATAGGTTCTGCTATGCTCTTCCCTCCTCGCTAAGGAAGGAAAGCACGTCCATCGTCCATGGTTCCTCCCTTCCAGAAAGGGGAACCATTGGTACCCAGGGGAAGCTACGCCGAGAGCCGCCTAACCTTGTGTCACACCTGCACCATTTTATGATGTTTTATCAACTTCAACATTCATTTCCAGACAACACTTTCCAAGAACACAGATACACGATGGCTGCTACAATTGAGAAGTTCGTTGGCGCCGACATCACAGACGAGATTATAGCCCAAGCCGCCGACCTCTTCAGCTTACACTATGGAGTCTGGGGCTTTATCGCAAAAGAAAAGATGGAAGTACACGAAGGTAAGACTTCTCCCCTTCTAAAATCATACCATCGAGAGCTGCCACCAGACTGCGGACATTCATCTCATACTCAGATCTCGCTGACTGAAGTTGATTTAGGATCAAGAGTGAAAATGTCCCTCGGCAAGCTGAGAGAACAAGTCCTCCCGCCTTTCAAGTCGCCAAATTGCAAGCACATCTACGTCCGCGGTCTCCTCCCCAGCACGCCTTCCGCTTATCACCCCCCTTTCTCGGTCGGTCACGTCTTCGCAACTCGCTTCCTGCACAACAACCGCCCGGTCCTATGGATAACACAACTCGTTGTCCACTCTGCTCACCGAAACCAAGGGATCGCGAAAGCCCTTCTTGAAGCTTTGCGAGAGGAAAACGCACAAATGGTTGGGGTCTTGTCGTCCAACCCATATGCGATTGCTGCTGTTTTGAGGGCCTTTGGGTCGGGTCTTGAGAGGGTTGAGAAGGTGTTGGAGATGACGAGGAGGAACGCGACGAGGGTAGATTGATGCCACTCCTTTATCAAGACACTGCTAACTTTCGTTACAGGTAATGGCTTCCTGCCCAATCGAGTATGTTCGACATTCGACCGTACGTGGTAAATTGTTCAGCGACAAGGACGACATTGAGGACATTGACGGTAAAGCGGTGGTATCGTGCGCAGATACCGGCTTTTGGGTGGATCATCAAGAGTCAGAACAGGCTCTGAAGGTCCTCAAGGCAAAGGGCGTGAAATGGCCGCTGGGAGAGTTGCCCCAGGGGTGTGAGTTCTTGGTTTTGGTGGAGGTGAGGGATGGCATGAGGGTGGGGTCGATTTATCCGCATATGGTGTAAGGGCATGAGTATGGCTCGGGGATGGCGGGTAAAGCGTTGGCATATGGCTTGGGCCAAGGTGAATCCTAACCTTCCATGAATTGATTGTCTCAAGACGGAGGGAAGCTTCACATCGAACCGAGCGACGCTCTTCAGCTCTTTGCTTCCAGCACCGCTATCTCGGCTTCGTTTGGATTGCCTTGCGGGGAAAATCGCTGTTTATTTCATGTAAGGCTGCAGTAAATTAATATATAATTACCCATACCTCATATGTACAAATGCATCCCATCTTTATACGCCGATGAATGCATGTCCCAAAGAGCAGTCAAAAGCCCTGTATACTTTGTCCACCCCATAACAGGAGAAACACCCTATTCAACCCTCGTGTCATTATTCTTTCCTAGCGTACTGGGACTCTCTGGATGCTCATCATCACTCATCAACCCTTCCAGCTCAAACTCCTCCGCATCTCGAATTTGTCTCGAGTCTGTGGCCCTGGCATGCCCATTCATCCTCGGCATTCTTGCTGTCCTGTCGGTATCTTTTGGTGGCACGGCTGGAGTCGAATTGACAGCGTAAAGATGGAGGAGCATATTGGTAAACAGGAAGATGAGGAAGGCAAAGCTGTAGAGAACGAGGACGTAGGAGACGTGAGTTATCCCCGCGTCAGAAATGAGCTGCATTTGCTCTTCGGTGGCGCCCATAAAAAGGAATCCGGAGGCATAGAGTAACTGGAACTGGTCAGCAGTTGTCAATAGGAGAGGGCGGGTAGCCTTACGAAAGGAGGGATATATTGGAAGCTGTTGGCATCGCCATCCTCTGAGATGGTATTCGCATCCCTGAGCACGAAGGAAACTTCGATAATCCTTGTCAAACCAGCGGCCATCAGAGTATATCCAAATACGGTATGAACCATTGTGCTGAGCAGCAGATGCTGAGGATGTGCAGACATAGCCCAGCCAGTAATCAAGATGACGAAACCTGGGATGAAGTTTCTCTTTGGCCCTCCGTCTCGCTTTCTGCTCAGCCAGACACCAGCCAGACCTGCACACCACCAAATCACGCCCATAGTTGTATGCTGGATATCATTTGCAACCCAGGCACCTCCCCATCGGTGTTCAGTGAAAGTGTTGACGCAGCCCCACGCAGCGATGAGAAGGGAGTCAAAGAATTCCTGTGATCGGCCTGTCCTCTTCAACCATGCCTGACCCACTAGCATGATGATCGTAAGAACAATTCCGTATCCGATGAAGGCACTTCCCATAATGAAGTGGGCAAGACATTGTCCCAAATGATCATCCCGGCAGTATCCCAAAGCTGTGATGCCACCAAAAAGCATCTGCACCCAGGCCACAACTGGCATAAGCTTTCCTACAACTCCGTGCCCCACCACGGCCACTTTCCGAATCTTCCCATGGAACCCCTTCGTGATGTGGAACTTGAGGTAGATGCCGAAGACGATTTGGACGCCCGACATCAACATCAGCCAATTCGAGAACCCGGCATGGATATTCTTCGCGAATGCCTTCCCCTTATGCAAGTGACCCAGAAAATATGCCACCACTGCAATCGCCGTTCCCAAGACTTGTACCGGGACGTGCCATCGATTCCGCACTATCTGTTGTACCAGTCAGTAAAGCCCATCTACTGCGGCAAAAAGAAACGAACCCCAAGAACCATCCCAGTTGGGAAGATGATGCCAAAGGACAACATCATCAGCAGAATGTGAATCCATAGTATCGAATCCTGCCCCGTGTCAGCACCTCCATTCTGTCATCCGGAGCCAAAACACCTACTATCGGATCCACGCTCATAGCTTCGCCATCGACTATCTTCTCCATATTGTGTCCTCCGTGTGCAGCAGCGCCTTTTGCAGAGAGTACCAGGCCGATAGACAATGCCAAAGATGGCGTGGGGTTTCTGAATCGGTCCATGTTCGAGATTCTTATCCCGTTGGCGTCTGAGCGCGATTAATTCGAAACTCGAAAGCCGCAGGGCGAACAGACGTCGATCGAGGAAATGGAACTGGAGCTGTCGAGACCGGACGAAGTAGAGAGTATAAACAGTGAAGCTATCCCTCCCCCATGGGCTTACGAATAGGAGTCGTCAACTTGGAAGTCGTTCGTGGCGTTGCTTGCCCGGGAGATGCGGCGGTGCTAGGACGCGTGATTTTCGGCTACGCTTTGGTGCATTTGATTGGTGGAGAAACGCGCGGATTCTCACGTGACGTAAATATTAAAAGAGGCACAAAGCTCTCCACCTCTTCGCCTTCTAGAAACTCACTTCTATGAATAGGATCTGAAGCAGTTTGGTGCGAACACTTTTACACATTGAACTAGCCTCTCGTCACATCACGGGATTTTCAAAAAGTTTGGCAACGGGAATTTCTATTTGCCGAGTTGAAGTCCGAGACCCCGGCCACCTCGCTGAAATCTATTTTCCGAATTCAACATCATGCCTACAGATCGATGCAGTGGGCACCTGTCAAGAGCGCTGCCTAAAAAGAGAATTCGCTCCACTCTCCTGAACGCTTTTTTGAGTCACCATTTCTACGATTGTCCTATCTTTCTGTACATGTGAGATTGGCTTCCGATGAGGAGATTGAGATCAGTGTCCCGCAAACCCCGCAAAGCCGAATCTGTAAATATACGTCTGCAATACACTCAAGACTGCCCGGGGTAGCTTGTCTAGCCCTGCAAACAGAATCCCTAGGCACAACCTGCCGCTACCAGAGGTCATGTCTGGATTGTCTCACGTCTGATGAAGAGTATTCAGCAATGTCTTTCCACGCTACCAATCCAGCTGTTTCTCCCCCTTTACCAACCCCCGATAGACCCGAAGAATCCCAGAATCGAAAAAGACATCCGTGTGTGTTGTGCCAGCAACGCAAGGTCAAGTGTGACCGCAGCGATCCTTGTGCCAATTGCGTCAAGGCTTTGGTTGAGTGCGTCTCACCCACAACTCTGCCGCCGAGGCGACGGAAAAAGCGGTTCCCCGAAGCAGAGCTACTTGCACGCTTGAGGAAGTACGAGGACCACTTGAGAAGCTATGGAGCCGACATAGATGCCATTAACTCAGAAGGGCCCAATGCGGGACTGCAGTCTGCTTCAACTACCACCCCCACCATCAAGATTTCCACTTCCCCGCTTGACGGCGCGACCCCAGAACCTATCAAATCGTTATCAATTCGAAGGTCTCTCAAGAACGTCGAAAAGTAAGGATTCCAGTCTCTTTTAGCTCGTCCTGTGGTTGACTCGTATAGCAATCTGTCGCGCGGGCTCAATCAAGAGGTCGGTCTCCCTTTCACTCCATGAGTTCCATCGGTCTCCCATCTTGGGGCACATTCTAAGCCGCCTCTAGTTTCGAGATGCCGAAGAGCTGCTACAAGGTTCCTCTGAGGATGAAATGTTTGAGAACCCCATAAGCAGGACCTACGATGGAATTGACGAGTATGGGAGTGACATCGTCTTCCCCTCCCCAGCCTCTGAAGATCTGCGGGATCTCCACCCTTCAACAGTCCATATATTCAGACTTTGGCAAAAGTTTCTTGATTCTGTGAATCCACTAGTCAAAATATTTCACGCGCCAACAGTGCAGCAACAAGTTCTCGATGCCACCGCTGACTTGGACAATGTACCAAAGGAGATGGAGACGTTGATGTTCGGAATATACAGCATGGCTATCGCCTCTTTCACCGACCGTGAATGCTTACCGATATTTGGAGAATCCAAAACTACGTTGCTGAAACGATACCACTCTGGTGCACGATTAGCGTGCCAGAGGGCGGGGCTTCTTCGTTCTTCGGACCTGACTACTTTGCAAGGATATGTGCTATATCTTGTGCGTAACTATCCAATATTGCCTCTAGACCTTTCAGCTTACAATCACAGATGTCATGTCTCAATTTCACGATAGACCCACGCTCACTCTTCTGCCTCACCGGCATTGCCGTTCGGATCGCCCAAAGGATGGGGCTGACTTGCGATGGCACGGCTTATGGCCTTTCCCCATTTCAGGTAGAGATGCGGCGTCGATTGTGGTGGCAAATCCTCCTTCTCGACACTCGTGTGGCGGAATTATCCGGTGCTGGTTCGACTGTCCTGAACCACAATTGGACAACAAAACTCCCATCAAATGTCAACGACAGCGATCTCTTCCCCGACATGCGAGACACGCCGCAAGAGCACCCTGGGGCGACAGAGATGGTGTTTGTACTGCACCGCTGCGAGGTGGCGAACCTCGCAAAGCAATTCCAGGATAAAGACATGCCGCTGGTTGTCAAAGACGAAGCCATCACCGCCCTCGAGAACAAGCTGGAGAAGACATACGTTCAGTACTGCGACCCATCGATTCCTTTCCACCTAGTCACCGTGTTAATGGTCAAACTCGCAACAGCCAAGGTCCGAATGCTACCCCGGCACCCACAACTAATGGCCAACATATCACAAATCGGGACAGAGGAAAGGGATTACCTATTCCGATTAAGCTTATCGTGTCTCGAAAACCACAACAAGATGATGGCATTACCGAGCCTGGAGAAATTCATATGGTTCGTTTTGACCAACTCTCCGATGCCAGCACTCGTCCACCTCCTGTGCGTGATGCGCTACCAAACCACCGGGGAGCTGGCCGATCGCGCGTGGGAGCTCTTCGAATGGCGATTTGAGAACCAGAATAGGAAATTCAAGGAGAGCCAGTTCTGGCGCAGGAATAAGGATAGTTTGATCCACCTCGCCATCGCAAATTTGACCGTCAAGGCATGGGAAGCGAGAGAGAAGGCCTTTGTGGCGATGCAACAACCAATTCCGGTAACTCCGAACTTCATCAAACAGCAACAGCAACAGCTTGCTGCGAAGAGACCGCCGAAATCGACGGGTACGGGTTCGTCTGTGGGAACAGAGGCTACGCCCCCGAGTACAACAACAACGGAGATTGGGATTGGGGAGCAGTTTGCCGGGAGTTATCAGTGGTTTAATCCAGCGGCTGGTGATCCGAACCAGGGGTTTGATGTCATGCCTGGTGTCATGACGAGTGATAATCAGCAGATGGGGTGGGACATTTGGACTGATTTGATGGAACCTACTAACCCTATATATTTCGGGGACGGTGTTGGGGACCCTGTACAACAAACATATTTTTGAGGTATGGTTACTCTCTTGCATGGTAATAGGATATTTCCCTCCACCGAAAAATGAAAACTACTCAGTCTACAATCCGACTGGGCTTAGCCCTGCGAAATGCATGGTCGTGAGACATTCGTCCCCGCCTTCTCTTACGATTGTGACACTCCTTTTCTCTAACTCCCCTGGGTTCTGCAAATATATCACGCAGCACGGATATACCCTTCAAGGGCAGAGGTCTCGGTGTATTTAATAATTGTTTATCACATCGAGGCGACAGAGCCACAATCGCCCTCCCTTGTCAGAAAGAGATCAATCAATACCGGGAGGCTCTTTTAAGCTTCGCCCCCACGGAGGAAGTACTTTGCATGCCAGTGTTTAATTTTTAATTTTGTTTTTTTATCTTATCTCGCGTCTGGACTTCATATGTCAGTTGAACATCTGCCGCAGTGGACAAAATAAAATAGGGAACGGCCCCATAGCCAAAATATTTTTCCTGGCCTTGAAGCTTAAGAAGGATGTCAATTCGGTCGGAGAAATTGAATACGCACTCGGCACTGGCAGCAGCCGAATAACAATATTCGACGCCGCTCAATTTTCCTTTTGCCTACACTTGGTGTTAGTGCTAGCAATGTTGGAAACAGTTGGATGTGATTGAGCCGTTCCTTCGGAATTGCTGTTAGACTTATATTAATCACAGCGCTGCCCACGTAAGACAGTTTGCAAGGTTGCAGTTGAGCAATATAGGCACTCTGCCTCCCACTGCCAGTAAGTGTTGCGGTGTTAGGCAAAAGGGGGCATATACCCTCGCTTAATCAGGTGTCACTCAAAATTTCGTCATTAGTGCTTCCAACGTGTTGGAACCTCCCTTGATAAGTCTACTGATGGCTATGACAGGATTACTAATTAAAACAGCCTTGCCGCACCGCCAATATGGAGTGAGCTCGTGTGGTTGTATCAAGTAAAAACTGCATCATTACTAAGTGATGCAAGTGTCTGCTTCTTTTAACAGATGCTGTCCGTTACCCTCGCCCTTCTTCATCTATATAAAAGCAGGCCTCAAGGGAGCACAAGAGATGTCATTGTTTGTGTTGCATGACTGTATTATCAAGAGAATAAGGCTGTGCAATTGGGTAAGTTTTGACCTACCTTTCCCCTCGTCAACAATACTAACAAGTACGTAGAGATGATACATTGTTCTCTCTCCAGCTTTTTGAACAGCACCTACATATAGTCAACTCCCCAGCCAATTCATGGCTTAAAATCTCTAATTATTCCTTTTAACATCCTTCCCTTCCTTGCGTTTGCTAGCGCAGCTCGCTCAGGAATCTGGCAAGGATGCGGCGCCAACCAAAAAGCAGCCCTGGAGACTACTATTGAGAATAGTATTCCCATGGCCACTGCTGCAAACATCGCTATAGATACCGGGGCTTACGGCTATGAGTTCACACACTGGTTTAAGTTAAACCCCACCGACCTGAAAGATGAAATCCGCTCCGTCTATGCCGACGTCATCAATAATATGCAAAACAAGTCCCTCGTAATCGCCTGCATGCGACGGTAACGCTATTTGGATCGGCGACGTCAACAATAGCATCCATTTATTTTCCGGCCCGCGCAATGGAACGGCGTGGAGAAATTCTATTCTGCCCGAATCAGGGGTGGCGGACTTATCACTGCTCTCTCAGTCGTGTCGAAGCGCATTAATATCGATATGGCAAGCAGCGTGATAGAAATAGTATCGAAATGGTCCGGGACCAATAGAAATGTGAATGGAAAACCCGGCCTGTTGAACATCACGGCGGAGGTCGCGGTAAAGAATGCGCTTACGTATTCGTTGTACGCGGAAAGTGTGAGGCTCGGGGGCTGTTGTATGGAATTGTTTCTTAATGGGAGTTCTAATGTGAGTGAGCTGACTCCCGCCAAGTTACTCCAGAGCCGCTCAATCAAGCCCCTTCCGCTACGGTGGTAAATGCAACAGGAGATTCTCAACCCCTTCCGATATCAACGCCATCGTACATCAGACATATCTCGGATAATATGTTTGTACTTGTATGAGTATTGAATAATCCCCTCCATTGAAAATTGAAGACTACACTCCAGTGCACCTCCTAGTTCTATGAAACCCAGTTTGTACAATTGCCAATCACTCCGTGCAATACTCAAGTGAGCAACAAGTGCCGACCGGCCTCTTTTCCCGGTTGAACGCGGTACCGAGTAGTGCTCAATGATCAGATAAAGTCTCAGGGTCCCTTGCATTCTCCAGTTTTCCACTTCCCTTTTCTCAATCGAAGCAGTGGCCAATCTCATTTACACATCATGCAAAGATATGTTTGTATCCTCCACGGGGGGTAGCGCAAAGGACGAAATAACTCCAGATTATTGCTCAATGACCCTTGTTCTTTCCGTATTAATATCAATAAAATATGCAGGCAGATTAGAAGCAGTCCCAGACCCATCCACCAGTAGCGAGCCCGATGAAGCTGACGATACTACAGTCTTGTAAGTTTGCAGAAAAAAGATCGTAATTCAAGTGTACCGGGAAGATTACTTACAGATCATAGTGACGAATTTGGAACCGCATTTACTGCTAACTATCATCCTCTGTTCATTGGTAGTCGGGTCCTGGACAACGGTAGCTTGCGCATCGAGAAGTTGCATATCCCGAATCATCACATCCCCGATATTACTGTCACTATCAGCATGAGCCTATTCCTGGGAAAAGGGTTTCACCTTCGAAAAGATGTGATCTCCTCGAGACGCTGATATTGCAAATAGGATAGGAAGAGATATCGTTGCAGAGAGTTTACTGAGCTCCAACACGAAGCTGCTGCTTCACGAGACGTAAATGTGAGTTCGATATCCGCTTGGTGTATATCGAGATGTTCATTATTCCCCAAGTATACCTTTCCCGTGACACCTTTCAACAAGACACCTAGAGTATGCCCAATTTCATCAACGACTGTTAGGTGATCGACTATTGGTATATACAGGTCAGTCAGAAGGACCGGTTTCAGAGGATTTATGAGCGCTTACACTGCACGATAAGTTGAGTAATATCGCCGTTGTCGCTATCATCCATGGTACTTTTGGTATGAAGAACAATTTCCGCATTACGACAGGGCAGGAATCCTAGATTTTCTTGTTCGGTAACCTCGCTCGGATGAGGGAACATCATCATCATGTAATGCAACATCTGGACACTATCGATGGATTCCACGATGTACCGGAGTTCATTCGATGTTATTGTTATGCTTCGAATGTCTTGTCGGAAGTCCGCCGTATCACTTGAAGAGGGAAATGTGAGTATCGCTGGTTTGTGCTGTAGTTAGAATATCAAGAGACTTACCCCTGGGTATTCAGAACTGAAAGATATCCGCAGCCATCTCCTCGTACGGAGGTATACATGAGCATAGAACTCGCTCCAGTTATTGACGATGCCTTGAGGCCTTGCACTAAAGCGAGCTGTGCGACGAATCTCTTAAAGTCTGCAATGTCTTGCGCTTCATTAATACACAGCCTTATCTTGAGTGCCTTGGCAGTTTGTACGTACAGGTCGATGGCATGTTGGAAAGAAGCAAAGAAACAACGGAGTTATGCGCCCTTGAAAATGCATGGATTCTCCAAGTTGGTCGCTCATTCGTGAGTCGAACAAGGAGGCTCACTGGAAGTACTGTTTGGTGTCAGTTCTCCATGGCAATTTTTGATCTTCCATCTGGTTATCAAACACCTACAGGTATAGTCAAGGTCATCATGGTTGCCACAGAGGCAACGGAAGATGCGTGTGCCCTGAGTACGTAACAATTCTGGGTTGAACGCAGTTTTGACACACAGCAAATGGTTTGAAATGTCGAGATTGACGGAAAATGTTAACTCGAGCTCCGAGCGTACCTGTTTCGAACTAGTACAATACCCAGCACTTCCAGAATTGGCGGCTTTGGATCTTCCAGACGTTGCCGGTACATTCTTGAGATTATTCAAGTACCGTTCATGAATCTCCCCTAGCATTCCATGAACAAGATCAACTTGGGCCTTCATTCTATCCGTTTGGATACTGTCTCAATATCAGCAGGAGCGCAGAACATAAAAGGGATCAAGCCTACCAGCCTCGTGCGGCAATTGCTAAGTTAAGCGCATTGACATGAGTAGCAAGGTTCTGCCTCAACTTATCCAAATCGGCACCTTCTGCAGTCCATTTGATCTTCTTGATGTTTTCCTTGAACTGTGTTCGCCATCTCTTATGAGCAGTCTCGTCATCGTGCTCCTTGTCGATTTCCGTTCGAAGCTCAGGATAACTTTTGAGCACTCCATCCAAATGCTGCAGTGTCGTCTGACAATTCTCTATCATCCGACTCAAAATTTCATCTTCCTCTGGTCCTACAGCCCCTTCCGTATTTGGGACACCTTCTTGCTGCAATGTCGCCGAAAGGAGCTTCAGCGCATTGCTAATTGCGAACAGCTGGTTTTGGACCTCACTGAACTCTCCTGGGGCCGACTTACGACCTGTCGTGAGCGTCTTCCCGATTCTGTAGGCCAAGCCCGAAATCATATGAATATCCCCAATAGATATGCGGAAAGACATGTTGATAGTTCTCATCGGCTCAACATTGCTGAAACGTTGAGATATCTCCATGAGGCTGTTGCCTGCGGAATCGGGCGTTGAGGCTGAGCACCATGCAGAAGCCATGAAACTCAGCCCCCTACATCGTGTGATCGGAACACGCTTACCTTGAGTGCTTCCTCAGCCCGCTCAAACTTTACATCCTCCTTCATGCAAAATCTTCTCTATAGAGAAGACTCCAGAACTCCGGACCAAAGTTTTCATCCAGCCTACCTTCCAAAGCGCTTCGGCGGAGATGTCTTCTTACTACGCTCGTCTTGAAACATCTAACGTCAATCGACTCGCTTCTGGACTATTTTTCCGATTCGAGCAGAACTGTTGAAATTGGTACGCTACCATAGCTAGCTCACCAGTCCTTCCAGCACCAGGTTCAACCACTAATTTAGGGTTCTCCACTCTCATTTGTCATGCGTCACTCGCTGAGCTTACCAAGCTTACTAGTATATCGTCATTTTGATTACTTTTGATTTATCAGCTGATTGATAATGTATCGGAGAAAGCGGGCTCGGCATCACCGGTATCGCCGAAGGGTAATGGGAATAAATCCCTTACTTTAGACACTTTTCCTCTGTTTTTACACTTCACTCTCCTGTATCTAGTCATTCTACAGATTGTCAACCTCCAATATATCGATTTTCCATCAATAAATCGATCACTTTCCAATAAGAACGAACAGCTCGGGCACCCACTGCTAAAACGTAGTACAGAAGGAGCCGCTCACGATGTACGACACGACGATTTCGTTGTTCCAGGCCAGACCAAGGAAGGCAATGAATTGTACCTGCCACTGCTAGAAGTATCAGTGGAGGTCGAGGTCGTGGGGACTGTTGCATGGACGAAGTTGACCCAAACCTTCACGAACCGAACAACCTCTCTTGTTAAAGAAGCAACTTATTGTTTCCCGCTGTACGACAAGTCGACAGTCACAGATTTCACTTGTTTCATTGGCTCTGACAAAGTCTTAAGGGGGGTTGTCAAGCCGAAACCACAAGCAAAGGCCGAGTTCCAGGCTGCTGTAGCTCGTCAGCGTGTTGCCGCTCTTCTTGAAGAGCACACGCCAGAAGTTTTCGAAACCAGTATTGGCAATATCCCTGCCCAGTCCACTGTTAAGATCGAGATCTGCTACATTACAGAACTGAAAGCCGACCTCAGCGGAGAAGGTGTTCTTGTCACGGTTCCCACGTCCGTTGCACCACGATATGGGGCGCCTCCGATCTCTTTCTCGAGTTCAAGTGCCTCTGCATCCCTCGCTGTTCCGCCGGAAAATGGACTTCAGATCCAAATACAAGTTTCGTCACCAGTTGCGATCAACAGAATTGAGAGCCGGACACATCCCGTGACAATAGAGATGGGTTCCCACGGCCATACAACTACGAGAAATATCAGAGACCTAGCCAAAAGTCGTGGGTCTTTGGAGTATGATCCAAAAAAGGCCAGAGCAACCCTTTCAGACCGAAGCGCCTGTCTGGGGAAGGATTTTGTTCTCCTCGTCCAATGTCGCGGTGGAACATTATTGGCTTCTCGAGCTACCCAGGAACCTCATCCAAAACTTCCAGATCACTCGGCTCTGATGGTTTCCATCAACCTCCGGGATGTGTATACTCCAGATGTAGTTTCGCCAAAATCGCCCTGCGAAATCATTTTCTTCGCAGATCGATCAGGATCAATGCAAGACAAGATCGAAGCATTGAAGACGGCCATGGGATTCTTCTTGAAGAGTCTTCCGAACAATTGTTTCTTCAACATATGTTCTTTTGGTTCCAACCACGTTTTCATGTGGCCCAATTCCAGGCCATATAACCAGCAAAATCTTGATGAATCAATATCGTACGTCACAATCAATTTCGAAGCCGATATGGGAGGCACGGAGCTTCTTTCGGGATTGCGGAAGGTTGTCCTGAAAAGAAATCTGGCTTTGAATACCCAAATCATTATTCCGACGGACGGCGAGGTTTGGGATCCAGCCAACACTTTTGACTTCATCAGAAACACAAGGGCCGCCAATGAAGAAAAGGAGATTCGATTCTTCGCTCTTGGGATAGGAGATGCGGTCTCACATCAGCTTGTTGAAGGCATCAGCCGACATGGCGGCGGATTGGCTGAAGTCGTCTCAGTGGACTCAAGAGGCGATTGGAAAGGAAGAGTCATCCGCATGTTAGAAGCTGCCTTGACTCCTTCTACATGGAAGATTGAGATTAGTTTGGACGACGACTCAATTCTTCACAATTGGAAGGAACAACGTTGCATTCAAGCTCCTTACCAAATCCCAGATTTTCATGCATTCTCCAGGTCTTCTGTATATTTTCTCTTCTCTCAAGAAGTCATGACCAAAAGCGTCAAATTCAAAGCGACTGCGACATCCGGAGAAACAGTAACCGCAGATCTCCCTCTTCAAAGTCTCGAGAGCAGCCGTACCTGTGTGCACCTCTTGGCTGCAAAGGCAGTCTTACATGACCTGGAGAGTGGCCAAAGCTGGATGCATGCAATTGGTCAAAAGAATAACGGAACCGCCCAGGCAAATGTTGAAGACCTTGCTAAGGCTGAAGGCGAAAGGATTGGAACCGAGTGGTCGTTGTCGAGTAAATGGACAAGTTTTGTGATTGTGGACAACATCAACTTGTTGGAGAAGACCTCGCGCTTGTATCAAGCAGAGAAGACTGAGCTTGCGGAATTGACGAGGACCAGGTTGGGTGCGACGGATTACCCTGTTCCAAATCAATTAGCTTTCCACGGTCCCTCTTTCGCGCCATTCAAAAGATTGGTTCGAGGCGCCGCGCGACCGCGCCCCCCGCCCGTACGAAGACTTGAATTTTTTACAAAGGAGACTGGGAATGCTCATTACACGCAAGAAACTACAGCTCTCCGAGTAGATGAGGCGCCTGCCAATAACAGTGTTGATCGCAATACTTCGGTGAGGTCCGTAATAACGCCACCGGCATATAACCCGAGCGCTGGACAGAATGAGCATGTCTTGGGAAGGGAAAGCGAACGAGGAGGAATAGATTCCGTGATTGAGTTCTCGGAGATTGTGGATAAGGAGGAGCAGTCGCGAGAGACAGATATGAAAGCTCCTTACCAGGTTGGGCGTGCGTTTAGAAGAGGAAATCAAGAGGAGGAAAGGAGAAGGCTTAGGAGAGGTGGACAAAGAGCTGACTTAGTTGCCTTACAGGAACTTGCAGAACAACAAAGAATAACCTCAACAGTGAGTGCGGGTCCGACGCTTGAAGAATTGAGAGCGGAGCATGATCGGATCAAGAACGAATGGCAACAAACGGTCTCTTCAGTCTCTTACGCAGGTCTGGGGCTAGTTCGACGTCTGACCACGAAAGATGCAGGTCATGCAAAGTCTTCGACGTCAGGCTCAGCAATCGTAACAGGAACTCGCACTTCATCCCGGACGACAACCGCGAGAGAACTGGATCCTAACGCTCCTGCTTTCGTAAGTTCTAGGTTCCCAGGGCCCGGATTCGACAAAGGCAAAGGGAAGGGGGAGGGGACGGCACCAGACACCCCTAGAGACTGGAACTCGCGAGACTGGAACTTTGGATCAACAATGGACTACAATAGTCTCCCAAAGAAGACTGGTGACTCGGAACTGATACCTGCACCAGAATTCAACCGCTCGGGAAAACGAATAGCATCGGTAACAGGCCATGAATCGCCTGCCACGCTATATTTTTGTGAGGATGAGAAGCAAAGAAATGGTGAGGCTTCATTGTTTGATTAATGTTTGAGTAAAGGCTTACAACACTACCCCTATCAAGCACACGGAAGCACAATGCCCATACTCGACAGGACAATCACAGATATGGGCATGGGCGACTTGAACAATCAACCCAAAGCTGCAGAAAATCGAGGAGCGGAAACATCGGTAGAAGGAGTCGGCAAGGATCCTTGGATTCCGTCTTCGCAGGGAAGCTTGTGGGGTGGTGCTGATTCACTGCACCGCAATTTACATGAAAGATTATCATCACCCTCAATTTCAAACTACGCTCGTACTGCTTCCCAATGCCTGGATTCTGGAAGCGACTGGGGGTGGGATCGGCACGGCGGGAGAAACCAACAAAATATCTCCCATGGGGCTCGGAAGCCGAGAATTTTCAACTTGTCAGCAATGTGCCAAGAGTATCCTCCACTTTATGGCTTAACTCTCCCCAGAGGATAGTGTACCCGGAATCAAACCAAAACGACGAAGATTATGGCAGCTATGCACCGTCAGATTCAATTCCGGAAACAGCTGCCTTGGAGCCAGCTATTTCGGAGCTAGAACGTCAACGTATCACAAAATATATTGCCCTGGAGGAGCTCATCTACGCGCAAACCACCAATGGTAGGTTTGATCTCAACAACGATCTGGGAACTGCTGTAAAAAATAAGTTCAAACATTGGAGATTTGATCTTCTTGTCAGCGAGTTGGGTGAATCGATGTGGTATGGGGATATGGATAAAGTGCTGGAAACGGCACGGACTATTGTGCTGATTGAGGTAAAGCACGCAGACGCTCAAGACTCATGGAAGTTCGTGATTCAAAAGGCACGAGCTTTTGTTTCCACCGTGATTCAAGACGAGGAGCAGCGGAAGAACCTCTTCGGGGTTTTGCAAAATCAATTATCTGCAGACCGGGAGATGGTTCTCCACGCTTTGAAAACAAGTCGGTGGTTGTTGAGTCATCGTAAACTAGTTGATGGAATTCTGCGGAGTCATATCCTTGATGACCCCAAGGAGCTTCTTAACTTATTGCGGACTTATGTCCCATTGGGCTATGGACATTTCGCATACGAGATCGAGAAGCTTGTCAAATTCTTAGGAGACCACGTACTAAACGAGGTGTACCACAAAGAAAGAAAAGAAAAGTCGATGCCTGGTCATTCAGGGGTAGGCCTTGAGAATCCTGATGAATGGACTGATGGATGGGATGATATTTTGAAACTATTGGAAGCAATAAAGTCGGTGAGGCGGGAACGAAGGGTACTAGAGTCGTGAGCGGGAGAGGGGCTGAAATGGGTGCAGGGACAGGAGGGACAGGAACCACTTGAACAGGTGATGTGGAGGTCGACCCGGGGTCGGTGTGCGTGAGGAACAGTTACTGAAATCGCTGATTCGTAGAGAGCAAGATGATGAACAAGCCGTAATTACAGGATTGGGAGAGTAGTTCGTGCACCGTCCGTGAAGAGGAAAACTGACAAGGTAAGATGATTAGATCTCGCACGCACAGGTTAGTCCTGGGTGTTTAGTTAGGCGAGGATTTGATTTTTAAGAGCTTGCCCCACGTGATCGTCTTCTAAGACCCATAGTCGCATATATCTGAAGTTTATTCAAGGTACACTGCGGTGTAGACCATTCTCCTAGTTGTAGTCTACGAGAGACTACAAATCAGATATTAGGGGCTCGCTTAATACATCTCCGAAAACAGGGAACGTCTTCACAAAGCTAGCGAGCTTCCCTTAAATAGCCCCTAGCTACTTGCATATATTCACCTACTCAGGGCTTTGTAGCCGGAAGCAACCAGACTACTTTCTCCTTTCGTGTCTCCTGCCCCAGTCCAATTGAACAACCCAGCCAGACCCTTCCTCCGAACAAATCAGCCTTCATCCGCACAGTACCCGGGACATCAAACGACACAAATCCCTTCCCCTGAAGATTGATATAATACACGACGCCTAACGCGTAATCAACTTGTGCTTTCTCAACCCACTCTGGCGGAAGGCTCTCGTAATCGACCTCGCCGCTCCCAAGGAATGGCTGTCCTGGGCCTGTCGCGCTTGGAAGAACCGAGCATACGCAGGGATTCCTAAGACCAACTTGTTGGCTGGGAAACCCCGTGATAGGACATATTTGACCCCATTGGAACAAGATTTTTTGAGTGAGGGGGAGCCGTCTCCGTATGGTGTGAACAGCTGTGCTTGGTGGCCAGAGATCTCCGTCCAGGGGCCAGCGAAATCGTACCCCATGAGGTTGAGAAGGTCAAGCTCTTGTGCTGCTTCAAAGAGATTGATGTTCTTCAGGTAGTACTGGCCCATTGGTAGTGCGGTGCTTAGCTGGTGCGTTGGTGAGGGCAGGGCAGCTTGCGTGGCGCGGAGAAGGTGGACGAAGTTCTCGCCCTCCGCGGGTGTTTCGGGGTGTTCCTAGTCAACTGTTGATGAGAAGTCAATTTCCGTAGGTCTTTTCAAGGTGGAGGCACGAAATTATTAAACTTGATGAATGGGTATAAGGTGGCTTACTATCTATTCCGTCAAGTGCGAACCGCTCTACGAGTTCGCGGGCTGTCCTAGCGAAAGACTCTCGTACTTGGAAGCTCGCTGCAACGGCCGGAAAGCTGGCACTCCCACTACCCCCTGCTACAGACAAGAGTGTTTTGATATGTGGATTTTGGCGTTTGAGCTTTGCGAGGGTAGTAAAGCAGCCCTGTTCGCCATCGACAGTAAGTTGCGTGTCAGCTTTCTCATCTAAGAGCTGCGGGGGAGAGAGTCAGTATTGAAACAGATAAGGCATGCTATCTCAGCGGAGATGGTGGTTTAAAAGATAACTGGTAGGCTCACGCGCAATGTCCCATCTGTGTTGATGCTTGAAAGATGTTAGTAAATGTCATAAGTTCTGCTGTACAAGTACTGCACGGGAGTGTACCGAGCAAAGGCATAGAAGATGTGGGTAATCAACTGAAATTGCAGCTCTGATGGTGCAAGGCCTTTGTATATTTTCCACGAAGGATAATACACCGCATTTACAAATTGCTGAGGCATCCGGAATCGGGTGGCTGGACTTGCATCTTTGACAACCCCAATGTGAGTTGAACAGAGAATGTTGGATGCGCCGCACCCTAGAAGTACGATGCTAATAAATGCGTTACAGTTGCCTTCCCTTTCCCATCTGCTTTCGTAGGTGGCATGATATATTCTTGGCCAGCCCTGGGACGGGTTATATGTACAAAGAATGTACGAATTACGCGTGCTGCGTACCACGCGTCACGACTCCCATAGCATCTAAGCTCTCGCATATAAGCCACATTTGTCATGGCCGGGCTTAAGCGTCGAATGTGCTTGCCTTTTTGGGCAAGTAGCGTGATGGCCACGACTTTCCGGGTCTTGGTCCTCGGCGGTGGGAACTCGAACCTTATTTCCACGTCTCCTCAAGTCGTGGACGACGCTTCTCCTACACTCGACCTCCACGTACCTGCCCCAAAACGTCAGAATCTCACTCCACCTATCTAAACGCGACTATTATCAAGTCAACAAGGTGTCCCCGCTTTAACCTCAATCGTCAAGACGTGCAACTAGGTGAACGATCACTGTTTAAGACACTCTTTAAGAAGCACAAGATCAACTTGCACGACGGCCTCACGAAACTTTTGACCAGTACGCAGGTGTTTTGCTGATAATTGCCTACGTTGGCTTGATTCGAATACAGGTGGGGGGACGGTTACGGCCACACGCTGACGAGGATGCATGGTTGTTCTTGAAATGTAAATCGAGAGTCTGGCACACAAGCATAGACAGCCCTGCCTGTAGTTGATGAAAACTGCTATTCGAAATAGACACAGTATCATGCGGTGGTACCACTAATTACACGTTTGCTATTTACTTGATCAATCAAGAGTGTGAAGCCAAGCGGATACATTCTCCTAAGGATTGTTTTCTATTATATCCCTCCCACGTTGAAGACTAGAAATAAATATAAATTTATTGGCAATACTTCTCAATCAATACCCCTTTCAGTTCGTTCAATACATCGAAGTTCAACTGGACCTGCTTGATCACAACAATAATCGCGTCGAACTGGCACAGCTTTTTTTGGTTCCATTCCACCTTCTCATCCAACCTTGGAACATACGTCAATGCGTGTTCTTTTACCAGGGGATCGGCAAAGGATACGTGCGCGTCCCAGGAATCCAGAAGATGATTTATGATGCGGACGCCTGGCGAATTGGTAATGAGGGCTTGCCCAGGTTTAAATGCGATGCCGACAACAAGCACTTTTCGTTTGCGATTCATGGACTCGGAGGTGGAGTCTGTGCCCCTTTGAAGCAGCGTTCTCATTGTTCGGTCAGCCAGCTCTGCAGGCCTTCTGCTCATCTTCTCGGTGGCGTGTCGAAGAAGAGGGAACCCGCTTGTTTTAAACAGGTAAGACGGGTTTACTGGAATGCAATGTCCTCCAACGCCAGCAGATGGGGAGAATGGTATATAGCCGAACGGTTTCGTAGCGGCGGCGCGGCAGACTTCGAATGGATCGATCGGTGTCAGGAGCTCCTGGCAGGCGTCGGCCATTTCGTTCGCGTAGGCGATGCATATCATACGTTGGCAGTTTTCGTAGAGCTTTGTCATTTCCGCAACTTCGGGAGAGGAAACGGTAACGAGGTGCTTGAAGACGCGGGAGTAGAGTTTATGGATGTAGTTGAGGGAGTTCGGCGCCAGGTCATCTAGTCCGGAGATGATTTTGGCGATGCTCTCAAAGGGGGGGTCGATTCGACCAGGGTCAACGCGCTGGTCAAATGTCAGTGGGGGTGATTCACTTTGATGGGTGCTCAACGTTCTTACTTCTGGGCTCATGCCGGCACGTAGCCCGTATTCTTGTACCATTTTGCCGAGAAGATTTCGGGTCATGCCAACAGAAACGGAGCTTTCGATGACGATGGTAGATCCTCTTCGAGCCTGACCGCAGATCGTGTCCAGAGCGCTTTGAATTATGGACGTATCAATCTCCGTTGTGCCGGGAAGAAGGGGTGTAGGAACAGCTACTAGAAAATGTGTTGCTCCTGCAAGACAAGAGGCGTCGGATGTGAAGTGGATATTTGCGGTGTCCGGAAGCTGCTCGGCTACGGTAGTGAGTCTCTTGTCGCTCACATCGAAGGCAATGACCTTGTAACACTTAGAGAACGCAGAGACGAGATGAAACCCGACGTATCCGACCCCCACAACCGCAACCAAAGGGTGTTCATCTTCTCGAATATGAGAAAAGTAATCCTTGGGAGACTCAAACGACGAGCTCAAAGTTTCCAAGCAACTTGAAGTGTATTCGGCTGAAGATGACTCGGATGATGGGCTTGTGCTGGGGGAAGAAGACGAGCTGTGGTTTGAAGAGGGTGAGGTAACTTTCTCAATCAAAATTTCTGGGTGGAACTTGCGAATCGAGTCCCATTCTTGGCCCTGGAAAGCGGCAGACGACATCAAAACACTCATTGAGAGACCGCCGTAAGTGAGATAGCACACAGGGAGGAGAAATAATAAGATACAGTTGATGAAATTTCAAGTCCAGTGACCTGGGGAGGACAGACATAGAACTGGAGAGTGATGGCAAAGACTAAAGTCAATTGGGAGGGCGACAATCACTTAATCGATGTAGTTCAGCTGAAAAATAGGTGTGTTTCGATGTGCATGCTGTAAACGGCACATGTGTGAGTAACTGGTTGCTGCTTAGCGATGACTGAAGCCAAGATCGTGACCATATTCTCAAAATCCTTCTTGCTATTCCCACCACAGCTCAGTCAGTGCCACTACGAGTGGCAGTGCAGGTCGCAATAGAGGCTTACCGTGGTATGATCAGCTTCCAATAGCTCTGAAGCGTTCTCCGGGCAGCCATGTGTAGGCAAATTGGCGAAGTGATCGGACAACGGCTAAACAGGCCATGAATTCAGATTGCTTTTCTCTCAGCCGCATCGTCCACGGCCGACACGGTTAGCCTCCCTCCTTTCGGAGCATGGAGGAAAACATTTCTTTGCGGCCTGACGATTCCATAGCCTCTTCCGTAGCTAGAACGTGTTCAAGGGCATGGCAGATTCCCCAGAGGAGTAATTTCGGCCAAACTATTTGAGCCAGTGTTGACAAGATCCTAGGAGCCTTGACCTGTTGTCAAAACTGCCAAGAGGTAACCCCGCAAAAACACGAGGCTTACAAATCGGGATATGACTGAAAATTCATGAAGCTAATGTGCGCCCTTTCTGGGCCATTCTCATTGGTCCTTTAAGGAGCTCGTATGGTTCAACGCCAAAGGCCCAAAAGTCGAACGAGCGCCAACCCGTGGCATCATATCCGATCTGTTGTATGATGGTGTCATCCGGACGAGGGGTGATGTATCTGACGGCTGTTCTCGTATGGCGAATTGGACAATCCCATGCGGAAGTAGCGTTCCGCCAAAATACATGGATGAAACGCACGCAAAAACTGTAAATTTAACGGTGCAATTCGGAGGCCATGACGTCCAATTGGTCTATCGATATAGTGCATTCCTATGATAGTCAGAATCATAGGACCAACTACAGATCGAGGATCAAGTATCTTACCAGGCGAATGGCACGAATACACGTGTGCGGGGTTGAAGCAGAGAATTGAGAATTACTCTGGGCATATCGTCGATGTGGACGTTTGTGCCTTGAAGCTGCAGTTGGGAGCTGCATGGTAGCAGCAGCAAATAAGGTTGTGCGTAAGAAAGGACAGGAGTTGGCGGAACATCCGGACCGAAGGTATGTAAGCGTGGTCATTCAGATGACCGCTGCACCCGTTGAGATCTCTAGACATAGGGACAGGTACCGCCTCGCCGCCCCGTACCCTTGCACCTGCGCGCTGATGGCAGCTTGGCGAAGGCGGGGGGTGGCGGTGGTGTGATATTGTGGTTGCATCACGTGCATCAACCGCTGCCTGCCACTGCCTGCCACTGCCTGCCACATCCTCTCGCCTCAACATCGGTTGCCCGAATCTAACAAGACGGGCCGGGGCAACAAGCCAACTCTTAGAACAGGGACAGCAGTCGGCACAACCTTGCCTGTTGCACATGTGAAGAACAACAAGTGTTGATCGCAGACGAGCCCCGCGCCCCGCATTGCCTGCCCCTGCAGGCCATACTCCATCTCTGCAGTGCTAGAACGATGAGCGCGGGGCCGGAGCCTTATGGCATGACAAGCGTGGGCCGGAGCTACCTTGTCAAGTTTTGCTATCCCCACAGACATGACCTGACATGCTCCCGGGAGGGCAGACAGAACGCTATTCGTTTACGCTGAACATCCTAGCCTACGTGGAACTTGCTGCCACAGTGTGGCCAGGTACCCAAAGGTCCAATCGTCAGATTCCAAGGACTATTTGCACCTCCCGCACGTCGTTGAAATGAAGACCATGAAGCCAGCGCTCGTACTTGTTCCACCACGCCGTCTGTTTGCTGAAAAACTGATCCAGAGATATCTTAGGCTGGAATCTATAAGACAGGATTAAGACAAGCTCTGCACAAGCTCGGCGGTGGCTCAAACATCCCAGGAACTTTGTTGTCACAGTGTGGCTAGGTACAAGGGATTCAATAGTCTGCTCCAAGAACTCTGCCCGCCTCTCGCATTATCGGAAAGAAGACCATGAAGTCATTTCTCGTATTCATTCCACAGCATCGTGAAGTTGCTGGGAAGCTGGGATTGAAGAGATCTTAGGATGGGATGCATAAGGCTTGATAGATGCAGGCTCTGCAGAAGCCTTGCTGTCGACCAAACCGGTCCTGCCAACCTTGTGCCATGCCAAGACTTCGGGATGTTGGTAGTTCATCGAGCCGTGTATCCAGGCGAGTGAGTGCTCTGCTGGTCTGAAGGCGTGATGCGAGGTCAGCATGAAACTATTGATATGGCTTATTTATGCCTGTTGCTTTTCTGCAGATCTATTCTGGAACTTGGACGAACTCCCGACCACAAGCTCAAAATGCTCAGCTCCACTGGCATACGTTCTCGAGCTCCAGTCGAGCCTCGTATGATGGAGTCTCTTCCCATCACTTGCGATATTGATTCCCCTTCAAGACAGTCGAGCGCTCAATATTAACGCCAGCTGTAATCTCTTGCGTGAACTCCTTCTTGGATTCCGGGGTCATAGGCTCATAGCTATTTTGGGAAAGCGGGACACCTAGAAGCTCAACTGAGATGACACGTGGATGGGAGCTTGGCTGTCCTGCTCAGAACCTCTCTTTCGGAAGCTCTAACTGCTTGGTAGACACTTGTCAATACGGAATATGGTTCCTTTTCTTGTTAGCGTAGCTGAGGTGCCTGGCTGCACATGTGCCTCTGGCAATCATGCAGAATTTGGTGCCTAGTGGTTCCAATTCATTGCAGCCCAGCTGGCCATCATGCAATGTATCTCGTGCTTGGTTATTGAATCGTTGAATTTATCTCTGTGTGGTTTTGCAAGTCACCACTGTCTGCTCTTTGGACATCTGAATCTTACCTTCCAATTATCACTTTTTGTATATCTTCGTTTTTATATCGAGAGCTATCAATGGAGAATTCAAGACGCCAACAGTCGAGTGCATCTTTAGACACTCAAGATCCATTCAGAGATCCTACTCCATCGGTTGGGTCCAGTTATTCAGTGCATGATTCCTTCTCTGATCATTCTACTGAGATCCCAACCCATCCACCTGCCGAATTCAGTCCTGCACACGTCCGTGACCCATTTGCCTCAAGTCCGCGTCATCAGCAACAACCGCGCTATGCCTCAGCTCATAGTAGGAGTGCTTCAGATGAGATTCTGCCTATTCCACCCATAGGTCATTCAACCGGAGAATACATATTCTATGACTTCCCGCAGAGCGAAAAACTCGAATTGCGATATCCGCAGGATGTAGACTATAGTTCTACCGGCTCTGACCTCTCAACAAGGCGAGCTATTCCCGAGCCTTTGGATCAAACGCCACGGAAAATTAAGGTCGGCAAAAGAATGATCTGCATCACGAAGTGGATTTTCGTAGCCCTTCTCCTTTCTGCAAAGTAAGTTTGTTGAATTGGTGATAACGGAATACCATTACTAATCTTAAACCTGCAGTACGATGTTCATTTTTTCAACATGGTGGTGGGAGAGATATTATTATGTCTTCCTACCATTCATTACCATCACCGTCGCCCTTAACTGTGTTATGGTCGCCTCGGTAACCTTCAACACCCTGCGGCACAAAATAATTCCCGAGAAAGAGGAGTTTCCAGCCACCCCCGAAACCATGGTTCTTCTGCTGCCATGCTACAACGAGACCAGTGAAGAATTGGTCAAGTCGCTAGATTCACTTGTCGGTCAGGTCAACATCGACCAGCACAAAAAGGCAATCATAATCGTCTGCGATGGACAAGTGCGCGGGCCCGGGATGGCGAAAACAACTGCCGCATATCTCTTGGACAACATTTTGACGGGGCCAAGCTCCCGAGAATACATCTCAGCAGCATACACATCTTGGGATCATACTCAAATGGATGTAGTGGTTCAAAGCGGAACTTATGGCGGAATCCCATACCTTTGCATCATCAAACAGGGAAACCGGGGCAAGCGCGATGGTCTCATCCTCATCCGGTCATTCCTCTACAATTTCAATATACGTGCAACTCGGCCAGCCGTGATCCACTCTCCATACTTCTTCAGTGTCATGGTGTCTTTCCTCACGCTTGGAGCTGGCTTCACCATGGCAGACGTTCTCATTGGAATGGATGCCGATACTTTCTTCGAGCCAACCTGCATCTCGGAGCTCCTCAAGCAATCACACTATGTGAGCACCGTCGGAGTCTGCGGCTACGTTGCCGTAGATTTTCAATCTGGACCCTGGTCTCCATGGCGCGTGTACCAAAATGCCGAGTACACCATCTCGCAGTGCCTACGACGCCTTCACCAGTCCATTGCGACTCATAAAGTATCCTGTCTCCCGGGGTGCTGCCAGTTGCTCAAAGTCTCTGAAACCACATGTGGTGACCATATCCTGCTTGACCTCTTTGGCTACCATCCGAAGGTAACGGATTCCCTCCTCAAGCAAATCCGCGCCACGGCGAGCGAAGACCGCAACCATGTGTGTCTCATGCTCTCCGCGTTTCCAAAGGCACAGACTCGCCAAGCGCTCAGGGCAAGGGCTTACACTGATGTTCCACGCTCGTGGTCGGTGTTTCTGTCTCAGAGGAGACGCTGGACACTAGGAGCCACTTCAAATGATCTTTTGCTTGTATTCGCGCCGGGAATAGTCTGGTTTGAGCGCCTCTTAGCGTGTGCAAATGTCCTGACCTGGGTCCTGAACCTTTTCATCATTGCATGCATTGCGAGCTTTATAAAGGCTTGTACTTGTGAGTGCCATCATCTCATTCCTGACGGCCTCTATTTCACCGATGTACACTGAGTTCTGGCTGACATACTTTCTTTCCCTTCTTTAGTTGTACACTACAGTCTCATTCTTGCCTTTGCTTCCGTCATGATCTGCCCCTTGATCTACTACGTCCTCATCGTGGTGTGGCAGCCACGCGGAGTGAAAGCGCGCGTGCAGTATCTGCTCGGTCTCTTAATCTACTTCTTTCTGGGCCCCTTTTTGAACATTACTGTTCTCCTTTACGCCTTGTGGAGCCTTGACAACTTTGCCTGGGGTAAAACAAGAAAAGTGGTCGAGACAGTTCAGACTTTGCCGGGAAGCGAAAAAGTGAATGAAAAGCGGCCTCGGCGTGGTGGCAGAAACAAGATACGGAAATCCCCGCCTCGATCTTTCGAAGATTCACGCTTTCAGAATTCGGCTGCAGAGGAGAGTATGGCCCGGGCTGGCTTCTGATGATAAAAACGGAACCAAAAAGCAAGGAAGGGGTACGAACAGGCTTACCGTAAATATTTTTTTTCCAGAATAAAATAGCTCAATGATCAGATGGATTGACCCCTGATCTGGAAACACGGTACATGCAAGTACATGATTGACACATCACAATGCGGGGAGCCCTGTAAAGCTGATAAGCACTTGCAGGGCAGGAGATCGGGTCTTTTTTCACTTTCGGGAAACTTTAGCGGATTCCAAGAGCTGTCGAGTACTATTTTTGCATCGCCCGGGCAGAGGAACGCACGGGCGATCTTCACACAGTGACGCACGAGTGGCCCCACGTGTTCAGAGCGATAGGTTTGATATTTCGTGCTTTTAGCAAGATATTTCGTCTGCATATTCCTGAGGTGTGGTCCGAAACGGGCAAGTACGGCAAAGGAGGGGCGTCGGAATATATTCTAAAAGACGCTTCTGGATTCAATTAATTAAAAATCCAGAGCCTAATCCCTGTCTATTTTAAAGGCATGTTTATTAAATTATTATGAAATCTATAAGAGAAGTAATAAAGCATCTAACCGAAGAGGGTTGCCAAGCCCCCTTTCCCCTCGGTTAGCTTTACCTGACTTTCATAAAATTCATAATCTTCTGGATATTTCAGTCATGCGCTGCTAAAACACCCTCCGCCAAGAACTTCAGACGGTTAAAAAAAATTTGCTATTGCTCCGGAGCCCGTGGCCGATTCAAGGCCAGAGAATAAGCTGCACAAAACCAAATCCGGATACGAAGTCGTACATGCCAAGAGCAGTGCCTTGACCATGGCATTGGCCGTTATGTGAGGTTCAAACAGACGTGGGTGGGAACGCCACGACTCGGGACAAATTGGCCGTGTGGGATGCGGGGTGGCTGAGGCGTTTTCTTGGGCTGAAAACTGCAAGGGTGAGAATCGTGGCGCCATGAGGGGTTGTCCCCTGTCAATCCTTTTGGCGACCGTTGACGGCAATGGCGATGTCTATCGAGCTTTCTGCACTAGACTCCGTTCAGTTCTTGCTCCTGCATGGCTGGCAGCTTGAGCTGGGTATCTTGTAAACAGTTAGAACTTGCACTCATGGGCCATCGGACGGAGATTTGATGCCTCCTGGCCCACACATTGCACCTTGTTGGCGGCCTTTGTTTCTGGGAGGCAAGGGAGGGGCATTAGAAGCTTGGCACATATTTTGTTGACTTGCAGCAAGAAATTTATCTCCAACTTCATTTTATCCTTTGCCCACCATGCGCCTAAACAGTTGGTTACTTACGGTGCTTCCCATCGCTCACATTGCTATCGGCCATGGCGGCCTCAAGCTTTTGGGTGGCTTCGATGCTGTTTCTAATTTGCAACTAAGGGGAGCTTCACAGTTTGCTCCTCATGTGAATCATGTGATGCAGCACAGAGCGGCCCTTCCTCAACAAGGGTATATAGATGAACGTGCTGTAAACCTCAGATGTGGACCAGGTAACGGTTCCTGTCCGACTGGATACTGGTATGTTCAGAACCCTTTTGTTAGAGACAATACTGACATTGCAATAGTTGCTCAATTGGAGGGTACTGGTAAGTAAAAAAATCTCCCCAGAGTGAAGCAGGTATTGAATGCTTTCTCAGTGGGAAAGACTTCCATTACTGCTCGGGGCCAGCCTGCCAGCTCAGTTATGGAGACAAATGCGACGGGAACACCTCACCTCTCGGCTCCTCGACAAAAGATGTTGCACGGCCGCACCTAGGAAACATCAGCTACGGAGGAACCGGTCTCTATTTCTGCGAAAACAAGAGCCATGTAGCGCTGACATTCGACGACGGGCCTTACATCTTCACCGAGAAGGTGCTTGATGTCTTGGAGCAGTACAATGCGAAAGCGACATTCTTCATCACGGGGAATAACATGGGGAAGGGCCAGCTGGACAATGCTTCCACGGGCTACCCCCAACTCCTCAAACGGATGCATGCGGCGGGCCACCAGGTAGCCAGCCACACATGGACGCACCAGAACTTGTCAGCTCTCACGGTCCAACAGAGGCAGAACCAGATGTACTACAACGAGATGGCGTTTCGGAATGTGCTTGGATTCTTTCCAACGTATATGAGACCGCCGTACTCGGAGTGCAACAACGAGACCCAAGCTATGATGTATGACATGGGATATCACGTTGTGTACTACAACATTGACAGCAGCGGTAAGCTGAATCCAACCCTCTGGCTTAGACGCTCACACCACTTCACCACCTTCTCCCCCTCTCCCCTAATCTTCCTCCTGGCATTGAAGTTCCTAACACACCCCAGATTACCTGTACGACGACCCTACCCTCATCCAAAACTCAAAAGACGCAATAAACGTGCAATTTGCAACTGTAAACGTCACCGCCGGCTACCCAGCCGATTTCATCGTCATAAACCACGACATCCACGAACAGACTGCGTATAACCTGACTGCGTGGACACTAGATCGCATGCTCGCCCTCGGATTCGGTACTTCTGTGACCGTTGGCGAGTGTCTGGGCGATCCGCCTGAGAATTGGTATAGGGCTGCATCTGGGGCTCCAGCTGATGCGGCTGTGAGCCAGAGTCTGGTATGTAAAAAGAAGTTCGTTGCGTTTTTTGGCGGTTGGGATGACGGGGTGAGTTGCTGACTGTATTCTATTCCAGGCAAACATTACGCCTACGCCTATCCCTTCTTCGGGACCTTCGCCTACAGCGTGTAGCGGTACCGTTACTGTGAGCTGTACCATGAAAGCGAAAAAATCAGACGGGAGAAGGCTTGATGGGAACTTTGTTTTTATTGTCATATCTCTTACTTTTACGGTAGTGCTGACATTGTAGTCTGTGGCTTAAGTAGTAGAGTGACAAAATGTTGCTTCAATATTTATGATAATATCGTAATTAAAGCTATAAATTGAATGACTTGAATTGAACTTCAAACCCCAGATTTACCAACCTCGAAATTATAGTCAAGCTTGTTGATTGAGTTTCCGCACGTGCTCAGTGCCTCCAGGGCTCAAAATTCGATGTTGTGCAAAGTTCGGTTCTATGAATAGAACCTTGAGTGATTCTGAGAGAGAGTTTTGGTCTGGTTTATGTTCACTTAAATTGCAATTCTCGAGTCACGAGTGTTACAGATTCAACATTCAAAGTATCAATTCAACTAAGGCCCCTAATAATCGGGAAGGAAACATTAATTGACACATTGTCTTAATAAAGGGTGACCAATCGGCTGGTATTTGGAATAATGGGAGGAATGTTACGAACAGGTCCCAAAACTCGGGTTACACCCGGTGCCGCAATATGCAGTTGTGCTCCCACAAAATCCGTACTGAGAGCAACAATTTCCAAAGGTAGAGCCCTGACATGTAATGCCGCTGCCGCAGGAGCCATCTGTGCTGACTCTAAGTGCTGTTGATGTGCTGGTACTAGAGAGGACAGGTTAGTGGAGATTAGGGATAAGGAATCGAATGATATAAAATAGTAGCGCATGGGTGAGCAGAGTGCGAGGAGGGAGAGACTTACGGGTTAGGCGAGCATGTTCCAAAGGCCGGTTGACAGAAGGGACCACAGTAATCAGCAGTACTGCCGCAAAATCCATATCGAGAGCAGCAGTTTCCATACGTTGAGCCGAGACATGTCTTGCCTGTGCCGCAGGTGCCGTCAGAGCTGATGACCACCGCAGAGGTGGTGCTGGGAGCGGTCGATGAGGTTGTTGTGCCGGGTCCGCTGTTGCACCCTGTTGGTGAGCCAGCAGATCGATACCAATTTGCAGGAGGGTCTCCGAGACATGTGCCTACGGTTACAGACGTGCCATAGCCTTGGGCAGCCATGGTCTGGAGCATGAATTCGGTGAGGTTGTAGACAGTCTGGTAATGAATGTCGTGGCTAAGAGGGAGCATGTTACCTGTTGCCGGGTTGGGCGCAGAATTCGTGATGTAGTTAGCGAAGTTATTCTTCGAGTTCTGGATCAAGGTCGGATCATTATTCAAGTAGTCGAAGGTGTCGAGATCATAGTAAATAACGTGGTAGCCAACGGTCGCCAGGCGACTAAAGCACTGACTATCGCAGTCAACGTAAGGCGGACGAAGGTATGTCGGAAAATAGCCTAGTATGTTTCGGAAGGCCATTTCGTTGTAGTAAACCTGGTTATTGAAGTCGGTCTGGCTGAGGCCAACAAAATCCTGGTGTGTCCATGTATGGCTGGCGACTTGATGGCCTGAAGCAATCATACGCTGTTGTGAGTATTAGATATATCCGGCATTTCACAATAATAAGAACATACTTGAATGAGAGCAGGATACCCCGTCGAACAATCATCGATTCGCCCTTTTCCGAGATTATTGCCAGCTAAGCTGAGGTGAGCAAGGGACTTTATCAGAATCACTCATGTCGAACTTACTGATGAAGAAGGTTACCTTGGCATTGTATCTGTCCAACAGGTCAAGAAGGTCCTTTGTATAGAGGTAGGGACCATCATCAAATGTAAGAGCAATAACGCCTGGTCTGGTACAATCATTGATTCGTGTTCCATATGGAACGCTCCCAAGCTGAGGCCTCGCAATGCCGGATGTTGAGGCCCCGGGCGGAACAGTGTTTGCATCGCAAGCTGGGCCATAGTTATATTGACAATCTGGACCTGCGCAGAAGTTTATCCCTGTGCCACAAACGCTGCAGGCTTTCCGTCAGCACTGACTGCCCGAGTGCGTTATCATAACTCACCCATCTGAGGAGCAGCAGAGTCCAGCACCACAACTTCCTACTCCAGGTCCGCAATTCTGACGTGGACCGATGGTTTGTGTCTCTGAAATAAACGGAGACCACCACTCGACGTCTTCCGCATTGAAGTCCCGAACTTGGGCATTTCCAAATGTTTCGCGGTTTTGGAGAGCTGCCTTGAACTTGCTCCCACCCATCATTCTGGGAAGACCGTAATGGGGGTTACCAGCCTCACCGTGGGTAAGGACGACTGGTACCAGCAAGACCGAGAGAAGGATTGCTGAATGCATGGTCGCGATCAACACTTTTGGGTCTGTGTTTTGGTGTCTATTGCCAAAGTGAAAAGTGAAGCCTTGGCAGAGTTCGAGTTGCTACCAGTCAACAGAGGCCTACTCAAGGAAAGTTGACTACTAACGTGCCGACTGAAAACTGATCAGATGACACCAGCGTGAGGGCATCGAGTTTAAGGACGAAGTTCAACTTGCCTCGACATCAGTGGTAGAAACACGGGAATTCTTCCATTTTGGAATGGGTACATACAGCCCTCACCCTCAGCTAACAATGCAACGCAACAATCCCCAGCACCAAGCTTGGCAGAAGGAGAGACTGAACACAACTGAAGACCAACAATGAAAAGTTTCCTGCGTGTCAGCCAGCCGTGGCTTTCGATAGTCGACAGCAAAGCTTCTGGGGTAGGCGGCCGAATTTCGAGTTCTCTCGCGAGTTTTCTTTCGGCTGGTTGAGAGGTCGCCAAGAAGTCCTCCAGAGTATTGCCATCTTGCAGCGCATTCGTTTCAACCGTCCGGTTCTGGTTAGACCAAAGTATTGTACCAAGAGAATATTTCCCCCGCATCGGCACCCGAATACGGGGCAGCCGAGGGTTTTAGTGGGCAGCAGATGGGCGGGGCGGGAACGACAGCTGGCTGCATGGCGTGCCCGTTACCCGTACGTACCCCATGTCCATCGAGCATCGTGCATGCATGTGAAAAACTATTGATTTTGGGTTTGGATGGGAGTTTGATGTTGAGTGCGGATTCCGTCTTCCGGCTGCGTTCTATCGCCAACCATAGAAGGGTTTACCCGCCAACCACCCAAACCCACTTTCCGCCCAATCCAAAGTTCAACTTTAATATTAGTTTCTCAATTATTAACCTAATTTTATACTTTTTTATTTTGGCTAAATAATATATTCTTTAATTGAATTTTAATATTTTAAAGTAAAAGATATTAGTTATATTATTTATAGAATTAAATTCTTAATTATATTTTCAGAATTTTAATTCTATATCAAATAATAATTAAAAGAAGCCCAGTATTATGAACGGCGAGAGAAAAATCGGTTTTTAGCTTGGGCGAAAAGTGCGTTTGGGCGGTTGGCGGGTGAACACTTCTAATTCCACGGCGCCTCATCGCGCCGACCTGCAGGTCAGCAAACCCTGACGTGACATAGGTCTCCTAAGCATCAACCACCCAACAACCATCCATCCAGACCGACTTCTGAGTTGAAGAGGTACCTCCAGGAGGTCTTGATCTCAGGGTTCCTGCCTGTCCCCTCCTCATGCCTCTTTGAGGATTGCACCGCCCTCCTTCCCAAGTCTGTGTTGGTGCTGATGTCGGCGTTGGGGTGTGTGTGCTGCCTCACTCTTTGCTACGCTGAGTATCAAGCTCTGGAGGATAATCTTGTGCCCTTCACGTTTGAAGACTCTACCCTAACTCTCTTGTTGCCGGATGAACCTTGGCATCAACGACTCAGCATAACTTGTAGCTGATGCCCGCTGGCCTGTTTACAAAACCACATACTCGTTGATTTGATCTTCCTTCTTTCTGCCTCGGATCCATGTATTTAGAACGATCATCCAGAATTCGAACCTATTCGGCATGGCAGGCCAAGCCTTAGCACTCCTCAGCATCCTGCTGCTTTGCACCCTCGGCAGAGCTCAGAAAGACAACGGCGGCAGTTGCGACTGCTTTAAAACGAATGGCTCCACCGGGGCATATTTCAGTTACCACCGCTTCTTCGACTACCGGAACGTCCCTTACTCACTCACTTCAAACCCGAAGGTCCTAACGAGCGCTTCAGACTCGAGTAATGCCCCGAACACAAGTGCCTTCTTCTCTAGAACTTCATGGACAGCAGATTGGGCTGCAGCGACTTGGGATAACAGCGATAGCATCAACACGCCAAATTCTGACGCAACCGTATTCATGATCAACTCGCCAAACAATGTTTACATAGGTATAGCTTTCCAAAGATCTGCCCACAGCAAGGCCATAAAGTAATTGTTTCCTCACAGAGTCCAGCATCGATGAGAATCCTGCCTATAACACCTACCTCACTCTCCGAACAGTGCGGACGGCAGACTTCCAGTCCGCAGCCGAAATCGACACCACAGCCCTCAACTACCACTACCTATCCGCGCGTTACCTCGCGCGTACGGTCGGCGATGCCGGTGGCTGTGGAGGCATCTTCACATGGCGGTGTCCCTCCGGCTCCTGCTCTGCATCCTCGTCCGACGTCGAAGAAGCCGACATTGAGATCCTGACCGCGGGTCCGCAAACCAAGATCCAGCTCACTAACCAACCTTCCGAGTCTGCATCAGGTCATTCCGTACCCGAAGCGACAATCAATGCCACGCTCCCCAATGACTTGGAGTGGAGTGCATGGAACGAGTACCGTTACGACTGGTTGCCCAACCTGAGCACCTGGTACGTGAATGGAGTGAGCGTGGGAAGCATCAGTTTCCAAGCGCCTAAGAATCCCGCAGGCCTGATTCTGAATATGTGGAGTAATGGCGGGAGCTGGACGGGGAATATGAGTGTTGGCGATTCATCGTACTTGCAGATACAGTGGATTGAGATTGCTTATAACACATCGGGTCCGGTAAAGGGCTCGAAGATGGTGCGTGACGGACTTAAGTTACTGGGGCGGGTGGCGGAACCTGTCACTTCTCAGGTAAGCGAGCAACGAAGTCCCCACGGAGACTTTCATCCTTCTGCTTCTCGGCCGCACGATCGCGGATGGCTGTTATCCCGTGGCTCGGGCTGCCGTGTTGTCTGCAGCGTTGACACCAATGTGACGTCGACGGGGACGCCCGTAGAGGTGAGCATGGCGGGACGCGGGAAAGAGTGGCAAGCTACACGGCCACTAATAGTTGTGTCAGTGTTGTTGGGTTTTTGGTTTATGTCGTGAAATCGTAACAATAAACTATCTAAGAATAACGTTTATACCTTGTCATACCTAGTCCTTACTTGATAGACTAAGATTGATAAATGGGCTTCATCGGGTTGTTATTACATACGAAGAGAATAAATTACAACATAGGACGGGGGGAGGTTATAAGGAGAAGTACCTAGGTAGCTCGTTGTGGACAGAAAAACTCCAAATTTTCAATATTCCTAATCAAAGAAGGTCGATGGTCTGAACTTTGAGAAGAGAAGACCTGAGTTTTTGAGATCTTGGAAGTGATCTTAAAAGTACGGGAGCTCCGGGGAATTTTTCGAGAGGATTTAGTTGAAGAGTTCCATCGAACTTGGTATATTCAGTGCCTCTTTTATATCCACCGCGAGTGTAGGTAGAAAGGCAGGCGCGTCATATAATTAATCATTTGACCGTTCCTTTAGCAGAATCTTGTAGCAATAATTAGGAGAAAGGTTCCAGAATGGCTATGATTTGAGTCCGTATAACAACAACAAACTGAGAATAGGAGACATTTGTTCTCCTCTCCGGTATTGCCACCCCTGAATTTAATTAAGAAAATTAGCGAGCGCGCCTCCTATTACACGAGGCGAGATTCGGACCGTACCGATCTTTAACTGATAAATCGACTTGAGCCAAGGACCAAGCGTCGGGGGTTTCCGAAGGACATAAGGATAGCAAAACACAAGTTTATGGGGGGTTTTGCATCGTGGATACCCGAATGCCTTATGGCGGTATGCGTCTTTATACTTTTTCCCCTTCAAACTTCTTTAGGCTCGTAGACTACAACTATTTAACAAGCTATTAAGCCACCAAACGAAACGGCCACAGATAGAAGCCCCGAATGCGATGTGACTAAACTTCCTCTGTGGCAGTATTCCCGCATTCTCCCAAAATCATAGGATCGATGACGTCCCTCTCCCGCTCCCTCGCAATCCACCTCTGCACTTTCCAAAAAGCCCTCAAACATCCAATCGACAAGCCAAAGTCCTCCATTCCAATAGTCATTCCCGTGACAGCCATCTTCTTCTTCAAGAACCTGCCTTGCAAATCGTTACCTGCGCTCGGACATGCTACGAGGAGAATCCAGAGGAAGATGCCGGGGATCTCTTTCCATCGCAATAAGCCTACTGCAGAGATTTTGTCGAGAAGGGAGATGAATTGGGTGGGTATGTAGGCGTTTGTAAAGGGTCTGAGAGTTGCGATGCAGTTGGTGTATATGAGAGCTGTGATGCGTATAATCTCTAGGATGAGGTCCGCCTCTGGTATATCAGAAAGTCCAATTGGCGCTGGTATGATTTCCAACTGCTTGTGCAGCCACGAAGCGGTGCTTTGGATTTTTGATGTGCTGGCTTGTGTATCTGGTGAGGTTATGAATAAAGTGAGGAATCGAACGTCATCGAGAATTTCGGCCGCAGCAGTATTGAGATTCAGAGATTCTCGAGTCTGCTCGAAAGTAGTTGGTGAGGTGATTAACGGGCATTTCAAAGCCTCTGCATACGAGAGAGGAATAGGTGGGTCCGTATCTCGCGCGGGATTTAGTTCCTGCATTGACAGATCACGTTCGAAGCAGCAGGCGAGTTCATAATCCGTGCTTGCGAATAATCAGTCATTGCAAGCCGATCAAGAGTCATAGGTGCTTACAGGACAAAAACTGACTCCAAAACAGGATCTTTCATCCCTGTGTAACCTCCTCGAAGCTTGATCATTTGATTGAGACCCTTCACATGAGGCCACAACATCTCAGAAGATCCCCAGAAGAACTTTGTCGGGTCAGTGCCACTCGTTCTCAGTTAGCAGCGGCAAATAAATATCAACTCACTTCTGATATGGCAAGATGGATCACTGCCCGCAGTGCCTCCCCACCAACTTCACTGAAATCCCGTTTCAAAAATTGATTGATGATCTTGAAGACATGACTTTGAATCGAAAGCGTCTCAGCACTCTTTTTAACCATTAATTCCTGCTCACTGCTTTGCGTTGCAGATGCCATCATAATTGCAATATTTGGCATCAATGGCGACTGGATCATCCATGGTAACATTTCTCTCAGGAATAGGGGTGGGACGTTTCGTCCATCTATTGACACGAGATTTGGCACGACGTAGCTGTGAACTTGGAGAAGAATATTAGTATTTGGTGGATCCAGTTGTGCGAAAGAAACGTACAGAAATGGAGGAGCTCTGCGTTTTGGGATGTTTGCTTTATGGGAAGGCTGTACAGAGTGTTAATAGAAGTCAAGATTCCCCCAAACATTTTAGGACTTCCGTAAGGAGATTCATCTGGAGTGTGAGCGGGGCTTGGATTCGAAGAAAGGATGATCTCGCTGCTCCTCTCTACATCAGAATGGGCCTTTGTGAAGTAGCTGGAAACACTTTGATCGGTTATTGCGGATATTGCTGGGGATATTGACGCTGAATGATTTGGAGTGTGGGAGTCGTTGGAGTGTGAGTAAAGACTTTGAGATCTGGGTTCGCCGAGTTCAGGGGCACTAGAGCTGGAGGTGCCAGGGGAGTATTCTTCGATGTTGAGGGTAGGATCAAGATCTTCCCCGCTGTAGATCTAAATTTTAGAACTCTGTCTTGAGGGTCGGTGACAATAGAACTGACGAAGTCGTGTTCGGCTTCTTAGGCGGTTCAGCCCTCCCAACGCACGCAACAGGAGGATAACGTCTCAAGCAGTTACCGCAGGGCCCTCCTTCTTTCCGTGGGTTGCACTGTACAGCGTGAGCGCTCCGGATGCGTAAACAGGGGCTAACCAAAGAACCTTCTGCTTTCTCCGCCTACACTCCGTGCATGATTTTGCCTCACGTCGCCTAGTCCGCTTGACGGCTAGTGCCGGGGTTTGCTGCATACCGAGGTCGGGTAATGATGCCCTGCCAGCAAGCATGCATCAGCATTTCAACTTAACAGTTGTGGTTGAAGAGGAAAGAATAAAGCGTTTGAAATCCAAATAAGAATCCGAGGTCCAGAAAGCGAGCAGCTGAAACAGGGATGTTACGAGGTCCAATCATTTTTGAGGAATGGATGCGCCACCGCCACCATTTCAGCCAAACTCCGAAAATAAGCCCCAGAAAGGCAGGTAATCTGAAGAGTCAGCGGACATTGAGGGAGTCTAGCAATATTCCTTTGAATGTCGTCCCGTTCTTGCGGCTTAGCTTGGGATGAAGAACGCCGACGAGGGGTGGAACTTTCGTGGGGCAGCGAGGAGGGTAAAAAAGCCCGGGTAAGAAAGCCTGGGACAATGGACAATCTGGTAATTCAAAAGCTCCAAGAGTCGGTTCATGACTCTTACAATTAACTGAAACTGAGTTTCCCTATCACCCTAGAGAAACACCCGTTTCTCATCGTTGGTCCATGATGTGAAATTAAATTTACCCCTATTTTAAGCGAGCCCCTCATCCAACGTCTCAATTACCATCTCCCTCAGTTCGTACCGACGAAGACTATCTAAGCTGCGATACATCTAGAAGGCCATTAGCAGTGAAATTAGGAATTTGCCGAAAATACTTACGCAGCAGTCGCACCGAAAATCTCATTCCTATTCGCTCCACTGAAAAGCGCCAAGCCCAGCGAGAGAATCACAGTGAAGGCACCGATAATACCAAGACGTGCCCCTGGGGCGTGAACTAAATACAGAACAACCACGGACACCACGAGCAAGAGTGATGAAAGGACCGCTGTGGCAATTTGCATGAACAAAAGCAAGCTCGAGGGCTGGTGGTCAACCAGCCCTGGGATCAGCTCATCGCCACTGAATAAGCGTCTCCGCCTGAAAACCCGCCGGAATAGCGCTATCGAGTAGTCTGTGACTCGTTTTGAGAATTTTTTATCGCTTTCGGATCGCGGGCGAAGAGTTACTAAGTCGAGAATACTGTAGTTGTCCCATGTAGCTGAATCCCGTGGTGGCAAGAAGTTTGCCCCAAGTTCCGCAGTGGTCAACCATTTTCGTAGGAAATGAAGGTCGTTTCTAGCGGGCGGCTGTAGTGCAAGAATAGATGCTTGCTGCAAGAGTGCGTTGTCTTTTTGGTCAGTAAATTTGGAGTCCAGAAGGAAAACCTTGTCAGCCAAGAAAAGGAAAGAAAAATGTGAGCATACTGTATTCATTAAGCAGTTTACGAAGGCGAAGGACCAATTTGTAGCGTCCCGATGGGCCATCAAAGTCCCTGTCTCTCCGGTCTTGGCCGTCTGGGTAAACATCTCCTCGTTTCACTTTCTCGTACCATTCTTCCGAAAATCCAGGGTAGTGGTTTTGGTTAGCAGCTACTTCGCTATAAATCTCTTCTAGGGCAGTGATTTCAGCTTGTAGGAAGAGGACGTTTTGCAGGTTCAGAGCTCCAAATCGGCGAAAGATAGCGAGTTCGGGATACACGCCCATTAATTGTGCCAATCCCTCGTAACCCGTCGGTCTCTTTGGGCCTTCCTCGAGATCTTCGGGAGGACCCGTTGACAATGCCGGACTGGGTGGAATATTCTGTATATTAGGCCTTGCCATCGTCGTAATAATGGTGGGTTGCTAGCTTTAATTATGGTGTCCGCGAAGGCGGTCTCCTATCAATCCTAAGGTGATTGCCAAGTCATCATGCAGCCTTGCCGCATGTGGCTGGGACACGAATACGAACAAAGTATTGCCAGTCACCGATTATACGGCATGTTTAAGTATGCTGATTAAATCATGCCCTGATTTGATATGTTGATTTCGATAGCCAGTTGAGTCGCAAGTTGCTTGGAAAGACTTCCCTAAACAGCTTCCCCAAGAGGATTGTTGCGGATATGGAATCGATCATCGACAGAGCCAGAGGAACTAAATTGTGTCACACAATCGCCTTCACCATCAATTGTGAGAAAATTCTGGTGAACACCAGCGCAATTTGTTCCTTAAGTTCGGCGAGAAGTCACGCTGTGTGCTCCCCCAATCCACCACCCTGCCTTCTACAACAATGCCCAGGTAAAGTAACGAGTTCTTTAGTCTAAATGTATATGCCTCCCGCCAGGCCATTGAGCTATATTCCTCCGAGCAATATTTTCTCTATCCCTCTAACCTTAGTAAAAGCAATCACTAGTCACCTATCCAGTCAGTCATAATTCCGTTCTTTGGAACTTAAGCACAGTCAAACATGAACTGCCAGTGGTGCGCATCGATGCCGCTATCATTCTTGTTCCACTGCTCCATGTAAATGCCCTGGATTTACCGCTGTAGTGTTGGGTAACATATTTGAGCCCCGGAACATTATTGCGAGTATAGTTGTCCACAGTATACGAGAGTTAGCTAGCCATAGAGAACCAGGTATTCTCAAGGTTGAAGTCACCAGGGGGGTAACCGATGAGATCGTAATTCATGCCGAAGATGTAGAAGGTGATATCCCAGGTGTAGCATTTGGCATGTTGTTCTTCTTCTGGTAGAGGGCGAGAAAGCATCCCTTGAGGTAGAATTGCTGCAGTCCGCCCTTAAGAGAGTCGCAGGCGTTGCGGTATAAGATTCCGTTGGACATCTGACGGTCGAAGACGGCGGTGTCGTTTCGCGCAATCTCCGCCGGGAGTGGAGCAGCGGTAGTGAAGGTGAAGAGGCACGGCCGAAAGAGGAAGCCGAAGATTGTTTGTGTGAAGAGGAATTCATCTTGGATGTACGAAAGTGGTACAGGTTAATAGACATGGAAGAATGGGTTCGGAGTGCTTGCTCGTGAGAGGATTAGAGGCTGGCTCTCTAGAGGTGGCAACTATAGGAATTCTGTAGGATTTGACAGATGTGTGCAGTGAAATACAAGTTTTGGGTATAACGATGAGAGTGGGATAGAGAGGATAACGGAAGTGATGGGTGGAGTGGTGGAGTATGAAAGTGATGCGCGTTGTGAAAAGTGAACTTATTTTCAAACTCGTGGTCGGATTGCTTTCTTGCTTGCCCGAATATTCTGGTGCATGATGTTGATGGATGAGAATTGGAAGGTAGCCTTTAGAAAGAATGGATGTAGGTGTAATATTAGGCTGGGAGATGTTGTAGAAGAGAAGGTGTAGAGCGTTGGTTTGAGAGAGATGGTGTTGAAAAGGGGCAAAGCAAGAGATGGTTGTAGAAGAGAGGATGCAGAAGAGGTGCGACAGAGAGAGAAAATCATTTGATACCTGTCGTCAGCCAGTATGTGATCCCCAATAACTTCTTTGTAATTCACCTTCAGGTACTACGGCACTCACATGACTTACCTTTACCCCTTGAAATAGCATATTGGAAAACTGTTCCCAGGTATTTGCAAATCGAACCAGGTAAGATTGAAGGCCAAAGAAATGCTATTTCCGCAAATGAAGCAAGCACCTAGTCAAGCCTTGAATTCTTGGCCTGCATCAAATAACGCAACGGTTGCCCCATACCGGGGTAGATTTCCATCAACGCCTCAGCTCTACGCCTCAATAACCCAGAAGCATTCGTTCATTCCCCAGAAAACCAACGCAAAGCCTCACCAGCCCCTCATTCCTGATACGGTATTCCAATCCCCCACGCTCTAACAACTGAACAAGAAACGCCAGTTAAAAACGTTGAATCCGCTATCATTCTCCTCCCACTCCATATACCAATTGCCACCATGAGTATCATAATGCCTGCCCGCATACCAAAACTCCGGCACGAAAGCCAGCGTAATAGCGTCAACGGTCCACGGCAGTTGGCTATCCACGCTAACCCAATTGCCATCGAGGTTGACGCCGGGGACGTAGCCGATCAGCTCGCAGGTGTTGCGGAAGATGTAGAGCGAGCTCCAATTCATCCACTCGCCGATGTCGATGTCGATGGATTTGGAGCTGATGATGAAGAAGCACTGGTCGGGGCCTTGAGCAAAATGGGTGTCGCACAGGTTGCCAGTGAACACACCGGAGAATTGGCGGGGGTTGAGGGGATTGGGTGTGGTAGGGGCCGGCAGTGGGTTGGCGGTGCAGAAGGTGGAGAAGAGGAGAAAGGTGAGGAGGGCGAGGAGTGACTTGACGGGAGGAGAATGCATCGTGGATTGGAATTCGAGTGTCAATGGTGAAATGGCTGTGATGTCACCTAAGTCAGATTGTTCCATGGTAAGAGGGCTGAAACAACAGGGATTGTAACTAACATGATTGCTTGGAGTTTGGTCGCCGCAGAAATAGCGTTGAGTTGAATTGTGTTTGAGAGCGAGCAAAGGGTTAGGCTTTGAGGTGGAAGTATCTGGGCGCGATTATTTGGAAATAGCGCTAGTGAATACGCCCGTGTATTTGCTGGTGTGGAGATCGGAGGTTGTGTTCTCAAGAGATGATAGCGCCAGGTGCATTTATGCGATGATGGCTGTCAGTCATGTGCAGAATGAACAGATGTTGTGAAAGGGTATCGGGAAGGAAGGAGTGCCATTTTGCCAGCCGCGATATTCTTCCGACACATTTCCCGTTGCACAAATTCACTCGGATCAACCACCTCTCTGGCAGGCATTGAGATAATCTATTTCCTTTATTTGCAAATGTGGCGTTATTGACTTGCTTCTATGAAGGTGAGGTCCTGCAATGAAGGCACTATTCCCATGTCTCAACGGAATCCTCGCTAAGCCCAAACACCACTTCAAAGGCTCAGGACAGCCACAAGGTTTTAATTTTAGAGGTTGAAATAAATTTACTTCCCCTGCTTTAGGCATACTATTAGATATGGTAAATTCAATGCACTCTCCAAGGAGCGGCTGAGAATTTGGAGGTGTGTCGAATGGTTTCCTTTGGCTAAGCGAATCCCCGCCCCTTCTTTAAGCGAGAATTTCTCTGTGTTAACAACGTCATCACTTGCGCATTTCCTCGAGTTCAAACCATGAAATACTACGCAACGCTTCGGAATTCATCTATCTGCAAGTGTTTGTCATGTTTAAATCAGCGAAGAGATCTCCATATCCCCTTTCCAGTATTCCCATTCCCAGGTTGGCAGTTCCTTCCATGTTCTGTTCGCATCCCCATTTCCCCATCCCCATGTTGCCGAATCTATAATTGCAGCATATTGAAGCATTCAAATTGGAGTGCATTCTATAGAATCAATGCAAAACTCTCAACCCCACCGACTGATCCAGCGCCCCCCCCCAAAAAAAACATCGAGCTCCTCCCTCCGCCACCCTTTCTCAGCGACACTGAAACGGCAGGCCTGCAGTTTTGTATCCATCGTTAAGATACATTGGCGCCCAATCGAGCTACGTCAGATCGACCAGCGGCTCCCTCATCCCGAAGCCGGCATACCAGATGTAGGGGTTGAAGTTGCCGCCCCCTGGGCTCGAGGGGTCCCCTGGGATTTGGATATCGACTGTCCAAGGGAGCTGGGAACCGAGAGCGTAACCTTGGGGCTGCATTTTGAAGTATCCATATGGCACATAATGGTTGTAACCAATCTTGTTGCAGCCATTGTCGTAGAGCCAGAGCTGCGCCTGTTTGAGAGTAGATGTTAGCAAGAGCAGTGTAATTTCGGGAATGGGAGGGTGATGGAGGGACGCACAAAGCCCCAGTCGTCGTGGGTGACATATGCCAGCGTGCACATGCTTGAGTCACCATAGTTAGTCATGCAGGTTCCGATCGCATGTGCGCATCCCGTACTGTGGCTGCAGGGATAGATTTCGTAGTGCATGTCGTCACGGGCGACGATTAATGAGCTTCGTTCTGGCTCGAGCGTGGATACATTAACCGATTCGCTGCGCTCTTCGTCCAGGCGCTTGACAGCCTGTTTATGGCACTGGAATGGCAGCCTTACGCCACTGTACCCTCCGAGATTATACTGGGCTCCCCAGCTCCTGTACTGCGTACTGTCCCAGATCTGCAATCCGGAGTCTGCATTCCAGAGCTTAATCCAGAAGTTCCTGTCGATGGCGTTTGTGGCGTTGCCTATGATCTGGACATTGACAGCGTAGGGAAGCCGGGAGTGGAGAGCGTAGCCCTGGGGCTGTTGCTGCAATTTGTCGTACGTAATGTTGCCGTCGAAGGCTCCGAGGGATTGGCAGTTATTGTCCCAGAGCTCGAGAGCTGCCTATTTGAACGAACACGTTAGATGTGATGATTCGGATTTAAGAATGGGAAGTGAGGGGGAGACACACGAAGCCCCAGTCCTCTTTCGTAGTGTAGCTTATCGTGCACATTCTTGAGTCATCATAGTTGGCCATGCATACTGGGAGTTTGAGTACGCAGTTTGGTTCATCGGTGCACGGATATTGGGTTTCGTAGATGTCATCTCCTCGGGCGAAGATTTCTCCTCGCTCTTTCTTGACGAGCTTGGATAGCTGACGCACGAGTTGAGAGGTAGTATTAGCAACGATGCCGGAGATCGGGGAGGCGGCTGACAGATTGACGAAGCCGAGAAGGAGAAGACCGAGGAAAGTGAATAGGTGTGTGACACCGGATTGATGCATTGTGACAGTGAAAGTGACTCGAAAGTGGATAGATTTGTTTGTTGAGGTCTTGGGATGAGGGTGATATGTAGCCTGACCTATCATACCATGAAAGAGTGATTGTGGGAAATGACAAGAGAAGATTTATGTAAACCTTGCGGAATGTGTTGCATGGATAAAGTGTTGTGCGTGAAGTGTCTGTTGTTGGGGGAAAGATGAATGTGAGAGTAGGTTCAGAGGAAGTGGTGGTTAAAGGAAGAGCGGGAAAATCGAACCGAAGGCGTAAATATTGGTGAGTGTGATGACTTGGGAAATTATGACGTAGTTGAAAGAGCTGTGAGTAGATGTCCTTTGCGGAAGGAACGAGGGGGCTGTGATTGTGAATTATGTATAGGAGAGAGGTTAAGGTGAGAGGTGAGTCAATTGAAGTTGTGCCTTCCTCTCTGCAAGCCTAAAACTATGATTGAACTTATGACATGCCAGCTAATGGGGTGAAGATATCAACGAACACTAAAAAAGCATTCTTATGTTATGTTAAAGAAAAACAGAGGAGGGAGGTGACTAAGAGTCGTGCCTTCCTATGCCAGTGAACGAAGTCTTACAAAACAGTAAAGAAAGTGACCAATGGCAGCTGAAATCATGTCTCAAAACACCATACACGACTGGATGAATGCGTGACATCCCCAGTCTTTATCATGTAAGAGTTAGAAAGAGAAGAGAAGTCGCAAAGAAATAGATAAAGCAAATTCAGAGGAAAGTTAGCACTTGAAACATACCAATTTAAGCCCTCTGTACATATCACAATAGCAGAAGGAAACTCGACACCGAGTCTAGGCAAGCTGACAAGAGTCCCTCGTCCACACAGCAGCATGCCTCAAGAGAACTTCTCCTTCCAGAATAGTACCATTCATCATTTGCCCAACTTCTTCCTCAGGATCAGCAATTAACATCAAGCCAACATCCAAGGATTTGGCTCTGATAGATTGTGTAGAATTTCGCTTGAAGCACTCCACACAACAAATTCAATTCATCCTCTAAGTGCAGCTGTGTACGAAGATCCTAGGAGACTTGCTCAGCACCCTCAAATCCTTCCTGTCCTCCTTCAGCCAAACACCCGGATTCGCAATGTAAACTTGCTCTTCCCCCCACCCCTGCGACACGACTGATATACTCCCTATACCTCAAATTACAACCAGGAACTCCAGCTGCCTTTGCATTCCCATGTAAAAGCTAATCTTACACCCACGGTTTAATCGAAAGGAAGAGCAATAAGTAAGCCAGATAATGAAGCAACGGAAAGAAAACCCGGCACATCCAAGACCTTTACTCCTTCGCCGGCAGGCCAGCATCCATCGGGGTTTTCCCAGAGTGCGAAACTCGCTCCATATTATATCCACACCATCTCCAATTCCTTCACTTCTTCTACCCTTCTCTTCCACCATCAAAGCTGACGCCTCACCCTATCTATACCTACGGCCCAAAAACAGCGGCCCAGAAATCCATACTCCTCACCCCCTCCACCCCCGCCTCGCCCAAGCTATCCACCGCATGCTGAAGCGCGTCGAAATAAGCTTCGACTTGTACCCGTTCGGCATCACTGACGCCTGTATCTACCAACCGTTGGATATCCGCTTCCCGCTTACGGAGCGTGTAGCTGACCTCCCAGAAGCCGTCTTGCATGCCCTCATTCGTCGGCATGATAGCCTCCCTGATTAGTTTCAAGGGGGAGAGCGAGGTGACGATGTTCTTGACCTGCGAGGGCGAGAGGACGGTGCGGATGTTTGCGGCCGAGGGGACGGGCCGCTTGGCTTCGAGGAGGGCGCGCAGGAGGGCGGTCCAGACGTGCGGGGTGGAGGCGGGGGATGAGGCGCGGAGGGACCATTCGGCGATGCAGAGTCTTGTGTTGGGAGAGAGGTGCGGTGAGAGAGCGGCGAGTAGCTCAGGCAGCACGGCAGGGTTCTCGAAGTACCAGAGCGAGTGCGCCAGCACGATGTAATCATAGGCCGGCCCGGCGTACTGCTCTACGTACGAGGTTGCGGTTGCGTGGTGGAAGCTTATCCTCGCCCCGAGTGGAGTCGTCAGGATGTGGCTTTGGGCGTCTTTTAGGGGGGGCGTGCCGTAGTCTGGGGAGCCCGGGTCGACGGCGTCGATGTGGCCGCTGGGACCGACGGCGTGCGCGAGCGCGATGGTGGTGTCGCCTTGCCCGCAGCCGAGCTCGAGGACGCGGGAGCCCGGGGCGAGGGCCCAGAAGTTGACGATGTCGAGGCGGTGCTGCATCTGCGAGGTCAGACCTGCGGAGGATTCTTCTGTGGGCTCGGAACGCGTTTCGAGGAAGTGGGGGGCGAGTTCAGCGGCCAGAGATGGGGAGGGGACTGCCATGTTTGTTTGCGCAGTTTATGGGCTGATGTTTTTTTTGAGAGAAGTCTTCTGTTGTGGTTGTGAGATTTTAAGAAAGACGAAATTGCGATGTGATATTTTGATATGCTATTCAGATGAAGGGATTTACTGATTGTATGGTTGTTTTCGTGGAAGTGAAATTTTAGCTAGACTTATAGACTTAAATACAGAAAATCTCACAACAGACAAGAGAAAGAGTCATGAAATCTCACGCTCATGCGGTACTTGGTTGAAGTACGAGGTACAAATGAAAACTCTGCTCGGCGCTGAATAAGAAGGCTATGCACGCAATGAATTCCCCGATTAAGCGAGTGAGTCACTCAGGGGGGAGATTTCGACTCAGTCACGTGCTCACATGCGGCCACCCCCGACGTTCCCATTCTCAACCCAACTCAATTTGCTGCCTTCCTTCTTGAAAGCCGGGGCTGCGACTTGCAATAACCACCGCGCAAGGCACCGTTGCGCAACTTTAAGCACCAGTCAAGGGGTGAGCCTGCTGTTGAAAAGGACCATCACATGGAGTATCTGCAAGCCGCCGCTATCGCAAGTGGAAGTCCACAAGCTTTCTGCCCGCCCCCTCGATGCTTTCCGAGATGCGCAGATCGTGGCTTGAGGAGCAGGCCGGGCTCTGCTCGTCCCGATTGGCCGCTCGCCAGATTGGCAGCGATCTCATCAGGAAGGTCGGGGATAAGCGAGTGCTGCCCTCGCTTCCGCGCCGATTCGGCCGTCCGAGGAACGTTCTTGGCTTCCGTGCAGACTTCTGCTGCGAGTGCCCGGAGCGAGGTCGAATTCTCGTGCATGCAATCAATCCTGCGGGATTCCGAACAAAAAAATACAATAAAAAGGAAGGGTGATGACTTGGCTGCAGCAAGCTGAGCTGTGCCCGACCCGGGAAATCCGGTGACGGACTGCTGCTGCGGGGCCGTTGCCTCGCTGCTGGGTCGAAATGTAATAATATATCTGAGTTCAGAGGTGCGGATGGAGGTGAGGCGCAGAGAAGTCTTGGAGGGGTGGGGGCTGGCTTGATGAGATGGGGGGATTATTCTGGCGCTGCGTCGGGGGGTCGGGGATCAGCGATTTATTGTCCCGGTTGACTGACGAGGGGAGGGGGTCGTCGTGACTCGTCACGCTCCCGCAAGGTCTGCTGGAAATATACAGTAGATGTGCAACCAACAATCCAGCGACATGTTCTCAATGTCCGCATTTGTCGTCGAGTGCGGTTGGAGTGTGGGGCTCGCAGAGGCGCAAGATGGATGGTGTGAGCGTGGGATGGAGGGGTGGGAGTGGAAAAGCTGCTGTTTGGCTGTACTGTCGTCAATACTGTATGAGAGTTTCAGGGGAGAGGCGGCCTGGAAAAAGGAACGGAAAGCTGAAACACTGAAACATCTTTTCCTGACGTCTGCGAATGGGAACAGCAGGCGGCGAGCCCCGAGGCATCTAGTCTTTCCTGCAAGATGGCGGGAATCAAGGGATGGCCCAAGACTGTTTGTTGACCTCTGGATAATGCGAATTGAATGTTGGCGAAAGCCGATGAGGAAGGTAGTAAGGGAGATGAGGGCCTTGTCTCGCGAGAGGGAGGCTTTTTAAATGGGTGTAGGGTGTTTGTGGCTGGCGTTTGCAAGCTTGCAATGTGGTGAGCCGTGAGCCTCGAGTTCCTCGGCGGGAAAAGGGGGCGGAGGGGGGCGGACATGCGCGTATGTACTGGCGGCGGTTTGCAAGTGTTGTGCAAACCTCTGCCTCGTGAGCGGCTTGACGACGTTGAATTGGCCGTTTAGGGGAACAGTACCTGGCCGGTCTCCGCTCCTGCAGCCAGCGTCAGCGCTTCTGAGGCCTGATGCTAACCTTAATTTGCAAAGTCGGGGCATCTTACATTCCTCTTCCTCGGCCGTGAGCGCTAGAAGCTTCACAGAAGAATCATCAGCGCCGATCCCCAGTGACGAAGCAGTGGATGCACGCTTCACGCTTGTAAAATTACCGAGGCGAGGGCAGGAGGTCGACAGCACCGACAGCACCGACACCACCGACACCACCGAGCACCATGCGCACTGCTGCAGATAAGAGATCATAATGCAGCAGGTTATTAAATAAAGCGCCGGACTCCCTCACTCCCTTGTGAGGCCTGCGAGCCAATACCGCGATCCCCTACTGTGCAGGCAGGGAGTGGCGCAGAGCGCACGCCTTAATATAAATTTACGTGCGTGCAATCCCAACCTTAAACCGGCGCGCACTTGGAATGGAAGGGCATTGGAACTTGGAACACTTCTAGCGCACTTCTCGAAGGCCCGCAGACCAACTCGGCTCGTGGCGCGGCGAGGGCTGCCCCGCTCTTTTTCCCCTGGCCGTCCAATCACAGCCGCGTTCAGGGACGCTGGGCTGCTTCCCCGTCGGCCTCGACTGGCTGCTTCCTGGCTGCTCTTGCGCTGGCCTTGTTGGTCGTTCTCTCTGCTGCCCTTGCTGCCCTTGCTGCCCTGCCCTTCTCGGCTTCTCCTCCCTGCGGGTCCTGGCCTGGCCTCCCACTCGCTCACTTACTCACCACCATCGCGAACGCCTTCAATCGTCCCGTCTCCACTTCACTCGACCTCCCCCCCCCCCCAACTTCTCCTCTCCTCCTCATTCTTCTTCAACCTCCTCCTGCTCGAACATCGCCATCACGAAGACACACCTCACCCCTCGGCATGCTCGCTGCCGCACCCTCGCCGCCACTGTTCTAGCGGAAATTTTTGCCCATTATCCATCCAGCAGCCAGGCTTGCTCCGCATCGACTCGACTCGACCGCCTGTGCCTGTGCCTGTGCTTTGTCCTCGCGCAAAAACTGCGACTCGAGCCCAGCCCATGTCCCTCCGTCGCACAGCACGCAATTGAGCTGCCCGGCGCTCTGCAGAACCCTCGAATCCCCTAGAGAAAAATAATTTGTGCGCGAGTCTTTCCTGTAGGACAATCGGCAGAGCTTTGGGTGTCCAGAAGCGGCGGACGCACCTCCTCCCTCTCTCTCCACGCCGCCCGCCTGCCCTCCCTTGCAATCGCGAAATAGACCCATTGCCGATTTATACGGACACAAATTCCATACCCCGTCCCCTTCCACCCTTTGCGATACTTTCCCCTTCGCCACCAACGTCACGACGACACCGCCGAGAGGAGTCTCGGTGACGAACTTCTGACTCGTCTGAAAGGCGTTGCGCCAGCGCTCGAGCCATCAGTGCGACACGGAGCAGTTTGATCCAAGAGCGCGCAGCATTGGCTCCGGCCGTATATCCTCTTCTACTCCGGAGACAAACTCGATCATCCGCTGCTGGGGAGAACGCACGTCGAGTCCGGGCCTCGCGGTGCGCGAAGCAGTCATGGACTATGCGGCATGCAATGTGGTGTATGTGGATCGCACAGCCCGAGAGGACAAGCTGGTGAAGAGGGACGATGCGACGTCTCCAGGCTCAACAGAAACACTCCCAAATCATGCGCAGGAATATGCGCCTGCCCACCGAAGCCCCAGCCCCGTAGACGACAATCTACGGACACTGCTCGGGACATTCAGTGAAGGTATGTCGATTCACTCCGATTTTGAGCATTGAACTGACATCCTCAGTCCATATCTGCACATCCGGCAAGTCCTGCGTATCGAAACTATCCGAATTGAATCAAGCCTCCATTGTCGAGTTAATACCTACCCTCGTCCTCATAGATATCCCATACGATGATCAATTGCATGAACAATCACCGCGGGACGCTCGAACCCCTTCTCCAAGCTCGAAAGGGCATATTGATGGATTGGTAGACGAACCCGCGGAAGAGGATGCATATGGGCTCAAACTATTACAGTGGATAGCCTCGGAGATTCAATACCAGAGTCTGTCCCGGCTGGTGGTGCCAGTCGCTGTTGTCACAATACCAGAACGCAATACTGTCTCCATATCTGGGAGAAGACGCGCGAATTCACGGCCAGATGTACAAATCAGTTATACCTCGTTCCCGTCAAGTCCGAGGAAGAGCTCTGGGTTGGTCATTCCACTGGATCAAAACAGGACAATGCGATATTTAGATATTGGCGCAGTCGATGTTTTAACGAGTCCCCTGCTGCACGAACGGTTACCCAGCCTAGCGATTCACGCATATCGAGCTCACAAGGACGCTTCGAAAGAGCAGAGAGCGTTGCTTGAGATGAAGAGGGGTAGGAAACGGTCATGGGTGGGCGTGGACGACCAGAAACCGTATGCTTATCTGCGGGAAGCCATGGTGTCTGGATTGATGGATGGGATATGCAAAGTAGGCGGCGATGATCAACCGTTCAGTCATATAAGGATATCCATAGCGTTGGATCGCCGGGAGAAGATTGCATCCGCAGTTGGTTCGTGGAATTTCTCGGCACACGACTTTACGGACGACGAGCTTCTGCATGCTGCACTGCTCATGTTACAACATGCGCTTGCGATGCCAGAACTGGAGAAGTGGCGGATATCGACAGGTAAGAGACCGTGACTTGTGGTCATGTTTCGGATGACGTGTGCCTCCATATGCTGACACCCGATGCAGAGAATCTCACCGGATTTCTAGTAGCTTCCCGGTCGGCGTACAATGCCTTTGTTCCATATCATAATTTTCGCCATGTCGTGGATGTCTTACAAGCCATCTTCCACTTCCTTCTCCAACTTGGCAGGTTACCTCCGTACCCGGCTTCCAACAAAACTTTGGATATCCCTCTCTCACCCATAGCTGCTCTCATCCGACCATTCGACGCCCTTACCCTTCTAATTACAGCCATCGGGCACGATGTCGGCCACCCTGGTGTCAATAATGCCTTCCTTGTCACTCTTAATGCCCCCCTGGCCCAGTTGTACAACGATAGATCTGTTCTAGAATCCTTCCATTGCGCTGCATATTCGCAAATTCTCCGACGGCATTGGCCCGCAGCCTTTCAAGGAGTTGAGATGAGGCAACTCATGATCAGTTCGATACTTGCAACTGATATGGGACTTCACTTCGATTACATGAAGAGACTTGGCTTTCTCCAGGAGAAGTTACACGAGAACGGGGGCACTGATGGTTGGAATGGCAGGCTGATCGAGGAGCAAAGGACCCTTGCTTGTTCATTGCTGATCAAGTGTGCCGACATCAGCAACGTGGTATGTGCTCCGTCATTCTGGGGAAGCTTGGCTAACCAGTGCAGGCTCGAAAATATGAAACTGCTGCTCAGTGGACACTGATTCTGACCGACGAATTCTCTCGCCAAGCTTCGATGGAAACAGACTTGGGGATTCCATCCGCTCTCTTTGCCCCTCCGGTGCGAGAGATTATTGAATTAGGCAAGTCACAACTTGGTTTCATGAACATGTTTGCGATACCCCTGTTCCAAGGAGTCACGGACGTCATGCCAGGCATGGGTTACTGCGTGGATGAGTTACAACGAAACAAATCAGCTTGGGAAGAGAGGATCGCAGTCGAGCAAGCGAGGGCGAGACAGGATAGCGATGATTCAGCAATGACGGACGGCATGTTTTCCCCGCGTGCGATGAGCGTGGCAAATCCTTCTGATGCTAGTCACCAGAAGATAAGTAATGCCACGTTGTCGCCCGACCACGACCTGAGGAAAGCATTGCTCAGCAAAAGCCCCTTCCTACACGCTAATGGCTCTCTCGACGAATTCGAACCTCACCACCACGCGCTCCCCGAAATCTCAACTACATCCGCCCCCCACACCGAGTCACCTAACCCATCTCCCAGCGAGCTTCTGCCAGATCCCGGCTCTCGCCGCTCCTCCAACAAACCAAGCCAGCTCCAACTATCCTTCGCGACAGCAAGTGCCCCAGGCCTACTCGACCACCCAAGCCAAGACCTTCAGCACACGAACGGCGCGAATGGCATGTCGATCAGCCCTTCCCTTGTCGCTGACCCTGTAGTCATCCACCCCATCATGATCGACCCCCCGACTCCTAACGCAGGCAAGGCAGAATCAGACAAAGATAAGCAGCGCAGCAGCGATGGCACAGAAGGCAGCGTGTCTGCCACTTCAGGCCAAGATTGGACGAGTCAAGCCACCTCTGCCACCACCGGGAAAATGCCCCTCTCGCCATCAACACAGGGAACGAGCATCATGTCTTCTGACAGCTTGGAGAAGTCCTCAAACGGCGAGAATAACCAAACACCGACGAGGAGGAGTCCCTGTTCGCGGAGCGAGGGCGATAGCCCGGCGATGACGGACGATAGTCCGAGCGATAGGGGGAAAGAGGATGGGAAAGGGGTGGTCATGGAGAAGGTCAGGAATTTGAGGAAGAAGCCGAGTCGGTTCCGTATGAATATGAAGTTTTGGGGGAGGAGCAAGAGCGCGAGCCCACCGGTTCCGGTACATGGGAGTGGGGGGAGTGAGGAGGAGGGGAGCTTGAGCTTGGGTTGAAGATTCGATTTCGCTGGCCTTTTACGGAAACGATACATTCGCAAATGGAACGAGGGGTAGTGTAGGATTACGAGGACTGGTGGTTGTACATTGTACACAAACGCGAAACGGTTTATAACAAGGAGATGAGAAGGGGAGATGGAAGAAGACGAGAGATAATGGCGTTTGGGCTGCCTGCTTGGGATGCTGTGTTATGATGTATGGCGTTTGGGAAACGGGCGGAATTGGCATTGAAAGGACAGGAACGGATGGAGCATGTGCTATGATGCATGATCAAGTATGAGGTATATAGGGTGGAGTGGTTGTGAATAGGCGAGGTAACATTGCTGCCATCTTGGGGCAAATGGGGTGGGAGGGACGAGGGAGATAAAGGGTGTAGGCAGTGGGGGTTAGGTGAATGTATGCGTTGGGCTGACATCGATGGCCTCCTATCCCTTTCCCACGAAATTCTGGATGCGACGAAAGTTGCCTGAGCAGGAGGCCGCCGAGCAAGGCTCGATTTGGAAGTTGTTCGCGGAATTTCGCTTAATTTACCATGCCCCTATTCTGAGTTGACGTCTACATTTCTTGTTCAACCTCTTGAACATCTCTCAAAACATCTTTCAAAAGTGGCCTCCCATCTTGAAGGGCAGCTATACTCCTACCTCTAAGCCCTTCTGCGTACTTTGAGGTGCGATTCTCTAGAAAGCGCTCTGCATCAGCCAGCTCCTGTTTCCACCACTGCCGAGCCGCTTCTTGGGCCTCAAAAGCAGTGCACCCAGCTGCACCGAACTTCTCATACCTTTCCCTCGGAAATAGCTTATTTCCCCTCCTCACAACAGCTGGATAACGACCTTCCCACTCCGGCGCACCGGACGTATACCTCCGTATACAGCTCCTCATCGCCTCCGGCGTCCGTCTAAACTCAGGGAAATGCAGCTCCGAGAGCTCGTCCCTGAACGTCTCAGGCGTCACACAAGCATTGACAGACCCTACGCCCTCAAACAGACACCAGAGCAGTTTTCCCAGCATGAAGACCTGGGCCCTCTCCCGTTCCGGCTCCGCGAGCGAAGTCCACGCGATGCTGAAGCCGAACTCCGGGTTCCAGTAACGAACGGATCGAGATTTCGGCGCCCAGTCTGGCTTCCACTTCTTCAACATGGCTGTGTATTTCTCCTTGGTCTTCTCGGGAACGTGTGGGGAGGAGGCAACGTGCTCCAGATACTCGGTGTAGAACACCTCTGGCGGGCTCCAGCTGTACCAGCCGCCCCTCTGCTCGAAGTCGAGCACGATGGCGTGCAGCCCGTCCGCCCTCTCGTCCATGATGATGTTGTTCAGCTTCACGTCGGAGTAAAACCCGGCTGGGGACTCGCGGATGTGCAGCAGAGCTTCCGTCACCTCGCGCGCCCAGCGGAACTTCTCTTCCAAAGCCAGACTGCCGCCGCCGCGCGATCTGGCCACGAGCGTCTGCTGCAGCGTGCCAGCTGCGTAATATCTGAGCACGAAGCCGCAGACGCCGACCTTGCCGCCGAACCGGCACCGCTTCGTGACGATGTAGAGGGGCCGCGCGACGACGTTCGCGTGCGGCGCCATGCTGAGCAGCAGCTTGAGCTCGTGGTACAGGAATTTGCAGTCTGCAGTCGCGGACTTGAACACGAACAGCTCATCGTCGCCGTGGCCCTCCATCGTCACCAGCGCGATCGCGTCGTGCAGCTGTCGCTGCAGTTGCACGCAGCTGAGATCGCGCACCTCCGGCCACGGGAGGTCGGCGCTCCACATGCGCTGCAGCGCGGCGGGGCTGAGCCATTGCTGCTCGACGTCGTAGTTCGGGATGAGGTGGACGGCGATGGCGTCGATGTCGGCGCAGATCCTGTCAATCACGATCCGCGAGCCGAACGGCATGCCGTGGTAGAGCTCCGCAAGGCGAGCGGTGGTGCCGCGCGACGACGACGACCAGCGCTCGAGGATGCGGAGCACGAGCTGGGCGATCGGCAGGTGCGCGAGCTGGCTGCCGTCGACGAGCATGGCGGCGTGGGACTTGAGGATCCCGCGGACTTCTGGCGCGTGGTCTGCGGGAGAGGGGATGTGCACGTCGATGCGGAGGGGGCTGCGGTTGAGGGCAAACGAGGGGGTGGCGAAGAAGCGGGTGCCGTCCATCTCGCCGCCGTCGAGGCGCCAGGTCGGTGTGAGGACCGCGGTGAGACTGTCTATTCGGTTCTTTGGGTTGTGAGGGGAAGCTTCCCAGGGAGTTGGGCCGGTGGGTGGCGAGGGGTCCGACGCGAGTGTCGGGGTGAAGGCGGCGGTTGGGTACATGACCGCGTGGAACATATCTGGCGTGGGCTCCATGTTGGCATATGAGTCTCTCTTTTCTACGACAATTCTCGTTTGGAGATGATTCAGATGAGAAGAGTGAGTAGAGAGGGCACCAGGTCAAAGTATCATCAACGGGTTCGAGCAGGATAGAAGAGAGAAGATGTCTATTGAGCTACCAGGAAAGGACAAGAAGTAGAAGCGAGCAAAATTTCGGAATACTACAAGTGGGAATGAGGCTCTACTTCTAATTCTAACTACTGTCTTATGTATTGTGTTATACCAGGTATTCCGTGGTAATTGCACAATAATCTCCTCATTGGGATCTTGTCAGAGGCCGACTGACTTACTCATACCAACGCATGCGAGACCCCCGCTTTCACCTTCCCCTTCACTAACCGATTGGGTCGGCTTATATCCTGTGTGTGTGTGTGTGCAGCGTGGGGTTGGTTTCACAGTTGAGCCTCCAAAGTCAGAAATCAGGGGTCAGAGGCGGTTCCCCCGACACTTCGTAGGAGGGATTGATTCAGCACCGCATTTTTATTGCAGATTTGGAATCACAATGTACGGAGTAATTGGGTCATTGAAATGTCATTCATCGTTATCTCAACTACTAACAGAAGTTCTGAAGAGTACCGTACCGAGACTTAAACAGGGGCAAAGGGATCAGAAAAACACCTTCGAATTCAACGCTTGAACCAAAACCACCCGAAATATTTGCTAATAACCTCCCGTAACTCATGGTGAGAAGCACTCGCGGATTTCAAATGTCAATCGAGGAGTGTAGGCAATGTTCCACACCTCCTGCAGACTCTTGTCGTGAAAGATCTTCTTGCTCCCCTCTTGAAGGGGGTGCGGAAGCTTCCACGCGAGCAAATCATTCTTAAGCCACATGCGAACGAGGTAGCGCTGGTTCACCTCATCATCCGTGAACGCTTCTCTGGCGTGAAGGATTGCAAAGTTGTTGACGAAGGTTAGATCTCCTGGCTGGAAGGACAGGGCGAGTTGATGCTTCACCGCAATGCGTTGGACTGCCTCGAGCGCCTCGTGCTGAAGGCGAGATAGAGGCGGCAAGTCAGCGTCTCGGGCCATGTTTGGGAGGCCGACGAGTGATTGAGGGACGAAATTCAGGATGACGTGGCCGCCGTGGTAGAAGAGGAGTGCACGCTTTTTGGGCTGCGAGTCCCGGCCACGGCTGTAGAGCATTAGTTTTTTATTCTTATGGCGGTGAGTGGAGGAGGAGGAAAATACTTGTCAAATGTCCAGTTTGGGGTGGCTAGAACTTCGAGCAGGTCTGGCCTCTCCACAGCCAGCTCGTTGTAGACGGTCAAAGCTGGGGAAAGGAAGTGTCGACCTCCCTCTGCGGCTCTGGCACGGCTCTGCATGGCAAGAATGTCGCAGAACATGTCGTTGTGAAAGCCCTAGAACGCTCTTTAGTAAATGTATTGCATGCCGGACTCGGGCAATCTTGAGATACCTGTGCCACAGTGGAATCTTTGAACGGCCGGTCTTCCTGCGGTGCCTTCATGATGGTGGCATTGCGGATGTGCGCTGAGGGGAGTCAGAATTGTTTTGCAATCCCTCTTGTAGTAGTAGTCCACGTACCAAAAATGTTGCCCCTGCTATCTTGCTTGCCTCGCCTCTCGGCGACGTAACTAGAAATTCCCAGAAACAGCAAGACGTTGTCTTCAGGGGAGTACTCATTTGGATCGAGTCCACGAATAGAGAAGAATCCTTTGCCTCGGTAGAGTTCTTGGGTATAGGCTCGAAGACGCTCCTGGACGGTAGGCAGTGGGAAGTTCTGGCGATTGACTTCCTGTCCATCCAAGCCAAGACCTGTAGACCGTCAGCTTCTGTGCAATGTTTGCCACCACTCATTAAGAGTCAGACCTTTGAAATGATTCAGTGCGGCATTGATCTCAGCCTTTTCATTGTTAGACAGATTGTGGATGTAGGTGTCCTCGTTCGTGAATTGCTTGCGGTCCCACACCAGGGTAGAGTTCAAGGTAGTTGGCCATTCTTGGATGATGGAGTGATGCTCTGTTGCCATAGTGAGAAGTGGTTTCGGTTCTTTTGCGTGGTTCGATTTTTGGTTTGGTTGCTGGAGAGAAGGTTATTTCATGGTAACTACGGCCGGCTTTATAGATGCTCTCAAAAGAGGGGGGCTAGAGGACGCGACTAAAAGATGGGAAGTTGATTTGAGCCTCAGTTGCCCCCCCCACTTCGCCTCCTTGAGAGCTTTCCACATCTTTCCACGTTTTTATGACACACGATAAGTGAATGCGACTCAATTGGCGATGTAGAGTTGCAGCTAGAGGTCACAGGTCGAGTGTCTGGTTGCGTCGACGACGAATGATGCGGTCCTATCAAAGAAGGTGGTGTGAGGAGCACTGTGATTGGGATTCAGACCCAAACACATGCTGTCAGAATTTACTTCGTACTGTCTGGCCTAAGAGAATAATGATTATGTTGTTAGCTCATTTATGTATAAATACAAGGTAGTGTTTCAACTAGCTCCCAAACTCTTGCCAAAGTCAAAGGTTGGCTGTGGATTTGGGGACAAATTCGAAGTCTAGTAGCAGAAAGCTGCCCAGGGGCAGGGTAGACAATAGTGCAAACTGCAGTTTTGAGACTGAAGTCCACTCTCAAAATTTGAGACCGCTCTTTAGAGCAGACAAACTAAACTGAAAAAAAAGGGTTCAAACTGCAGTCTAGTTGCGGTAAGGTTGACCACGATTCAACTGTAGAGCAAAGCAGTTTACACATAAATTTGCAGCTTGCTAGAGGTATTTCAACCGGCGGTTTAGAACCCTGCACTAAACTACACTACACTGACGTACACCGAGGCTGGACCAAACCAGTGAACTGCGGTTTAGACTAGACTGAGGTCACAGTATCAGCTAAACTACCCAGGGGCCCAATAAGGAGATAGAAGTGGCAAATAAAGCAGGATAGGTCCCCAAGCACGCATTCGAACCATTAACAAGGCTCTGCTTTTACAGGGAATGTGTTTGGATTGCGAAGTGATACGTGCAGCTCTTGGCTGGAGAATCTCGAGCGCCTTGGTCAGAAGGACACATCAAAGATGTAGGACGTATTTAAACTGCCAGAACACACTTCGAAAATCTAATATCTGTCACGATGTAATTTTACTACATGAATATAAAGATATTCTATAGAAATCAAAACAGTAGTAGCGTGGGACAGCTCCCATAACAGCAGGCCCCGTCCCCGAGCAAGGTCACCAAGATGCCTATGATTTTAGGGGCAGCAGCAAAATCAAGATCACAATCATTGTGCCCTGAGGCAAAGTGGGAAAGTCTGCCTATGAAATTCAAATAATGGTCTAGGGATGGAGTGCAATGGGCCGTTGTAAACCAGTCCTCACTGTCCAATAGAATCAAACTGCTGCGGGGTCGGAATTTGGAGTTGAGGCTCTGCTCGCAGCCGCAACAAGCGTGACCGGTGAGTGCCTGAACACGTGCCCGGTGAGATTCGAGGTACATGCAGCTAGCAACCGTCACTGATGATTGGCGAGCAGCCTGAGTCGCGCTGTCACTTGAGCCCAGGAAGGCTCGAGCAGTTCAACCACTGACTCGGACGAGAAACGCCTCTCACGTGTCCGGTGAAGCGAAGCTTTCTTGAGGACACCTCGTCCGAGAAAAGAGAGATCCGATGAAGTGTGAAGTTGAGCTTACTGGATTTTGGGTACCTGCAGGCTGTGCTACAAAGGCTAACTTTAACGAGTAAGAACTCGGACCGGATTACAGCGTTTCAGCTATCACGGAGCCTGAGGATCCTCTTCCCATCATCGTCCTCGCCGGAGAAATGTCTGCCCTACCGAGCTCCAAGTACCTGGGGGAATGGGAAAACTTGGAAGCTCTCACCGACGAGGCGTTCCTTGATGCTGCTTTCCCGGGAGACTGCGCGGAACACAGCCCAGGAACGACATCCCCAGGGTCCAGTTCAAGCGGTGCGACAACAATCGATACCCCACAGTCTGGTTCCACCGGTCTGCACAGTGCAGGCATTCATTCCAACGGACGACATGAGTCCACTGCACCGGAACGGCGGGAGTACTTCTCTGAGCACTCCCCGAGCGACTACAATGTTTTCCCTGGCTCATCAGAGAATGCGAACGGCGGAGGCGCAGATGCGGAAGTCCTTCAGGAAAACCTCGCTCCAAGAAATATCGATTGTCAATTGGGAGAGCAAAGCAGCATCGCACAACTCGGGCACGGGTTCCCTGGTGCCTTTCCAGAGGAATTTCTCCCAATCTCGTTCTCCGACAGGAATGACTCTGAAGCTCCTTCCAGTCAGCTAGGCACCCTTATACATGATGACGACGTAACTTGTCTTCGGCACTTGTTCAACCCTGGAACCAACGAGCAGCACTATCAATATTCCACACCACATGTTGCGGCACGCCTTACACAAGACACTTCTCAACATGCTCAGCCTTGGGGACAACTTGCTCTAGACCAGACCACTGTAGGGGCCCCAACATATGAGCAGCGCAATGGTTATCTCTATGAGGAGTTCCCCAGCAGCGACTGGATCCCGAACATGTCGAACAATGCTGGGTTCCCATTTTCGCCACAACATCAACCCTCTTTCTCATTTCATACTCCAGAACAACCTCAATTGGCTCTGTCGTCCTCCATGGGCGCCTCCCTGAGTATTGGACTCGGCTACGACGTGAACGATGAAAGTGAAATATTGGAGGGCAGCTCATCTAATTTCTGCAGAACAAAAGAGACTCCTGCAAATACCTTCCAGGACTTTCAGTCACAGTCAGAGAGCACCCAACGCCCTCACACCGAGAGAGAGTCTTCAAGTCCAATCAGAACTAAAGCAACCTCTCTAACTGCACAGAGGGGGAGTTCCAGAAATGTCAACAAATCTGGACCCCTTTCCCAAAGGCGAAGACCAAAGCAAAGAGGAGCGTTCACTGATCTGATGGAAAGAATGGAGACGGGGGAAACAAGAAAGAGGAGAGCTTGCTTGAGGTGCAGAATGCAACGTATCCGTGTACGTCCCTCAAATTCATGGCCATGCGCCCAACTAACATCAATAACCAAATCAGTGCCACACAGACCCTCACAATGCTCATGGCACATGTATCACTTGCCAGGGGATAACCAACCCCACCCAGTCAAAACTCCCTTGTCTCCGATATAAAATCTCCGATACGGCTCTCTTCGACAAAGGGCCACATCCACAATTTATATGGTGTCAACGTTGGAAAGAGATGAAAATCGTCGAGATAAAAGAATGGGAGCACCCTGATGTGAAGACAATCGAGCTCACGCAGGATGTTGGAGACGCCACCTATAAGGTCAATGTGCGGAAGTTCATTCCCGTGGAAGGAGACTCCCTGGAGAGGAAATGGACAACCAACGGACAGCAACAGTCACATCGATGTGCAACTTACGCAATCGCCAATATGAAAGAGACAGGCCAGCAAATGTTGAAATTTGTCGATGAAAATATCAACACGGCGATAGGTCACTATATCGGCGACTCAGATGAATTGCTGCAAGAAACATATCGCATGGCTTACAGGCATTCCGAAATTGCAGAGGCAAGTACATCCAGAACATAGTTGGACTTCAAGCTGATTAAAGTTTACGATAAGCGAGAGAAGGATAAAAGTCTTTTGCGATCTGTCTTGAAACTCTGGGTGGCAATACGCATGGAGTCTCGATCTGAGCGAATTTGCGGCAAAGAACATCTGGGAATGGCGCCACAAACATTGGACCCAAGCGCCGCAAACTACAATCAAGTGCTTGTGCCTCCAGTCATGAGTGCCCAAATTGAGCTCATTATGACCGCCATCGTTCTTCATCCCTTGAAGAGAGAAGTTCTCAAGCAGCTACAGGAGCTTATGAAGGCAGATAGAAAAAGGTCATGGCTTACCATATATCTATGCCTGTTCGTGCTGCTGCATAGCTGCGCCTTGCTGACTTCTTTTGAGAACACGCAAGCTAAAAAATACGGACTTCAGGTAAGCCCACCTCCTGTCTCCCTGGTTCACTTCTTCCTGCTTACCTGCTCTAAGTCGCGTTACGTTTATGGGTCATTCGTTGAGGAATTGCATACCGGGTCGAATATTATGCTCGCACACTTTCATTACATGAACAAAGGCAGCCTTCCATTCGCCATGGACTGGACCATCGAGAGAAACGTACAACAGGCTGGGTTCAGCTCCGAACAACTCGAGTTTTTGACGAAAACTGCCCAGTTAGTCAAAGAAAAAGGTAAGTAGGCAATGTCCTATCTTTGTATGAGTTCTGAGAAATGATCTAATATTGTTTAGCCGCTATTTTCGACGCTGTGAAGAAGAACGGCGAGTGCGAACATGACTTCTTTTTCTTGTCACAACTATATGACACCCATTGGCAACCTTTATGAACAATATATTTTGCATCTTTGACAGATCTTCACTTCCGCCAGGGCTCGCGCATTTGTATTTCGAGCGCCAAGATTGTCCGATATGAGATTCCCTCCTTTTAGGCCGGAATGATTAATCAAGGCTTGTTCCGCAGCTCCTCGGGGATGCCGGGACTCAGGCCCGTGTTCATTAATACTTCAAGAAAATTTCCCCGGAAACTCTGCAATGCCCAAATCAGGCATGGGCGTCGTTAGGCTGACTCGGGATGGATCCGTTGGTTGGTCACGTGGCCGGCGAGAGTCTTGACAGATCAGGGGTAGCCTGCGCGTGGATTTTTTCCGCAAGCCCGACTGGTCACGAGCTTTGACGGAAAGTGCCTAGGTCACCAAAAACCCTGAGTATGAAAGAAGTTCTGGAACATGTCGATCGCAGGCTTGAAAAGGAGAACCTGTGAATGCTGAATCGCGTCTGCGTTGGAAGTCTGGCATGATATACTTATACTCTGGCCACCCGCCACGTCTCCCCTCCTCTCCAAGCTGAAAATGCTGCATCATTTGGCAGCTACCTGTTGTCAAGGAGTGAACGAACCTTGTCAATTGGACAAGCTTTCCGAGCCACTCAAGCCACAACCACCCAGGAAATCATTTGCAAACCTTGCCACCACCATCATGCCCCACGCCTCCGCCGACGAAACCAGCAGCTCAGCCGAGGTCGGAACAAATGAATGCCCTTCGGCGCACACTTATCTTGGTCTTCTTGCTTGTAATGGTTTGTCAACTTTTCTACGATCCCGTTCGCTTGACCCGTTAGCCCTTTTAACACCTCGTTAGGACAATTTGGCTTTCTATTCGCTGAAAGCAGCAACTTGGCTGATGACGACTCAATCATTTGGTGTGAGTTCGATGCACTACAAGCACTGTATTTTGTACCAAGTCAAGGAAAGCAAGCGTGGACTCTCGGCCAGAATGTGAATGGTCCCATTGCAGGATGGCTCAGCCATCTGGGAAGCCAGTTTTATGGGGAACTTTGAGACGAAATGTTCTTGTACGATGGGAAAACATCGCATGGCGTCACTCTATGGGGACTTTAAACAAAGCATCAGGCTCGGGGAGGCTAGAGTACGGACGGATAGAGGGGTTGACACGAAGCAGGTGTATCTCTGTTCGGAAAATCACCGTTGCGCTCTCGTTAGCTGCTACAAATGCTACGGTTGATTCGTTTCATACGTGGTCACGGAGATAGGCATTTGTTTTAAAAGAAATGTGAGGAGCCTCCTGTACTAACTAGGTTGTGTTGATTCTGCTTCGTTGTAAAGTTTTGGATGTTTATGAGGGTGTAGATAGAACTTGACCTCGTGTTAGACATTCTATACATTGATCTATAGCAGAATAGCATTTGCCACCTTGAGCTTCAATTTACCACTCCATGCATTTCGGACCCCCACTTGGTGAACCAAAAAATATCCCTCCCGTGCCCGTTTTTTGCTTCTCCGCCGTGGAGGTATGAGCCGGGGTCGGTCCCACAGGCTTTTCTTCACCGGTTGTTTCAACCATCCTTTGACCGGTCTTTAGCGTTCCACGGAAGCTACCAACTCGGCCTGTTGGATTCATGCTCTTTTCTTACTGGTGGATTTCGGTGCATAATGTTACGTCCACTAGTTACATCGGCGTATCCGATCATATCATTTTATACCACGATTCTCATACGTGGCTTTGATGGCTGGCACCTGAACAACCCCAACCTTTGAATGAGTTTTCTGTAAAAAGCGGTCGGGAACCGTAAATTTTTCAATGAGACGACGTCTACGGCTCCTCTCGATTATCTCTTGCCTCATATTCTTTGCGTTGTTCAAATCTTGGAAGCACGAGCCACGCAAAAATATTATGGAAGTCAAGCCGACTTTGCGAAGAGCTCTCGTATCGGACATCGAAGCCATCAGCAATATTGCTTTAGGATCGCTGCCTTTGGATCCCCAATGGCCATACCGTTTTCCATTAGCTTCTGTCTACCCAGAGGATCACAAGAAGTTTACCCGCATACGATACACTGAATACTTTGCCAATCAAGTACAAGGCGTTTCCTACATCATGCTCGCCGAACTTCCATCTAACGAGGACCCGTCTATCAAGAAACCAATTGCATTTGCTATCTGGCAACTCCCAGGATCCCACATACAGCCTGTTGAGGTCGAAGCAAAGTCCGGTACGTCGTGTTAAATAGAAAGCAGTTCCGGAACTTTACTAACACACAACGAAGCGATAAATTCTCCATCCGATCACCTAGATCGCCGAGATGCCAATCCGGCGAGAATGACAGCATTTCGAAAAGCCATCTGCAAAGCCAAGGAGGAGTGGTTCGACAAGAAGTTTGGTGAAAGTCAAATGTGCTTGACGACCTTGGCCACATACCCTGACTACATGAGGCGGGGCGCCGGAAAGGCTCTTTGTGAGTGGGGCATCAAGAAAGCTGTTTCTGATAAACTTGCAGCTGTAACTCTCTTTTCTAGTCCTATGGGGAAGCCTCTTTACATGAAGTTGGGTTTTCGTCAGGTGGGGATGGTGCATACGCAAGTTGAAGGCGAGGAGGAATTTCCTGCCTTTCCTGGTATGATTCTTGAACTTAAGTAGGAGGACTGCGTCTGGATTATGATATCATGCTCGGAAATGAAATTGATGAAGTATTAGCTGTGAATCAAGTATTCGGACTTTTCAACATCTCCGTTTCGGGACTATTCTGATCAGCCAAGATTCTTACATTCTGTGAAATTTTAGAACACAGAAAGCAGCCGAGATATTAAGTCATTAGTCTCAAAGGGCTGAAAAGCATTTGCAGAAACCCTCAATTTATCAGCTGCAGACTAGCGGAGATTGTTTAGATTAGCTAATAGATATATTTTCCGGAATATCACTGACTGACGCGAGCGATGACTGATGAGCGCCGCTGATTAGTTATTTACTTAGTAGAAACTCTCGGAGAGGGTGTATCTGGGGATTCGCTCCCCATCTAATATAAAGAGCATACCTGGCTGGCGAATGGCAATTAGGCTCAAGTTATTACCTAATTTTTCTCTTCAAGGTTTCCGAATAGGACTGTGAGCTGGGATTGGCTATGGGAAGAAGCAATCTTGATCCTTCCTGATACTACCTACACCTCCATTACTAAGTGCAGATTTGTCGATCCCCAGCTAACTACCGGTCCGGCCCATAGGAGGCAAATCTTTCTCAAATTCTCACAAAGGTCGTGCATCCCTCTCAGATAAGACTGAAGACTCGGCTCCTTTATTTGACTGCCGTTTAATTCCGCCCCGATGGCAGCAGTATCAACTTCTTCACCCACTCCAACATCCCCCAATGCTGCTCCCCTCACGACCACCTTTACACGTCCCCTCTTTACTTCTATCAGCTCACTGCAAACTACTTGAAAATTAGCACGTCTGCTTATCCCGCCTGCCCTTAGTATAGTAAAGGACCAGGCCCAGTGGGGTCCGCACCGACACCCGCGATCTTTCATCCTTTGCAACGATTGATTATTTTCCTCCTGGTATATGTCCGAGCGCTGCGGGAGGAAGAAATAAGGGGAGGCACAAGGCACGCCTGGGGATGTAGAGTAGGAATTAGGGGCACCCTCTGCCAAATCGAGAGGCGAATTGGGAGAAGGTGGCTATGGTGTAGGTGAGATAGATGTCCCACCAGGAGTTGAGTTAGCTAGGAGTCAGCCTATAGTATACGAGATAGGGGGGCGGATAATGTGGAGTGATAGATGACAGGAGGGGATTCTTTTGAGGCGTGACCTAGAGTTGAGGGGTTGAGAGAGACTAGATTTCTTCGCTTTGTGTTACTTCGGTTTATGAGAGAAAGATACTGTATACCTAGAAAAGGTGTATTTTCGGCATAGTTTTCTCCGCTGCCCTGAGTTCTTAAGCTTCTATATTGAAAGTTAAATTTCATATTTTCTTTTTAATAAATTGAGCCGAAAATCTTAATTTTTTTTTTTGGCAGTCACCTATATCTGTCTCTCCCAAACGACTTTTAATTTTCAAATTAGTCTCATGTTAGTAACCAAGAGAGGGCTAGATAGCGGGGAGTCGACAACTTCACAGAGCGCCAAGAGGTCTCGGCGCTACCCCTAGTTCAACACGAAGTAACACGGAACAAAGAATAACTTTCGAGGGGTATACACTGTTCTGACAGGGCAGAAAAGGTGGTACTGATTCAAAATTTCCTGAGTCTACGCTCGACATTTTGCTGGACTTTGTCACTTTTGGAGGTAGGACTAAGAAAGTTAGTAATTGATGTTTCAAAAGATATTCTAAGAAGTAGGCTTTGAAAGTACGGAGATCGCGGCATAAAGTATCGGGAATACAGGGCATTTGTGCTGAAAGTCCACTATAGAGCTCATTTCTGGCACACTCAACCGCTATAAGCCTCTATATTTCTAGGCTATTACCCTGAAAATGCCCTATAAGCAGTTAACAAGGGGTGGCACACCTTTTAAAGCCTTCTCCCCTGTCGTTACAGGGGCTACCTCGCTAAAGAGCCCTATGATTGCTCTCCTTACAGCGTCCGAGCGCTATAGTTGCTCTGCCAGCAGCGCTAATACCCCTGAAGATCTTCCACAGCCTTGCGAATGTCTCACAGCGTGCTTTCAGGGCGTATAGCCTAGAGTTACAGGGTCTTATAGCGGGCTCAGCCCCTACTATTGCACGCTATAGTGGGTTTAGAGTCCCAACGCGCTGTATTCCCGATACTTTATGCCGCGATCTCCGTACTTAGTACAGAGCCCAACTCCACATTCTTTGGGATATGCATCGGCAGTTCCAACTTGATTTGGAACATTATTGTCCACTGCGAAACTGTAAAAGAAGACTGTCTCGGTGGGAACAGAGATACAAGCATGTTGATTCGTCCACGTTGCCGCTAAGGCTGTGCAGGCGACCTCGTGCCCTGACTTTATTGCAGCCTCGCACAGAGATCTTCAAAAATGATCGATGCATTGCACTTGAGGACTAGAATCCGACATTCAGCCTATCCCCTTGAATGTCTAACAACATCGAGTGACGATATCGCTGGTAGGGTTCCTGCTACGCACAAATGGCAGGAAGCGAAGATGGACGCAGTGGGGAAAAACTGCAGAAGGGAAAGGATTGGCTCAAATCGCCCTTCACGAAGCTCAAGAATATGTTCACCAAAGCCGGCCAGCGATCTTTGCTGCCTCGCAGGCCCAACAAGCTATCTACTTCCGAAACAAAGAGCTACGAGGGGACTGAAACTCCTGGTGCTCAGTCAACAATATCAGGTGTTGCACAAAGGACAAGTCTGGGGTCCGTCGAGAATGCATCCATGGAAAGTGCTCTTGAAATTCCGGCATCATCAGGCGCGCGGGCCGCTGAACCTTCAGTCATGGAAACTAGGCCAGGTGCTTCATCGACCAGCAGGCCTCACTCCGCTCAACCAACTACCAACAACGACAATTTATCCGTGCTTGGTGCCGTCGACACAATTTCTACTGCTTCACGCATTGCGTCGAAAGCATCCACACTGTCACTGAAGCCCATAAAGGAGCTCTGGAATGAAGCATACGAAGAGTTGAAAGAGAAGGAAAAGAGCATTATCAAGGACTACGAAGATGCAATGTCGGAAGACATTCGACAATCTTGGGTAGCATATCTATCACACTCGGAGCTCCTGAAGTATCTGTCGGGAAGAAGGAGCAGATGGCAGCCTTGGTTGAGAAGGTGGCAGAAGCAAAAGAAAAACGCCTGGAAATTGAGATATGGCGAACACGAGGTTGTATTGAAGGACTTGGCGGAACCCGCTGTGAAGCTTATCAATGACGCCGAGAAATTTGTCCATAGGGTTGTGAGCACAAACCCGTATGCTTCAATTGCGTGGGCTGGAATTAGCTTGCTTCTTCCGGTGAGTCTTGAAATCCAATAACGAACTGGCCTCTGCTTGCTGTAAGACAACCACTGAGCAAGACGTGAGTACGCCTATGGAAACTATCGAAATAAAGTACGCAAAACTAAAGTGAGACTGTAACTAACAACTTCAGTTGTTTCTCAATCCTTCAAAACAAGCTGTTTCGCTAGCTACGGGTCTCAGTTATATTGGCAACCTTATCGTACGGAGTGACATGCGCCAAAAGCTCTATGAGCGCCAATATAAGACTGACAACAGTGGTGAGGAGTTGCATGAGTATCGAGATACACTCAAGGAACTCTACATTCGTATTCTGAAATTCGAGGCGAAATGTGTAAGCTATTACTCGAAAAACGCTGCCAATCGTCTTGGCCGCGATGTTGCGAAGTGGGATATGTGGGACTCACTCCTTCAAGAAATTACGGCCCAAGAGGGTGAGTTCGTGAAGGTATACGAAATCAAGGAAGATCTCATAGCTCAAGATGAGTATGAGAAGCTCTCTAGCCGCCATGTCGAGAGCATGGACATCTTGAAGCTCATTTCGGAAAACATTATTGGATTTGAACAAGCTGTCGCTTCGGCGCAAAGTGAAAAAAATCAGACAAAATTGGTAGAGTGGCTCTCGACTGCTGACCCATCTATCAACTACAACAGCGCACGTGGAAAACACGAACCTGAAACAGGCGATTGGCCTATCAAAGATAGCACAGACTTCAAGGGCTGGGTCAATGCTCCTAATTCTTTCCTCTGGGTAAATGGGAAAGGTGAGGCTCCATTCTTATTTGAGATGCTCCATTTGGCTGATAAAACTTGTAGCTGGCTCGGGCAAGACTATACTAAGGTGAGTGTTGGGTAGATTTCTATGGCGACTTCGAGCTTAAAATAAGTCATAGCTCTTCTGTTATCAAACGTCTCAAAATGACTTGTGGTCAAGACCCATAAGTTGCTCTGGCATATTTCTATTTTAGATGTAACGACAAAGAAAAGCCCAATACCTTGGCACTGATGCGCTCCTTGATCAAGCAACTGTACTGTTGCCGGCCTAACACCCCTGAAGCCGTTGAGGCTCTCCACAAATATCGAAACAATGGTCAGAATCCAGATCCAGACGACCTCCGAAATGCACTTATAGCAACCATACGTGGATTTTTAGGTAGCTATCTGGTACTCGATGCCCTCGACGAATACTCACTTGAAGCCAGTGAAAGGAAGCGCCTCTTAGATTTCATCCGCCGGATTCAAAATTCCGGTTTGCAAAATTTGCATATACTTTGCACCAGTCGAAGGGAAATGGACATTGAGAAGGTTTTAATACCCTGAGACTGAGGATTAATTTTCCCTTTCGCTGGTTCCGTTTTAGTCTGCGGACCTGAGCAACTGCTGTTTTAACCTGAGCTGAGGGTGAGCATACCTGAGCCGAGGGTGAGCATGCCGGAGCAGAGCCTGGGCAAGCCTGAGCAGAGCCTGAGCATCCTGAGCACCATAATGTGGAACCCATTTTGGCCTCCTGTGTGCCCCGGCTATAGTTTCCTTACCGAATTTTACCCGGGAATCGGTTTCTGCTCTCTTACTGAGTTCCTGTGGAGCAATTTTGGATCCCTCTTGTTAAAAAGCAAGATGGCAACTATAGATTTTCGTCTAGACTAATGGACCTATGGTTAGAAAGCCTACGTATTACGCGGACGAGTAAGGTTTCCCAAAAAGTTCCCTCCAAAGCGATAGTAAAGGCTGGCTGAGACACATCTGCCCAATATAATTAATCGAGAGCGAGGCTGTGAAAGCGAGGCTGTGAATGGAGTAAAGCGAGACTGGGAGCTTTTTTTTCCTGCTAGATTTCGTTTTTCCTAGTGGACCATACCGTTTTCTCAAAGCTCTAATAAATAATTATTATCTATCTAAATAGGAGGTAAATAGTATTAAAGACTATACTAGACCGCCTAAATACAAATTTATATAATCAGAAGAATAAAACCCTTTATTATTTTATCTCTAAATACTTTTATTTAATTCTTTATAATTCCTAATAGCTTCCGATATTTAGCTCCTTAAACTAATACTTATATATAATATATTATATAGATAAAATAGTATTATTTCTACTAATAGCTTTATAGAATTGAGTTTTTAATAATTAGCTATTAAATTTAATATAGTTACTAATACTTATTTAAGTTAGAATAGATTAAAGTTATCTTATAAAAAACAAGTAGTTCTTATACTAGTATTTATTTTACTAGTTACTATAATATTCGCCTATTATATATTATAACCTCTATTAATATAGGCTATAATTGTTATAGGAATTATATATCTAAAAATTACTTTTATTAAATTATATATTATTATAATACTTTTATTAAATTATATATTATTATAATACTATTACTAATTTTATATTAGTATTACTAAATTACTTTACTTTAAATACTTTTTATAAAAGGAATTAATAATATAATATCTGAGTCTTAATATACCAAGGCTTTATTATTAGATTATTTAGTATTTGTAAAATATTATTTATAATAAAACTAGAGTCTATTATAAGAAATAAGAGCTTAGATATAGTATTTAATATCTTGAGCTTCCGGAATTATACTTATTTCCGTTTCGAGATTCCCAGTTTACTAAAGGCTAATTAGGCTTTTAATTTCCTTATTTATTAATCGGAAATAAAGGCTATTTGAACTACTTTTAATAATATAATTCTATTAATATAATCTATTTTAATAAAAGTCGAATATCCGGAATCTATTATTATATATTTCTATTTAGTTTATTATAGGAAATACTTCTTTATTTCTAGCTTCTATTTTTAATACTTTTATACTAGCTAATTAAAATTTATAATTTTAGTTGCCTTTTTAGATACTATAATATTTATACTATTAGCCTTTTTCTGAAAACTATTTATTATTACTTTTTAATTAATTATTTTCTTTTTAATTAATTTAATACTAAATTAGATATAAAAAGCCTAGAACTTAATTTAGTTCTCTAGCTTATAATTTTTTTCTTCTAGACTAAATTATAGGAATATATTTCTCTCTAATCTATATCTTTAATAATATTTATAAATATAATTTATATATTTACTAAAGGATTTTCTAGTATTTTATAATTATATTAGATTATTTTTTAGAACTTATAGAATTTTTTATAGTTTCTAAATTAGGCTAAAAGCTCTATATTATCTTTATATACAAACAATTACTAATATAATATTATTTTTTAATATTTCTCGAGAATATTTTATTAAAGAATCTCAAAATTAAGAAAATAATAAGAAAAATAGCTTTTAGCTTCTAAATCTTATAGCCTTAATATTTAATAAATAGTTCTTTTTTATTAAAAAATAATAGTATTAAATATTTATAATTATATAATATTAGTATAATAAATAAATAATTAGGGATAAAAATACTAATAATAATATATTCTTAAAAGTTCTCTAATTAAAATTAGATTTGATTATTTTTTTCTTTTTTCTTATTTTCTAAATATAAAAGAAATACTAAATTAATATAATTCTTTTAATAAACTAGAAAGCTTTTTTAGATATATATTATAGTCTAGTAATAATTTAAATTTACTAAGACTTATTAAGATTTATAAAGCCTGGAATTATAATTATTTAGCCTTTTATAATTCTATAAATAAAAAGGTTATTAATAAAAGAATTAGCTAAAAGAAAAACTATAATAAATAAAATAAAAATAAAATAATAGTAATTATAATAATTATAATAAGAAAAAGAAGTCTAGAAAAGATATTTACTATTATATATATAATAGAAATTAAAGTATTTATTAAGCCTAATTTTTTTTAGTAAAGTTAATAATAATTTATTAATATTAATTAAAGACTTTTAATTAGATAACTTATTAGGATTTAAATATATAATTTTATATTATAATATAAAGAATCTAATATTATCTTTTTTATATTCTTTAAACTAATTCTTTAATTTAGCTAATAGCTATTATTTTTAGTATTTCTTTTAGAAGCTAATTATTATAAGATATATAATAATAGAATAATATATAAATAGTTAAGATAAATAAGCTTAAAAGTAATACTTATAAATATAACTAATTCTAATAAATAACTCTAATTATATAAACTAATTTATATTTATTTCTAAAGTTTAATATATATCTTTATATATTTTCTAATATTAGAATAAATAAATACTAATTCTTTATCTAATTAAAAAATATAATTTAATAATTTAATATATTATATAAGCTTTAATTAAATTAGAAAACTATATATAAAATACTAGATATTTATTTATATTTTATTATATATATTTCTTATATATATATGTTTTTTATATATATACTTTTTATATATTTACTTTTTATATATATACTTTTTATATATTTACTTTTATATATTTAACTTTTTATATATTTACTTTTTATATATTTACTTTTTATATATTTTACTTTTTATATATTTAACTTTTTATATATTTACTTTTTATATATTTACTTTTTATATATTTACTTTTTATATTTTTTTTTTATATATTTACTTTTTATATATTTACTTTTTATAATATTTCTCTTTAAGCCCTTATTTCTAAAAGGCCTTAATAATCTATAAATAGTTTTATTCTAATACTTCTAAATATTTATACTCTTAAAATAATTTAAGAATCTAATAATAATACTTTTATTTAGCTTATAAGATTTCTATAATTAAATTAAGCCTAATTATTTCTAAATTATTTATTATAATTCCTTTTTATAAAAGTAATAATACTATAAAATATATAACTATTTAGAAAATTAATCTAATATTCTAATTAGTTTATAAATTCTATTTTAGTCTTTATTTATAACTTAATTATTATTCTATTATTTTTCTAGTTTAGAAAAGTTTATTTAATTTTTTAATTTATTCTTTAATTTCTTTTTTTATAAATTCTAGAATTTTCTAGCCCTAAATTAATAATTACTATTTATAGAAAAAGAATATAAAAAGGCTTTCTTTTTTTATTTATATAATTATATATATTTCTATATATAAGTATTTTTTTTTCTTTTATGTTTTTTTAAGCCTTTTTTATATTCTTTATTTATTAAAATAAATAATCTCTAATATTAAAAGATTATTAGTTATTTAATAAATATATTTATAATAATATTTTATTCTTATTACCTTTAATATTCTAAGAATATAACTAAATACTCTAATATTAGATATATTAAGGTAAATAATTATATAATATATAAATAAGAAATATAATTTTATAAGTTCTAGTTTTTCTTTTTATTTTTTATTTTAATAATATCTAAAATTCTCTAATTTACTATATTATACTTAAATTGCCTTTTCTATATTACTAATAATTTCCGGAAGTTTGCTTTTATTTACTTTAATTATATCCAGAACTAGATTAACTTTACTATTTATTAGAGCTCTTATATCTCTTATATAAAGGCTATAATTCGGGATATAAGAATTCTTTTTATATTTTAAGATATAAAACAAGTAATTCTTATTAATATATTATAAATATAATATATTCTTAATAATATTAAATAAGTTTTATTCTTTTTTTATTTCTTATTAAATACTAACCTTCTTATAAAATAATTTATTTATCTTTTTTTATAAAATCTAAAAATCTAAAAAAAAAAAAATAAAAAAAAAAAAAAAAAATAGAGGCCTTATAAGAAATACTAGAATAAAATAAATATAAATAAGAAGTATTAACAAAATATAAATACTAGATTTTTAGTATATTTTTATATAAATTTTATATAGTTTTTCTAAATAGCTTTTCTAATAAAAGTATTTATTTCTTATATTTCTTTTTATTTATTAATATAGTAATATTATTTATCTTTAAGTAATTATTAGTATAGCTATTTCTTTAGGAGTTATATATATAGTTACGAGATACGGGATATAGGATATAAGTAATAAAATATAAAATACGAGATATAGTTATATAACCTTATATTTTATAGGTGACTTGACTAGTAAACTAGACCCTATTAGGCTTAGTAGATTTAGGAATTATATATTAATACTATAATATTATACTTCCTACTTCTAAATAATAATAACTTTACTAACTTAATATAACTAGTATTTTATACTTATATAATAGTATTATATATTACTAGTAAATTAATACTAATTAGTTTATATATATAGATTAGAGAAGATTTTAGATTAGTTCTAAAAGTATTTAATAGCCTAAAACAAATCTAGTCTATTCTATATTAAAGAAGAAAACTATTTATTAATTTTATAAAAGTATTTAATAGATTATAAAAAAGATATCTAGCTTTTACTAATTAATA